GCCTTTATAGATCTAATAAAGAACTTATTAACTAGAGTAGAAATTAATAGACTCTTATTAATCTACTCTATTACTATATAAAGCTAATATATTAGAAAGAACTATTAAGAACTTTAATATATAAATAGGTTAGTAAGATAGAATAGTAGGCCTAGACTAAAGCTCTAATTAATAAAATCTAATTTAGAAGGTTTAAATTTAGAATCTTCTAACTTATCTAATAATTTAGATACTAAAGTAGCCTAAATTAGTATATAAGAGCTAGAATTAGAACTAGAAAAGGTTATAATCCTTATAATACTAGAATTAAAGTTATTAGTACTAAAAGAATATTATAATAATCTAATAGTAGGCTATTTTAGCTAGAAGAAGATACTAAAGAAGCTTTAGTATAAGTACTAGTAAATAAATATATTAAAAGATATAGTAAACTACTATATAAACTATAACTACTATAAGAGGTTAGTTATACTAAAATACTAACTATATAAGCTTCTTTAACCTCTAAAACTACTTTTAGAACTATAGAAAGATATAATAATAGACTTTATTATAAAACTACCTACTAGTAAATATCTAAGGTAGGTATATAACTTAATTCTAGTAGTTATATATAAACTTACTAAGATATCCTACTATATTCTAGTAAGAGTAGATTAGACTAAAGTAGACCTAGCCTATATATAAGTAAAGAAAATTATTTAACTTTATAAAGTACCTAAGACTATAATTTCTAACTAAGGTTCTTTAATAAATTTAAAGTTATAAGATATATTTAACTACTACCTAAACTTTAAAAAGATCTTAACCTTTACTTATTACTTATAAATAAATAGTTAGATAAAAAGGTAGAACTAAATACTAAAGTAGTACCTTTAGTACTTCTATTATCTAAAATAAAATAATTAAGTACTATAAATCCTAATTATAGTATTTACTTATAATAATAGTATATATATAATAATTAGAGTTACTCTATTCTAAGCCTACTATAGGGTATACCTAAGAGCCCCTAATTAGCCTAATTAACTCTTTAAAGAAGGTAAAGCTCCTCTAAAGAATAAATTAGTAGTAAAAGTAATAGTACTATAAGTAAAGTATAAAAAGAAAATTCTAGTTTTAAATAAATACTAGAAAAAATATACTAATAAAAAAAGACTTTACTATAAATTTAAAGTAGAAAATAAAGTTTTTATATCTAATTAATATATAAAGTCTACTAGACTAAAAAAGAAGCTTAATTAAAAGATATTAGAACTTAGAAAGATTATAGGCTAAATTAGCTCTACTATATTTAAAGTTAATCTTTTAGAAGTAAATAATACTTATCTAGTATACTATATATCTCTATTAGAATTCTATATAAGAAGAGAGATAATTTTATATAATAAACTCCTACTTATAAATATACTTTATAAAATAAAAGATAATATCTATAATATAAAGAAAGTAGTTAATAGAAGATAAAATAGTATAGGTATATAGAAATATCTAGTAAAGTAGAATAGCTACTTAGAAAATAAGAACTCTTAGAAACTTAAAATAAATCTAAGTAAAGAAATACTTATAGTATTCTAGAATAAGGTTAAAGTAGTCCTAAGATATATTAAAAGAAAGAATAGGCTATTATAAGTATAATTTTAAGATAAACTTCTTAAAAGAAGAAAGATAGAACTATAAAAAAATAGCTATATAGCTACTTTTTTCTATTTTTATCTACTTAGTAGGATTTTTATAAAGTTTAATAGTACTATACCTAGTAGTTAGAATTCTTAGGAAAAAGTCTAAGAAAATAACTTTAAAAGTAAATATAAAAAATTACTAAGTTAATTAAAATACTCTAAGTTACTATATAATATTAAAATATAGGTAAGAAATTAGAATAAATTAGTATAAGTTAACTATAATTATTATTTATAAAGCCTATATAAGGCTAAAAAGTAACTCTTTTAGTATATAATACTAGAAATATATATATAGCTATATCTTAGCTCTACTACTACTAATCTAAGTTAATTTATACTAATTAGTACCTAAGTATACTTATTCTTATTCTTATTCTTTTTATAGGTCTTAGTAGCTTTCTTAGTAGATATAAAGTACTTATTAGTAGTAGTAAAATCTACCTTAGTAGTTTAAAAAGTAATAGTAGCTATAGTAGCCTTTTTCTTCTCTTTAGTAACTACTTTAACTAAAGTCTTACTAAAACTATATATACTAAACTAATTCTAGATAGTTAGTACTAATTTATACTAATAAAGCTTATAAGTAGCTACTTACCTTTTTATAAAGAGTAAGATCTAGGTCTTTATTATTAGAGGCCTTAAAAGCTTACTTTTTAGCTATAGCCTTTTTTTAAAAGCTAGCTTTAAACTAATTATAACTCTTAATATAAATACTAGACTTAGTAGACTTATTAATCTTAGTTATACCTATATAGACTATAAGAGACTTATAATAAAGAGAGTACTTACTATTATAAATAATTAAATACTATTAGAGCTAATTATTACTAATTTTAACTACTTACTTATAAATTAAGCTAATAATCTTATTAGTAAGATTAATAACCTTTACCTTAAATATAATATATAAAGAGAGTATATATAGAATATAATTATACTATATAAGCTTACCTTCTTCTATAGCTTCTATAACTATATCTTTACTAGATAAGTAGTAAGTAAGTTACTTTTTAAGCTTAATAAAGTACTTATAGTAAGTATTAAAGAGCTAGAAGAGTTAATTAGTTATAACTTATACTAATTAAAGCTAATAAATATACTCTAAAATAGTTCTAGCTAAGTTAGGTATAATAATAATACTATATACCTTAATAGTTACTATTATAGAACTTACTTTATAAATTAATATTAGTACTAAAGAAGTAGATTAAATTATTTATAGTAAAGTTACTATTAGCTAAAAGGTTTAGGTAGTATATATAAAGAACTTTAGTTTAGTAACTAGTATCTTTATAGTCTTTAAGGTACTAAGCTTTTATTAAAGTAACTATCTTAATTATATTAAAAGTAAAGTAAGTTAGGTAGTTATTAAAAGAGTTTTACTAAGATAGTTAACTAATATCTAATACTTACTAAGCCTATTAAACCTAAATTCTACTAATTAGTACTAATTAGAGCTAATTAATACTTTCTACCTTTCTACTAAAAATATACCTAGAGCTTAGAAACTTCTAAAAATTAGAAGTAAAAAGGAGGTAGAGTATAGAAAACTAAAAAAGAGCCTTTATTATATACTTAGGTAAGGCCCTTAGAGCTTAGGCTACCTTCTAAGTAAGTAAATAGTAAAAGAAGTAAAAATAAGTACCTATTTCTTTTACTCTAAACTAAGATTTTAGTTATAATATACTTTAGAAGTATCTTAATTAGGCTAAATTAGCTTAATTTAGCTATCTACCTAAATAGTTACTCTAATATACCTATAATATACTTAATATTACTAAATATAAGTAATAGAAGATATAGTCTACTAGATTAAGATAATTATACCTAAAAAGAGGGATATTATTAAGTAAGTATAAAGTAATAAGTAGTTTATATACTATTATACTAGCTCTAGCCTCTTAGCTTATATATATAGATAAAAGTACCTTATAAAGGGATATAAGTTCCTTAGTAATTTATCTTATTATATATTTAATACTATTCTTCTATCTTTACTATACTATATTACTACTATAACTAAGTCTTATAGTATATTTTACTTATTTACTACTTATAAATAGTTTATTAACTTTTATAGAACTTTATAAAATAGTTTATAAACTTTACTATTTTATTTTAAAAATTAAGCTATAGCTAAATAAGATTAAGTTAAAGTAGTTTATAAGTATAAAGTTATAGTTTAGTTAATTCTTTATATAGTTTATAAGTATAAAATATAGTTTATCTAGCTTATTATATAAGTATTAGGCTTTAATACTTAGTTTTATAGGCTATTATAGCTTTTTAGAATAAAATTTTATTTTATAAAATTTAATTTATAGGCTAATTTATATACTTACGTAATTTTTACTACTAATTATTAATTTATATTTACCTTCTACCCTGTTTTTCTGCTAATATATACCTGTAGACTTTGCTTTGCTAGCCTATATATTAGTATCCTGCAACAGCAACTGTTTTTGTAGCATTATTTCTGCCTATTTTATCTTCGTTGTTGATTGCTTAAGAGATCTGGCATGCATGCATGTCGGATGGTTGATGACGTCATCTTAGGACAATGCTTGTAGGTGCATGTTTACGCTGGAAAGGAAGCCGCTTTCACCATTGTGCCGGGGATTTGCTAAAGTTATTGACAAGTCTCCCATACATCTCCGTCAGCGAAAGGATCAAGATCCGTCGGGATCGTTTATTGACAGCCAATTCTGGATGAAGATCGCAATGAAGTTGGTACGTTATACGAAACATGACAACCTTGAAGACTTTCAAAGACACCTTCCTGTAAAGGTTAGTGGTAAAATGTCGGCATCCTTCCGTGCACAACAGTTACACCTCCCGGTCTTACATGTTTTACAGGACGTTCACCATATTTCAACCCTGTGTTGCTGCTGATCCTGAGAGTTTCGGCTTCCAAATCAAAGCGATGCCTGAGTCTTATCTTCTTGATGTTGCACGCACACCAATTCCTGTCCATGTTACAAGAAGGTGCTACTCAACGAAAACATCTCCATGCTACCCAACACTTCTTATCGCGAGTCTTCCCCGTCTCGAACCGTTACTCGTACAACGGTCGGGGATATAGCGAGTCAAGCCCAGACGATCCTAGCATCTTGATTTCATGCATGGCCTTGTCACTGGTGACTGAATTACCGAGTGCTGTGTTTCGTTTGGACGGGTAACGCAGCTGCCTGATTAGGTATAGACACTGCAGAAGTTGAGTGGTTGAGCGACATACCGATGCTGAAGCGGACAAGAATGACGACCGATGTGCAGATCGAACCGCTGATATTCTTATAAAGCGTCAAACAGCGAACCCGAGAGGATTGGCAAGCATTTTTCTTCCTCTTATTCACATAAGCTTTCTGTCATGGCGCGTCTCGCTCGTCTTGTGGCTGTCTTGGCAGCCATCTCTCTCAGCAGTGCACGCAGGACAGCTCCTATGCGGCGTGGACCTCCCGCATACCCCACAAATGTCACGACCATAACCTCACCGCAGGGCGCAAAGATCACATATAAGCAGCCTGGAAAGCAGGGGATCTGCGAAACAAAGGAGGGCGTCGACGACTATGCAGGGTACATCAGTCTCAGCCCTACGCAAAACATGTTCTTCTGGTTCTTCGAGGCACGAGAGAACCCTTCCGAGAAACCACTCACATTATGGCTCAACGGCGGCCCTGGAAGCGATTCCATGATTGGGCTGTTGCAAGAACATGGGCCATGCAATGTCACGGAGGACCTGAAGACGCAATGGAATCCGTACTCATGGAATGAGCATAGCAACATGCTATATTTGAGTCAGCCAGTTGGTGTTGGCTTCTCGTACGAGACGCTGGAAGAGGATGCAGACGGAAGATACTCACTCGTTAGCCCCAACACCACAAACACAACAGAAGCTGCTGCCATCGGTGCATGGCATATCCTGCAAGCGTTCCTGGACCTTTCACCGCAGCTTGATCCTGATATCCAGAACTTCACATTCAATTTGTGGACCGAGAGGTGAGTACTCCGTTTTTACTTATTTTCAGAGCCCATTCGCTGATACGAAGGAACAGCTACGGTGGGCATTACGGCCCCGGCTTCTACAACTATTTCTACAAGCAGAATGAGGCCATTCGTAACAGCTCAGTCAAAGGTGTGGAGCTTCAGATGGACACTCTTGGCATCATCAACGGCATCGTCGACGAACAAATCCAGGCACCGTACTATCCCGAGTTCGCTGTGAACAACACATACGGAATCAAGGCTGTCAACGACTCCACTTATGAAATGATGAAGGAGGCTTACTACGGTCCCAACGGTTGCCGTGATCAAGTCCAAGCTTGCAAAGAAGCTGATCGATCTACTGCCGCTGGAAAGGCCGTCTGCAGAGCAGCAACTAGCGTATGCCGCGGCGACGTCGAAGGCCCATACTACTCCGAGGACGGCAGAGGCGTCTACGATGTCCGCCATCCATACGACGACCCCACCCCACCACCATATTTCAGTGCTTTTCTCAACCTGGCTTCCACACAGGAGGCTCTTGGCGTCAGTGTCAATTACACGTCAAGCAGCTCCCTTGACGTCTATTATGGGTTCGAGTCGACTGGTGACTTTGTCTATCCCAATTTCAAGGAAGACCTCGAGGAAATTCTGGGCTACGGTGTTCGTGTTGCACTGATATACGGAGATGCTGACTACATCTGCAACTGGTTCGGAGGCGAAGCGGTCTCCCTCGCTCTCGACTATGCCAACAGTGACAAGTTCCGGGCTGCTGGCTACACTCCCTTCCTGGTCGATGGCGTGGAGTATGGTGAGGTTCGCGAGTATGGCAACCTTAGCTTCACGAGGGTCTACGAAGCGGGTCATGAGGTGCCGTACTACCAGCCTGTGGCGAGTCTAGAGCTTTTCAAGCGTGTGCTTGACCATGTCACCATTGCAGATGGAAGCATGGTTGTCACGGGTAACTACAGCACGAATGGCACTGCGAAGGCCACGCACACAGAGTCGTACGTAGCGCTTCCTACCAAGTAGAGTTCGATTGTTCGTTGGGAGTAGAGGTCGAACGTGAAATGTGCTGTGGCTAGAGTTTAGATAGTTCTTGGTTCTGTATCGGCAGCGTTCTTGTTCCCTCTACATCTATGATTCTGCAAGACTTTCTGCGACGTTTTTCGTAACAATTATAAGTAAACGGCATGCGTATAAAAAATTTCAAATCACCAGGTGTGAGGTCAATATACGTGTCACTGACTTAAGGCATGACTTGGGATGTGCGTGTCGCTAATCGTATCCAATCACAAACTGGTATATCCAATGGTGGTGAGAATTCAAAATGAGCGAGACCTTCTGCCTCAGAGTCCCCCAGGACACAATGTCATTATCCACATGACGCGACTACTATCAAAACATCGTTGCTTCCTACAAAGCTTTCCCAACGCCCGAAAATGCTTGATCCCAAACTCCGCGCAATGCATGTCTATCCTTTGCTCTCCCATGTCAATAAAGAGCTGTGTATCCATGACTCAGTTCCTTCAAATGCAAACCCTGTCCTGGTATCCTCAAGATTTCCCAGGGATCCCAGCGCAGAGCGCAACCGCCCCAGCAAAGATCGCTGAAAATCTCTAGGATGCCTGATGATATCGCAATCCACTACCCTAAGCGCCCGCACACATGTAAAATCTATCTAGAAGCTGAACAACCCAGACCTCCTCTTCCCCAGAGGGTAAACTAGTAGCGCAGCTAAGAACAATCCCACTGTGATACCTATGGCGATCTGCACAACCGAGAATCCGACATTCAGTGCAATGGAATTGAGACTGTTACTAGTGGTGGAATCCACTGTGCTGATAACTGTGGCATTGCCCGTGCTGTTGCGTGTAATCGAATCGGCGGAAGCGAGGCCAGATACAAGGGAGCCCTGTACACTGAGACCCGATGGGACCTGGACGAAGATCGCTGGTAGCATAGCGGCTGCGGCGAGACCGTAGCCGATTTTGCGTGCATGTGGTGTGAAGCTAGTAGATATTAGTAAGGCTCACGTGAGGTGGTGTGATAGTAGTTCGAGGCTTCCAAAGTGCCAGCTGGTCTGCATAACACAGTGGGGTTCTCTAGGTTCTATCATGGAATTTTCACTTACTCGCTGATCGAACTGGCTGAGGAGCCTGGATGGCTGCCATTGTGGGTACTGCTGTACTCGGAGCGCTCGAGCTTCGAGGCTGAACGCTGGGATCCGTGGCGGTTTCGCCTCCACATCTTCTGGAACTTGATGAAGTGAGGGCGCAGCGTGTTCTCCCAGGTATCTAGGCACCAGTTCTCCACATAACGACCGAACCGAGCGTGTACATTAGCTGCAATGCCGATTGCCAGAGCGCCAACGGTGTTACTGATCTGCGCGTTGTTCTTGAAGTACTTGGAACTGTGGAAGTTGACGACCCATCCAATGAAAGCAATGACAGTCATGGAGGGCATTTGTTTGTACTTGGCTTGGTTGACGATCTGGAGGCAGATGGCGAAAGCGGGAACGAAAAGGTAGTAGTAATTTGATGACATCGGCTCATGACATGTCGTTCTTGACGTGGCGTTGCTGTCCATCATGCCGTACAATACGGTACCTATGGTGATTCCGAAGCCAAGGATTAGGGAATAGATGATGGCATATACCTGAAGAGTGTAAGCGGGGAACAAGATATAAGAATCTAGAGCTCATGAGACTCTGATCAGTGCTTACCATGCGTACAGAGCCGGCTACGATATGCCTGCTCTGAAGCTCAAGCGACGCGCAGAGAACCATGAAACCAGGTAGGATGAGCGCAATACTGGCCTGTGCCATCGCACTAAAACACAACAATTCCGTGCCGTTATGCCTGATCGATCCTAGAGCACGTGCGATGAAGCTCGTGATGACAGCAGCGGCGATCTCGAATACGTTACTGATCAAGTCATTTCCAGGGGCCACAACAAGTTGCAGCCACCCAATGATGCAACCTAGCAGAAAGCAGAACGGCAAATCGATCCATCGAGCATTGAAAGCGAATGGAGCAACAGTAGCGGATGCTAGTCCGTATACCGGGACTCTCAACCAGCGGTTGTACTTGTCTTTGCGTGTCATGATGGCGTCCAGCCGAGGTGTCGCTTCTTCGACGCCAACGCGATCATGTACGACTTCTTTGTAGATCTCATGCACATCGCGCAGCTTACCAAGGTCGACACCCTGATTTGTCCGGACGAGCTTAACCTCACTGGTGTGGACCGAAGAGTCGTCAAAAGCGATGATCATGCATCCTGGCATGTATAGAAATTGTGCTTCGATCTCCAGTACGCGAGCCGACATGTTCATGTACTCTTCCAGTCGATGTGTGGGCGCTCCGTACATCATCAGGGCCTTGCAGAGCTTGCGAAGGTAGTTCTGCCTTGCCAATGTGCCAGCACTATGGTGATAAGTCAGTCTGGTGTACTTCCAAATACTGGTGAATGGCTCTTGACATCGCCACAGCAACCCAGACTATCCGAGCACTATCATGAGGGTTGACTTACAGGTGGATCTTGATCTTCATGTCATGCTCGCGGCGTTTGCTGGCCTTCTTGAACCCCAAGACCGATTCGTCAGACTTTGCTCGCTTGCCCATACCCGGACGAGCTTTTTTGTACTGCTCTTCGAATTCATTGCCCAACTCTCGTTGCGCAGGTCGCGCGAGAGAGTTAGCAGATGATCCAACCAGCTGTCCAATGGAAGAGGCAGAGTTACTGCTTTGGAGGCGACCAAACCAGGGTTTTCCGGGTGTGCGGGGAGTTGAGTAACCTGATGCTGGAGGTGACGAGCTGGGTGTATTACCAACCGTTGATGCGCCGCTGAAGGTGCCATTGCTGAAGTTTCGAATGTGACTAGGCCGTGTGGGAGCTTGGGCGGCGTTGTTTACTTGTAGAAGCGTTCCGAGCACGCCTGTTCGATACTTGATGGGTCTTGTGACGTGCTCATCTTCAACCTCAAGGTCACGAGGTGTCACCTGTCCAGAGCGGAGTGGCGCTTCGGTGTGATAAAAGTCTTCAGGGTTGAGTGTGGGGGCCGTATGGGCGTGAACTGTATGCTGGCGAAGAATCATAGACGCGCGCTTCATGAACTGCGGATCATCGTCTGCATCGTCGACGGGCTTCGCTTCGGCTTTGTAGTGCGGTATATTCTGTAGTTCAATCGATGGTGACATTGGTGACGTTGGTGACATCGGGGACATGATTTCTTGTGAGTTGCGACGAGATATTGGAGCTGAGTAGGTGCCAACCGACTTGGATAGCTTTGCTGCTCGTCGCTGAGCTTCAAGCCCAGACCTCTCCTTAGCATGGGCTCCAACGGATGGCGTGCTGGACATCTCATCGTCGAAAGGGTTAGGCTCATCGTTCAGAAAGAACTCCGGGGGTGTGCGTCCAGCTTTCCGTATTGCAGGCCGAGGTTTCTGAACATCGCGTAACGGCACAACGGGTGGTTGAGGGCTTTGAGGGTACTCATCACCGAGTGCTAGTCGAATGGACTCTCCTAACCGATGAAGCTCATCCTGTGATACGTCCGATCTTTGGAGGGGAGTGTTGTGGCCATTCGAGCCTGTATCCTGCTGCTCAGGAGAATGCACATTTACAGGTCGGGTTACTGGTGCTTCTGCAGTAAAACCAACGCGTTTTCGTCCTGGAGTGGAAGACATGAGGTCGTCGTGGTGGGCTTGCAATCCGGACGGAGCGGGATCTTGAAAGGGGTCCATGTCGGTATTATACCGTCTGGCAACTACCAGATAGCTCAGTATGTGTGTGGGAAAGCCTCTTGGCAGCCAGAAACCGGAATCGTAGGATGTCAACGGACCACTCTAGAACGAAGGCGTCCGTGACTCGCAGGACCAGACACTGCACGTGGATCGTGGCAGGAACGCCTCAATGTGGATGAAAAGTCTCAAGATGGTTTGACTTCAGTCGTTCCCGGCACCTAGCGTCAGACCTCCGTTGGTGGTAGGGATGCAAGGGGCAATCCGTGAGCTGCGTTCGGGTATCAATGGATCCTTTGGGCGCGTGAACAGGAAATTAGATGAATTCTACTGGCCAACTGATAAGTAAAATTGTTGTTGAGGGAGGTGATGGAGTCAGAATAGAGCGTCTCGCGAGTGATAAGTCGCAGTTTTCAAGGTAATGACGGAATTCGTAGTGATGTTACAGGAGCTTCCTTGCGTGCTCGCGCGGGATTGATAAGGTGACGCTAGCGCGGGAGTACTGCATGCGATCCGAATAAACGAACAAAAAGATCAAGGGGGGTTGTTGTCAAAGTCTGCGGTAGAGCTACGTGCCCCGGTTTTTGAGTGCGGGTATCAGTGGCCAGAAGGTTCGATAAGTTGTTCTTCAGCTTGAACAAAGAGAGAGTGGAGAACCAAGACACGGAGCATGTAGGCAAACGAACGTCAGAAAAATTCGACAGGCACCAAATGAGAGACGCTTTGGCTCGGGAAGCGCGCGGGAGTGGCGTCGAGTAGTATTCTTAGATCCGCGACGGCCGAAATCGAAGAGCCGCAAGTGTGCCGAAGATGCTGGAACGAGCTGGCCGTAAGTTTGCCGGTGCCAGAGAAGTATAGGAATTTTGCAACCAACGAACAGCATATGGTCACCTATAAAATGCCTTGGAACACCGGTTATACGAAATCCTTGTCTGGCGATACACTCAGGAGAGGGAGGTCCATGATGGGCGGGATTTGCATATTGCGTACACCTATTCCATGCGCGGTAGTCAGAGCGCAAGAAAAGTGGACAAGTCGTGCCAGAGGAATGGCACATCTGGTTATGGAAATCCGAGATAAGCAGATAGTGGGTATAACTGGGTCAACCAAGCCTCCTACCTACGCGTCCTCCAATAATGGCCAAGAACAGCGGGAACATGTCGCAATGAATCATGATAAGGATCGTGTGGACCTGTGTAGTAGTGTTACCATGACATGATAAAGACCGTGAACGCCACATTGCCATGGCATTGTCCTGAGTCGAAAAGGCAAGCGGTGAGAGTTCTTCTCTGCGCATGTAGTGATAGGCAGGTTACTCGGGTGATAAAAAAAACGGCTTTGCCGTAGTTGATCGTGGCGATGTTGCGGCTGAAAACCCTGAAAAGCTTGTTCGACGCTAGTCGGTGGATTGGCCCGAGCGTGCCTGTGCATCCGACGCACATTCCCAACAGGCGCAACACGAGCTGGCGACTGTTTCGCGTCGCTCTCACATGTTTGTGCCGTGTGGGGGTCAGTGGATATGTTGTCTCTGCGTGACGTAGTGTCAGTGGTCCTATTTTCTAAGAGGGGCACGCGTTGCTACGACAGTGCGAGAAGTCAAACTCAAGACGCGTCGTCCATATCCACCTTGTTGCTATACTTACAGCGAGCAGCGTCAACCACTCGCCAATGTATTTCGATCATCGTCGATCTCCTTTTATTATTACACTGACACTCATAGGACGAGCTCAACAGTCCGAAACACAAAACATAGCGAAGATCAACAAGGATAATCAGTGCTCAGGAACATCATCAGGATACGACCGGAAACAGAATTTCTGACTCGCGGCATACGTCATATCCTGGTCGCCTGTCACTTTGTTGTTCCCACTTCCTTCACTAACATCATGGCGTGCAGCAAGATCCGCTGCAAATGTGGGCCATGTATGAGCTGTCCCCGCGCTGCTGCAAGGAAGGAATTCTGCCAAAATCAGTCTGGAGAGCGATACCCGCCCCCGAGGGGAGATGTCATGGAGCCCCACCCTCGATCGATCACACCTGGAGAATGAGGAGGGGAAAGTCGATCCAAGATCGACCGGAGTCGTCGAAGAGTATGAAAAGTTGGAAATCGAAGAGAGAGCAGCGATGGGAGAACAAGGACGAACTCGAAACGGTCTGTCTGACTATTCGTTGAGAGCAAGTACACAGGTATCAAGAGCATGTCGCAGACACCCATGAGGACAACAGCTTCCCCTCCTGTAGTTCAGACAAAGACAAAAAACCATCGCCACGGATTGGCCTTAGACTAGAGGCCTGTATTACACTACTCTATCACGCAGAAAGAGCAAGGACGATCACTGCCAAACATCATACCCTCACCAAGACACTATCAAAGTAGTCTGGACGCTAAAAAGCAATCATATTTAGCACATGGCATGGATGCGATAACCAAGCACCTTTTGTCGGACTAAGCTAATAACCCTCCGTACGAGGACAAATCGGCCCGCTCATAGAACAATAACGAGAAAACATGCACTTATATCAGTACAAGACAAGCCAACTTCACCCCTCAGTTTGAGTAAACAAACGCTCGGAGGAGAATATAACAGAGCAGCTTAAATGGTTGAGGCACATCTCTAATACTGAGGTAGATATGCATGCAGGAGCATGGCGGACAGGTATGAGTGGATATTCACTCATAAATGCTTCGAGACAAGCCGACATTTCTAGACAGTGCTTTTTATCCAAGGTAGTCAGTACTAGTATTGACAAAACAGAGCGCCTCTTGACAACTAGCGAGTCGACTTAGCAACACAAGTACACGCGAATAAAAATTTTGGTCCTCCTATTTTCGACCATGGAAACTCGTCAACCGGCTCTCGATATCGAGCTGTAAGTACACAACTACGAGGTATAATAGCACGATCTCATTTCTGTCTCTTGTCAAGTTCTTGCAAAATCAAACTCATCTAATCGCAAAACATTTCACATTCATTCCTATCTCTTCATACTCTCACAATTCTACACCCACCTACTCCCTCTCCTTCTCCCCATCTCCGTCTCCGTATCCCACATCGTCCCTTTCCCTTCAACCACACCCACACCCACGTCCCCCTTCCTCCCAACCCTCACAGGCACAACCCCCGCCAAAATCAGCGCACCAAGCACCACGCCCGCCAAACTCAAAAAAAGTACCACGCCCATAACGATGCGACAAGTTCGCGTGCGCAGGAGGGGGCGTCGGAGACGGACGGGCAGGTCCGCAGAGGGTTTCGGCTGCGGGGGGTGTAGATTAATTTCTGTCAGGGTATGGATGGGGATTTGGGGGTGGTGGGGGGGCATTGCTTCGTCTGGGTTCGTGTATGTGAGATTTGAGGTGGAGATGTGCTGTGCTGTGCTGTGCTATGCTATGTATGTTGTGCTGTGTTGAACAGGGGGGTAGGTTATATCAAGGGGGTTTTATCAACGGGGAAGAGTTGTGAAGACGATGGGTGGACAAAGAAAGTTGTACGCATGGGGATACAATGTCTTGTCTTGAGGGTTGAGACAAGCGTAATGTGTACTTTTGGTTGTTTGGGCTGACTGGCTGGGACTGAGAAACGGTGCCTTGGGGGTACGTGGATGAACAGGAGAGGCTGATACACAGCTCAATACTAAATGATGCTACTGTGCTACACATGAAGCAGCAGTAAAGGGGGAGTCGTAAGCCAATTCCACACTCACCTCTAATTCCTTACGCCAAAGCACGAACAGCACACCCCCACACTTGGTACTCCACCTCTCCACCGTTCATACAGCCTCGCATTTCCCCCTCATTACCCACCATCCGGAGACAAGACACCCCCTTCCTTTGATATCCCTACCCCAATCACTACTGTCATATCCAGACGTCTCCCCACACTCCCAATCCCGTGACAAGTTTTCGTATCCGCGTCCCGCTTCCCCAACACGCCCGCGACCACCAGGATAACAGCCATTAGTGCGATTAGTATGCCAATGTTATGCAGAACTCGTTTGTGTAGGAGGAGCGGTTTGGGGGATGGGTTTCGATGTCGGGCATTGAGGAGGGGCGCACGGGCAGATTTGCTGGCTGTAAGACGGGGGGAGGGGGATGCATTGGGATGGAAGTAAGTGATGATGGGATGGTGGTGTGGTAGATGGTGGTGAGATTGTACATATACACAGTTCTCATTTCGATGTGTGGGAGTGAAGTGAAGTGAGGGGCTTACTGGCTTTGGTGGTTGTGGTGTGGAATGTGTTTACTGGGGAGTGCTGCCGGGTCAGGTCAGACTCGATCGGATTTGTTGGGTATGCGGTGGAATGAAATGGAAAGGATCGAGAGGGCGGGTGAGGCGTTTATCGCAGGCGGATCATGAAGAAGCGAGGATCGTGCGTTGGGGAAGTAGAATGAACGGTAGGATATGAGATACGGCAGATCATATGTAGACACTGAGCTTCTTTCCCTCGGATCTCATGGCATTGGACGGGAGTGGGTGTGAGTTCGGGAATGGACGTGGCGGAACTGAGCGAAGTAAACATAGTAGAACAGAACAAGGGCGTTGGATAGGCAAGTAAATTGATTTACGCCTATCAGTCAGCAAAATGACACACTAATGTCTAGCTTTGCGTGTATTACAAACGGGTATCGTTCACTTCCACGTCCCCTGAAACCCCTCAATTTTCATCCATACCACAACTCATATTAGCGAATAATTACATCTACGCATTCAAATGCCCCCGCAGCCCCTCTTTCCCCACTCTCATCGCGCGCTCAATCTCCGCTTCTTCTTCGCGCAGTCGCCCCTTGCCAAACGCCAGGTCCCGCTCCTGCCGCCTCTTCTCCTCCTGCACACGGCGCTCACGGTCCGCGAGCGCTTTTTCTCTGCGTTCCCTTTCTGCACGCTTCTTCGCGCGCTCGGCTTCTTCTTCCGCGGACAACGCCGCGCCCTCGGGGGCTGGGGGCAGGGTCGAGATGTACGTCTCGATGAGGGAGTCGCGGGTCGAAGGTGGGAGGGAGATGTATTTCAGGTCGGTGAGGATAGACGAGGGGAGGGTGTCGATCGTGGTTGAGCGATGGAGAGCGGCGAGGGGTTGGGCTTTGAGGAGGGCGGACAGATCGGATTTGAGGTCCGAGTGGCGCATGCCCAGTCGTTTGATGTGGTCGCGGTACAGCTTTTCCTTGTCTTTATCGGAGAGCTTGCCGTCTTTCATCTCAGGCTCCTTTTTGAATTTGCGGCGGAACTCGGGCCAGTAGAGCTTTGGTGTTGCGTGCTTGTCGAGGAGGGCGAGGTATGGTATCCGTGGGTCGCGCTTTTGCTGTGTGGCTTTTTCTTCTTTGAGGAATTGCACTTTGTCACGCGCCCATTCATTGAAACAGTCTTTGCGCGCGTTCATGTTTGGCAGGGCTTTGTAGCGTTCGTCGTCGTATAGGACGCCTTGGTCTAGGATCTTGTCCCAAGGCGTGAAGGGACTTGTTCGTGTGTCGTCTAGCAGCTCTTTGAACAAGGCTTTGCAGTCTTCTTCGGTCAATGCAGGGACTTCGTCGTCGTATTCCTCTTCATATTCGTCGCCCATTTCCATCTCTTCCATCTGCGCGAGCTGCCATGCTAGATCGTCGTCTTCTTCTTGGGTAGGGTTTCCAGTCGGTTCCTCCGTTCGTTGGCGCTTAGATGCGTTCTCTGCTCCTTCTCCCTCATCATCTGTGACCTCAACTTCCTCATACTCCTCATCATTCTCCATGCCCTCCTCGCCATCAACCTCGACTATCTCGACCTCCTCTTCGGCCGCCGCAAGTTCTGCCTCGATGTCTGCCATGGCGGTGTCCTCTTCGACGTCGCTTGGCTCCCCTCGTTCCTTGCGTTCCTTCTTCTCGCGCTCTCTTCGATCAAACTCGACCACAGCCTTCATCACGTTGGGCGGGAACTTCCAGAAACTCTCGTTCGTGTCCTTGTTCCACACAAACCTCCTTCCCAGCTTCGTTTTGACCAGCACCCAGGGCGCGCAGTTTGGTATGTCCTGGCGGTGCTTTGGCCTGTCTTCCTGCGGTCGCTTTCTCTCGACATAGTTGTTGTGCCCTCCACGAAAACCTCCACGATGTCCGCCTCGTCCCTGGTGCTGGGGTCCGCTATGTTGAAAAGCTTGTCTTGGCGCGCTCCCAAATATGAGGTTCTGCATCTGCTGCTGTGGATTGAAAGCATTTTGGGCAGGCTGAGCGTTGTGGATGTTGTAGTTGGGTGTCGCATCGAACGTGGACGGTGCTGATGGTGGAGGATGGTTGTAAAACTGCGGTGTTTCGGCTACAGGGCGAGTATACGTGGATTTCTTCGTCTCCTTGTTGTAGAAGTACGTGTGTCCTGTGATGTCTTAGCATTGGGTGTGATGTAGATGTGAGCTATAGCTACCTGAAGGTGCCTTGTGCTCGGTCCAGCCCGCAGGAAGCGGCGGTGCTGGCGCGGGCGGTCGCGTGGGTATATCCGACATTGTAAAGCTCGAAACGCGTCCTAAGACCAGAGTAGGCGCGAAGGATGATGCAAAGTTGAGGCTGCTGGGTCAATGTCCAAAAGTCATCGGGGCTTGGCATGTGGAATCGCCGACATACGCGTTGGAAGCTTGCCTGAAGCTCCATCAACACCAACCCACGCCCCAGTTCCCCCGCCATAGTCTGTTACTGTCGCCTCTCCAATCACCCTCGTCGACTGCTCTGACTACCTCGAACAAACCGCCACCATGTCCCGGAGATATGATTCTCGGGCAAGCGCCCCGCCCCAACTGCTCCCCACGGCTTCACCACTAACACATGTTTGCAGACGACCATCTTCTCGCCCGAAGGACGTCTTTACCAGGTCGAATACGCCCTCGAGGCCATCTCCCACGCAGGAACAGCACTCGGCATACTGGCCCAGGATGGCATTGTCTTGGCAGCAGAGCGCAAGGTCACCAGCAAGTTGTTGGAGCAGGACACATCGGCCGAGAAGCTGTACATCCTGAACGAGTGTGTCCCGCCTCCACCCAGCCATTCTTGGTGATGCTGATGATTCGTAGCAACATGATCTGCGCCGTCGCGGGCATGACGGCCGACGCTAACATCCTCATCAACTACGCCCGTCAAGCCGCCCAGCGCTACCTCCTGACCTACAACGAAGACATTCCCTGCGAGCAGCTCGTGCGTCGTCTGTGCGATCTCAAGCAGGGCTACACGCAACACGGTGGTCTGCGACCTTTTGGCGTGTCCTTCATCTACGCAGGCTGGGACCCGCAGCGCCAGTTCCAGCTCTACCAGAGCAACCCCAGTGGCAACTATGGCGGCTGGAAGGCGACGAGCGTCGGTGCAAACAACGCCTCTGCCCAGAGCTTGTTGAAGCAGGACTATAAGGAGGACTGCGACTTGAAGGAGGCATGTGGGTTGGCCGTCAAGGTGCTCAGCAAGACTATGGACTCGACCAAGTTGAGCAGTGAGAAGAGTGCGCATCACCAGAGTCATCCCATCCATGTCACGTGCTAACATTTTGCAGTCGAATTCGCAACAGTAGGAAAGACCAAGAGCGGCAAGATCTACCACCACCTTTGGAGCGCGGATGAGATCGATGCTCTGCTCAAGGAGCATGGGCTGGCCAAGCCAGAGGACACTGAGATGTCCGAGACATGAGACCACGACGACTGAATGACACGATCTGACTTGGTGTAACGAACGAGTCTGCAAAATGATAGACCAGGTTCGTAGTATGCCCTATAGGTGAGAACCACGCGACATTTGATAGCCAATTCCACCTCATGATGACGATTCGTTTTTTTGTGTCTGTTTGACTGCTCGTTCCTTCCTGATTTGTCCCCCACACCTCATACTTTTGACGCAACTGCACCTTCCTCACCCACGTCATATCTTTTTCGCGTAGCGCCAATCTCATCATTTCCTCGCCCCTCTCCTCCAACATCTCGCCAGACTCTATGCTCTACTGCATTGCTTATACTGCATCGTTGCTTGAGCATTTCTTACCAGTATGACCACTCCCCTGCGTCCGTCAAACGACGCCTATCTCACCAACAATGGCCCACCGGGGTCTTTCCTCCAACACCTGCTCGACGAGATCAATGGCGCGACTACTCCTACTGTCCTTCGTAATAGAGGCACCTCGAAGAGCACTCCGCAATCTCAGCCTAGTACCAGCAGGCCGTCGTCTTCAGTCTGGGTCGGTGGCTCTTCCGCTGCTCAAGACGCCCGCGACAAGTTACGAGCGGCCGATGAAGCACGTGTTTGTAGGAAACTTCTTAGTACCGTTGACGGCGCGTCAGGAAGCCATGCACCGCCGTTGTGTCTGCGTGTCTCACCTCATACACAGCCTCCCTCACCCGACGTCAGCTCGAGCGGGGATAACTGGACATGCACCGACACATCAAATCACAACCTGACTACAGGCTACATGACGACCAGTAGCGTACGATCTACTGTGGGCGGTTTGCGCCTGGCTACTTCTTCCCTCGACTTACACCCACCCTTTCCCTGCAACGACGTCGCACAATATCACTCACCACTCATCTTCAGCGACGTGAATTTGAACGACATCTTCTCGAGTTCTTCCCCGACCGAGGCACCCACATCGGCGGGAACCGACGTACCGACCTCATTGACGAGCATGACACTTGAGCAGCGTACAACGCCCAGTGATCCTGGGAGTGTCAGCTGTATGTTGAACTTTACTGCAGGCTCTCCGATACTGACATGATATTGATAGCTGGCAAAAGAGAGCTCAGCCCTTCACCCTCGCCCGAGAAGATGTCCAAGAGAACACGTACAGAGGCTCTATCAGAACCACAATGCCGCTTCCTCTTCCAAACGGACACAGATCCTTTTCAAGCATTCGGAGGCGCCGGCAGTGACAACAATTGTCTATCTCGAACGTCGACCTTCACCGAGAGAGGTCCAGATGTATGCAACCGCGCAGCGCGCCACTCCATCCCCTCACTCTCCTCCTTCAGACCCGAATCCGCAAACTCTCAAGGCCAGCCTCAGCCCCAACTCCGGTCCCAGCCCTCCACTCCAGTCCGAACTGCAGCACGTACATCTTCCTCGCGCCGCCAGCGCGCAAGTCCCGCTCAGTCAGAGACACCGCCATGGGCGCGATCAATGCATCTGGTCGACACCGACGACAACTACCTGTCAATCTACAAGAACGTGCATGGAGACGAGCAAACGGACTCGCCGCTTTGCCTGTACTGTTTTCGCCACAAGGGCAGCTTCAATCGGGTGCGGACGCATGGCTATGAGGTGTGCGGACGCGAGGAGGCGCTGCGGAGTCATTACTGGGAATTGAATGTTCCATCGTGGGTGGATCGGTGAGTATTTCGGGGTTGGGACTGAGATGTTGTTTTGGAATGTGGTTGTTTTGAAACAGTGGGGTATTGCTAGGCTTTTTTGTTTTGTGTTCTCGTTTCTTTGTTTCTTGTCTAGATTGGAGTTCCTTTTTTCTGCATCCTTGTTGGGGGACTCGTTGTCTTGTTTTCTGTGCTGGTGGGAGTTATTTCTTTGGACGTCTTTGTCGTATTGTATTATAGGTGTTTTAGTGCTTGCTATCCTGTTATTTCCACTGCTTGGCAAGTTTTTGTCCTATAGATGGGTTGAATTTGATCCTGTCTTTTCTGACCGCTTGTATGTGCTTTACGCCTGATTCGCCGTACATGAGACAGAACTGAGACTGAGACGCAACTGGAAGTTTTATCAAAACTGCATTGAATCCCATCTCAAGTCAACACAGGAATATCGCCACTAAAGCCATGAGTTCCCCTTCTCCATGTCATCCACATACCTCACCATCACGTCACTTCTCACAATCGCATCGAGCAGTCTCAACTCGTGTGATACGATTTCCTTTACATCGAGATATATCGAGCAACGTCAAGAGTGCGTGCTTTGTGAAGTCTTGTCTTGTTGTTGTGAGATGTTGGGATATTGGATTTGTTTCGAGTTTGGGACTTCTGGGATGGGAGAGTTGAGTAACGAGGTGGGGTCGATAGATAGATAGATAGATAGATAGTGAGTGGTTGGTTCGACACGAAAGGACATGAAGAGATAGGATTTAGTAACACAATCAATCAATCCTGGGAAATCGGATTTCAATGACTGACCTGGAAAATTCAAACTAATCCATAACTATCACATAATTGTACTCATGGTCAGATATCAGTCATGGCAAACAAGACAAGTCACGTGTAGATCAAGTTTGAAGCATGTAGCACATGAGATTTATATTAAGGAAATCCGATTACACACTAGGAAATATATACAAGAAGAGGAACACAAAGAAACTCGACATATCCCAGATCATCATAACAACCCTCAACTCTCTACAACATCATAGCCGCGAAAGCAGCAACGACAATAGCACCACCAGCAGACAGGGCGTTGGCCGCACCAGTGAACTGGGGAACATTGTAGCCGGTCTGGGAAGGCACCGAACCAGTGCTGAAGGACAGGGTGCTGTTGGCCTTGGGGGACTGGGGCACACCTGTGCCGACGGCAGGAGTGGCCATGGACTTCTTGTCGTCACCGCAGCCGTAGCCGTTGCAAGCAGACTGGGTGCTGGCAAGGGTCTGGACGAGCGGTGTGCCGACCATGGCGGTCTCGCTGGCGGGGTAGGCCATGCTGGGGGTGCCGACCATGGCGGTGTCAGGGACGGGGACCTTGGTGTAGGTCACAACCTTGGTCTGGTAGACGGAGGTGGCGGTGTTCTCGCAGTCGTAGCCGTTGCAGGCGGGCTTGGAGCTGGCAATGGTCTGGACGAGAGGAGTGCCAACAACAGCGGTCTCGCTGGATGGGTATTGGATCAGGGGAGTTCCGACCATGGCGGTGGCAGAGGACTTGTTGTCGTCACCGCAGTCGTAGCCGTTGCAGGCAGGCTTCATGGAGCTGGCGGGCATCATAGAGCTGGCGGGGTATTGGATCAATGGTGTTCCAACCATCGCGGTCTCGCTGGCTGGGTACTGGATCAAGGGAGTTCCAACCATGGCGGTGGCGGATGACTTGCACTCCCAACCGTTGCAGAGGAGCTTCATGGAGCTGGCGGGGTACTGAATCAAGGGTGTGCCGACCATAGCAGTCTCGCTGGCAGGGTACTGGATGAGGGGTGTTCCAACCATGGCAGTCTCCTTGCCGGGGTACTGGATCAGGGGAGTTCCAACCATGGCAGTAGCAGAAGACATCTTGCTGTCGTCGTTGCAGTCGTAACCGTTGCAGGCGGGCTTCATGGAGCTGGCGGGCATCATGGAGCTGGCAGGGTACTGGTTGAGGGGAGTTCCAACCATGGCGGTCTCCTTGGTTGGGTACTGGCTGAGAGGAGTACCGACCATGGCAGTAGCGGAGGACATCTTACCACCCTCGTGGCAGTCGTATCCGTTGCATGCGGGCTTGGAGCTAGCGGGGTGGCCAACAGATGGTGTTCCGACGGGGTATCCAGCGGAGGGAGTACCAACGGGGTAGCCAGCTGAGGGAGTACCGACGGGGTATCCAGCTGATGGCTTAGCAGAGGACTTCATGCCCTCGCCATGGCAGTCGTATCCATTGCATGCGGGCTTGGAGCTAGCAGGGTAGCCGACCGATGGCGTACCAACAGGGTATCCAGCTGAGGACGAGCCAACTGGGTAACCGACGGATGAAGTGCCAACGGGGTAGCCGACGGAAGGAGTGCCAACGGGGTAGCCGGCGGAAGGAGTGCCAACGGGGTAGCCGGCGGAAGGAGTAGCAGAGGACTTCTTGCCCTCGTCGTGGCAATCGTAACCATTGCAAGCTGACTTAGAGCTGGCAGGGTACCCTACGGATGGGGTGCCAACAGGGTAACCGACAGACGATGTGCCGACTGGGTAACCGACTGAGGGTGTACCGACTGGGTAGCCAGCGGAGGGTGTACCGACGGGGTAGCCAGCTGAAGACGAACCGACGGGGTAACCGACAGAAGGCGTACCGACGGGGTAGCCGACGGAGGACTTCTTGCCATCGTCGTGGCAATGGTCTCCAACGCAAGCAGACTTAGTGGGGTAGCTGGGCACATCGGTCGTCTTGTGGGGGATGGTCACAGTGACGGTCATGGGGTAGTCGCCGCAGCCCTTGTTGCACGCCTTGGTGGTGGTGTCGTAGCTTGGGGGAGGAACCGTGGTGTACTCCTCTGGGCAGTAGGTAGTGGAGTACATCTCGGTCTTGGTCGTGTAGCCGTTCTCGCAAACATCGACGTAGGTCACGGGGTAGGTTGTGGTGATGTACTTCTTGGGTGTCTCGTATGACTTGATCGAAGCAGCCGGAGTTGTGGCTGGGTAGGCGGGCACAGTGCTGTAGCCGCTGTTCATGCCCTTGCTGTGCTCGTACTCCTCGTCATCGCCGCCAGTCTTGTAGCCACCATCCTGCTTGCCGCTGTACGGGGTCGCGGAGGGCTTGCTTGGGTAGCCACCGTCGTGCTTGGCACCGTACGGGGTAGCAGAAGACTGGCTGGGGTAGCCACCGTCATGCTCACCGGCATAAGGGGTAGCAGAGGACTTGGTTGGGTAGCCGCCATCGTGCTTGCCGTCGTAGGGAGTGGCAGTGGAGTGGCTTGGGTAGCCGCTAGTCTTGACGCCCTCCTCAGTGCAGGACGACGTAGCAGAGCTGGCGCTGTACTCGCCACCGTGGGGGTAGGTGTTGGTGTAAGCAGCCGGGGTGGAGGAAGACTTGCTGTCGTATCCGTAGCCGTGGTCACCACCGTTGGGGTAGGTCTTGGTGTTCACGGAAGGAACAGACGAAGACTTTCCGTAGCCGTAGCCGTTTCCGTTGTCGTGAACGGGAGTGGCGGCAGGGTACTTGGACTCGACAGCAGCAGACGAAGCCGGGTACTTGTTGTCATAGGCGGCAGACGAGGCTGGGTACTTGTTCTCGTACACAGCAGATGAAGCTGGGTACCCGGTGTCGTAGACGGGAGTCTTGACAGTCTTGGTGTCGTAAGACGGAACCGAAGACGAAGACGAACCATAACCGTAACCGTTGTCACCGTCGTAGTTCACGCTGGAACCAGTGTCGTACGAGCCGTAGTTGACGGCCGCAGCGAAAGCAGTAGGGGTCAGAGTGGACAAAAGTCCGACTCCGAGAAAGATGGATGAGGAAGGCATGATGAGTATTAAGTTTAAAGAATGGCTAGCCCTATAAGAGCAAACGGAGATAAAAGAGAGGCTGTAGAAAAAGATCTACCGGTTGAACTGACAAGCTGAGAGATGTTGATGAGAAAATATTGAGAGGCTCTTGACCTGCTATCTATACTTGTCCTGCCATGCCCCTGAAATGGGCTTCGACCTACGCCTAGCTGAGGTACCTGTAGATCGCTGGCCAGTTCGTCAAGCCAAAGACAGAAGCTTCTGCAGGAACGCGCCCTGTGTATTTGCTTTACTATTGAACTTGGCTGGACAAAGTTAGCATGGGCGGTTTATTTTTCGACTATCCACCGCGGCGTCGTGTCCGGACGTAGGCGCAACCGTCGCGCGGTCCATTATCTGGCTGGGTTGTGGGTGGCTTTGCGCCGCGAACTCGAGTGTGGATGTTAGTAGTCGATTTCGACTAAGCCTTTTTGTGCCAAGCGTCCGTGGCGTTGTGTCAGGGGTAGGTAGATCCATAATACTAGGTGAAAAGCGAGCAACTAAGTCCGGGCCTGGGGCCCCCCGCAGTTTATATTTGGCGCACAATAGCGTAAAGAATGACTGTTTCGAAGTTTGTGCTGACGATCTTGAATGCAATACTCCAAGGCTGGCTAACAGCTTGCAGTACATAGAATCGCCGTAAGGGCCATAGGAGAAAGAGCCGTGTCGCAGTGATGCGTGTTGATTTTCCCGACCGATCCGGACACGGGGTCCAAAAAAGGAGATATAGATATATCGGGCCATCGGTCGATCGGCTAGCTCGATTGGACGGTAGGTACCAGCTGCTGCCACTGTCACGAGAAAAACAGTACTTACCCTTATGAACGGCGATACAACACGACAGAAGGGTCTGGAGAGTTGTCAGTTCATCGTTTTCCATGCTGCAACGTTTGGATGTCGGTGTTGGAGATGAGGATCCTCAGCCTTAGACGCTCGATCTCATCAGCCGTATACGGAGGTCTAATTCTGGGACACGACCTTTCAGCAACCCAAGTCCAACCGGACCCTTACGCGTTATCAGCATGCCCTCTCGAAATCAGACCCAACCCGCTCAATCCACACTGGCGAAGCATCCGTCCAGCACCCGACTCTTAGACATGGCATTAGTGCACCTAGGACTCCGGCACAGATTGCGCGATACGAACGCTGAGACTTATCGAGGGCTATTCTGGTCTCGGTGAGGCGAGGTGAGGTCACAAAAGAGTCATTGGCTGACTAACAAACTGGCCGATCCACAACAACATCCGACACCGGTCCATCGGCGAGTATGACCGCTCGCCTAGACTTCATTCTCGTCGGATGCATTCATTTTCTCACGGCATACACCTTGTGCATTGAGTGTTGTCAATTCTTCAAATCGTTTGGTTGCAAACATTAACCACACCCATCCTCGACACGTTTGGACGTTCTGCGCGAAAGACGTGACAAATGTGACCTGCATGTCAATTCCAAACACGATACTCTTTTCAATCTGCGGAACGCGATCCTAAAAGACTGGAATAGTAAAGTCACACTTGTGCTTCTTACTGTTGTCATGCAGACCGTAAGACGGATATTATAACTTCAGCCCGACATACCCCTTTTACATCTGCTTGAACTTTCCTCTGTCCTGCCCCCGACAGCAAACAGAATTTAGACAAAAGTATTCAACAGAACTCGACTTCCATTATCCCTTTCCTTCCCACTCCACACCACGATCAACTACCTCCACCGCGAAACAAACCTAAACTATCTCGCCCCACGTACCTCCAGATCATGATACTGTGGTATCCAGGGTAAGTTTTAGCACTTTGCCACCCTAAGGATACGTGGTCTAGTAAACCTCTGCAAAAGTGGCGAAGTGCTAAAACTTACCCTGAATACCACAGTGAGCCTGAACTCCAGCGTCCCATCGCGCCACGTAGTATACTCTGTTTCCGAACAAACCCACCAACGCACTCACTCAACAGACGTCCTGATTCCCGTTAATATCGCGGTACACTCAAACCCAACACAGACGTAACCAGACACTTCCCAATATTATCAAATCTCATCATCACAGAGCAATAAAGGCACCACAACACAAGCTCTTCGCATACAACGATACTTACATCGGTCTGAGTATGCAGTGTCGGCGGTGTGCGTTCTGACTACACTACACTGCGCTTTTCCATCTCCATCTCCCTGTCGAAACGCGATGGATACCGTGTAGATAGCTGGATTGTAATACTCGCATAAATCAGTGTATTGCACATCAGGCCGCTGGGGATGGACACTATGGTATATACCGACGTGTCTACTGATAGCCCGCGTCTGTTATGTCTTTAAAACACATCTTCATTTTCATCTGCATCTTCATTGTCTAGTCTCAGCTATCCATCCAGTATGGGCCAAGTAAACGTACAACACTAACTTTAAAATTAACTGTAACTCTCAACGCGCACGTGCATGTATCTCAATCTCCGCAGCGAAGCAATAACCCATAACCCATCCTATACAGAGCGTAAGGAAACAAGACTATCCGCCCCCCGGCCACCATCAACATATTAACCAGCTGTTTCTCTATCTATCCATCCCGATCTAGTCTAACTAACTTAAGTACTCCGTACGATGTAGCAGATTTTCCCGGACATACCAATGCTAGGTAGGTAGGTAGGTTGCCAAGTCACTAAGTTTCCAAAAACACTGCACGTACATCCCTTCCAGAACGTCTAGTCCTCTTTGTGTTCTGCTTAATAGGTAGGGGTTTTTTATATAGTGGCTTTGAGATTGAAAAGGAGTGGAATGAAATCAATGCTGGGGTACGATTCGTTTAGTGACGTGTAGAGAAACGTTAAGTTGTATGTAAGGATTCTTGATGTTGGGATATATATGTGAATGCTGTTTTTGGTTTTTGTTATTGTTGTAAGGAATTGCGGAACCGTGGAATTAGCTGGGTAATAGGTACGCACAGCGGTTTGAGTGGGAATTAAGGTTTATTATTTGGATTGGTAGATAGGTATATTCTGTACATTTCTACTTCTAGTCTTGATTTGGTGGGAGAGAAGGACTGATGGAGAAGATACGCATGGGGGATGGATGTGAGGCAAGACATTTACATCTATAGCAGTACACGTACTCTCAATTCGCATTCATTGGATGAGAAACAGATAATAGTCATCGTAGTAATTGTATAACAAATGCAATAAGGGGAACGAAATGAAATGAAATATGAGCGGAATATGTATACTGATAACTTGGAGCATATGTTTGCAGAACACAAAACACCTCATCTCTACGTCAACACTCCTAGAGTGCAGAGTATTGTATATTTTACTTTCTGATAATTATAACAAACCTACTCCCCACCATTGCTACGAAGCTAAACCAAGTCAATCCATTATTTACAAACCCCCAGTCCAAGCTAAACATGAATTCAGTACACACAACCTAACGTACTATAAAACAGAGTGGAATGTAACGAGCACTGCCTAACAAAAATTTGGATACATCAACAGAGTAAGCTCCATCTCTACTGAGCTTTTTCTAAGCCGCTGCCGGGGTGCTGAGGGGATATGCATCTCTATCTACATCTCCCTCTCCTGTCTCCAGATCGTTCCGAGGTGAAGCGTAATATAACATCCCAAAAATTACAATCTGAAGTAATTCCTCTACTGTACTTTACTCTACTCCACTCTACTCCGCACAACTAAAATAAAAAAGCAGGCATTACTCTTTCATCGCGTTAGTAAATCTGATAGTCAGTCTGGATCCTTTCAGATAGCATGTGTGGGGACTACATAATAGCACGCTTAGTCCAAAACACAGCACAGTACAACACAGAACAAAACAAAGTACGAGATGGAGACGAACAAGATGAAGACAAGCACACAACTGAAAATATGCGACACGAACATCTACCCCAGCCCACCCTGCCCTAACCCACCCTACGCAAAAACGATCCAGAACCCCCACAAAGAAGACTGCAAAAAAAAAAAAAAAAACAGCACATAACCACCAGCGCAAAGACACAAAAAGCCCCCCCCATCCCCTCCCCACCCCCCATCCCCCCCCCTCTCCCCCCCTATCTCACTCACTCCCCCCTCCCCCTCAAATGCCCACTAAGCACCCCAACATCCGCCCTCGCCTCCGGAACCTTCTCAAGAATATGCCTTAAATTCTCCATTTGAGTAACACTAACCGCTTGATTAAGCGCTATACTATTCCCCAAGATCTGGATAATAACCGGCGCGTCGATGAACGGGCCTAGGATCTCTCTGGCTTGGGGGATCAGGTGGTGTGGTGGTGGCGGGGGAGAGAGTTGGGGGAGCATGGAGGGCGCGGGGGCGGCGCCGCTGTTTGTCGCGAAGGGGTTTCCGTAGGCGCCTTGCTGCTGTTGTGGTGTGTTTGTATTAGTGTGGGGGTTGGGAGCGAACATGGGACTATACTGCATAGCCGCGACGGGACTCGGACTCGGAGCATTAGCAGGCAGCATCTGCGCGACCGGCATATCGAAGTGCATTGTCTGCGCTATCAGCGGTGGTTTATCCTCCGGCAGCTTAGCAACCAAAACGAGCAGCATGAGGTGTTCCTTGCGCGGAGTCTCAATGGTGCAGTAATCCAGCATATCGATAAACGAGGGCAGATTGCTTGGGCCGGCCTCGACAGGGATGACGTAAAGATCACGCATGACGTCGTTTCCGAGGTTATCGACGGGGACGACGCCCCATTTCGCGCGCTCGTGGAAGTACGTGTAGAGGTTGTCCATTTTGTCGCGGGCGTCGGGGGTGGTGGGGCTGACGGCTAGGATGGCGACGTCGTGGCTTTCCGAGGTGCCGATTGTGCGGATGTAGTCGTTTCCCTTGACGCCTTCGATGCGGCCTTGGATGGAGAGGGATTTGGATATGAGTTTCTCCCAGGGGATTACTTGGCCGAAGTCGCCGCCTGCGACGAAGCGCGCGACGGCGTCGAAGGCTTCTGCTGATTGGGATTGCATGCCGATGGTGCCCTGCCAGCAGACTGTGGGATCGGCCGAGTACCCTGACATTTCGACATCGTTGTCTTCGTCTTTTAGCAGGCGATCGACATCTGCATCGTCGACGGGACCCTGCGGTTTCTCCTGCCGCATCGAGCTTCGGCGGCGGTGCAGGAAGGAATGCTGGTCGTTTTGAGGTGAGCGCACCTTGTCGAAAACAGAGTTGATGTCGAAGTTCGTCGATGGCCGTCGTACGAGATCAGGCTGGGCATTGGACATGTCGACGGAACCCGCATCCGCCGGGCTGTCTGCAGGGCGATCGTATGGCAGGGGTGGCAGGGGATGGTCGTCTGATATGCTCTCCCTCTCTCGTAGTTGGGGCTGTCTGAACTCGGTGTTGTCGTTGGCATTGTCGTCGTCGACCACCTCCTCGCCCTTGTGGGTTTTGCGCAGACGGGGTCCGGTTTCCTCGGTCAAGATCATCTGCTTCTCGGCGGCCTCTCTCATGGCGGCGTACTGGCGTTGGGCGTCTTCGCTCGCCATCTCCTCGGTGGGCATTGTCGCGAGCTCCTGTGCCTTTAGACTTCCAGAGAGTAGGCGGTCCACAAGGAGGGAGTTTTTCTTGACGTTGAACATGATAGCGCGGAAGCGATCCGAGTACGGCGAGGCTGCTCCCGTCGGCTCGCCAAACTGCTCCAGGCTGGCCAGGGCGATGTGCAGGGAGAAGCGCGCGGCGAGTGATGTTGCCGTCTCGCCGTCGGGGATGCGATAGCCCCTGGCGTCAGAGGCAGATTTAATCAGCGGAATGAGGATGTCGCGCAGCTTCCCTGCCAGCGTCTTCTGCATCTCGGGGAGCGCGTCGATATCGACAATCTCTGAAGGCTGCGCTGTGGTCTTGTCCTGGTGCTGGGACGACCTCCTGCGCTTCTTGCTCGCATTGGCCTTTTCGGCCGTGTCGTCATGACGCCGTTTCTCGCCCACGGGCGACTGGGGCTGACTCTTGGGCGCCTCCTTCTTGATCTGCTGGCGGGGTCAGTCGGGGTGCAGTGGGTGGGGTGAGTGAAGTGGGAGCACGCACCTTTGGCTCGCTGTGGCCGTTGCGGACTTCAGCGGTGACGGGTGCAGGCGAGGGAGACGGCGCCTCGACGGGGGTTGGGTCAGCAGCGAGGGGCGGCGACTGCTGGGGCGTCTTGGTCTTCTCGGGGGCAGAGTCCTGCCTGACGTCGCTGGGACGGGCCTTTGGCTTGGAGCCCTTCTTGCGCGCCCACGGCTTCTCGCCGCGGCTCATGGCGGCCAGCAGCTCGCCGTGGTCCTCGGGACGGCACACCTCGCAGTGGTAGGTGGCGTCTTCGGCGTCCCAGTGGTCGCCCTCCTGCAGTCCCAAACACTTGACGTGCTGCCAGGCCTCGCACTGGTCGCAGCAGATCATCTGGCGGCCGCGGATGTCGCGCTGGTCGCCGCACACGCAGCGGATGATGGCATCGTCCTCGCCGTCCTGGTCGCCCGACTGCTCGGAGCCGGCGCGCGACTCGTCCTGCGTCTGCGTCTGCGTCTGGGCGGGCGCCGGGGCCTGCGACTGGGCCTTCTTGTCGCCCTTGGGCTTGGTCGTCTTGGACTTGGTGGCCACAACGGGCTCGTCGAGGGCGTCCTGCGTCTTGGAGTGGTGGCCCTTGTTGGCGCGGCCGGAGCGGCGTATGTCCTCTGCCATGGCATCGTCAGCGCTGGTAGCAATGCGTCGTGTTGTGGCTCTGGACACATCGCTGGGCGCATGGGATGGAGTGTGCTTACCGGCCATGGTGTGTCACGGAGAGATGGGCTCAATACAGAGGTACACGGCTTATGCTACGGGCTCAAAGGGTTCAAAAATCTCTACAGATAGCCCCGGGCTGATGACAGCCGACGGCGGACAAAGAACAACGACAGAGACGACCTTCTAACTAGAAAACCAGCGCGACCGATCCCTCGCGTCACTTGCGCAGGCAGCCGAAACAATGCGATGCGCAACCGTCGCAACTTCCTCTTGCGCGTCGGGCCTTGTCTAGCTCAGTAGTTGTCGGGGGCGGGATATGAAGAGACGTCAGCGGGTGCGCGCAGCTTGAGTGCGAACCTGCACGTCTTGTGAAGATGGCGGGCGGGCGTGGCGTGTGAGTGTGCGTGGGAGTGGGAGTGCTCGTGTGGGAGTGAAGTGAGGAGAAGGTAGGAGCTCTGGCCCATCGTTTTGCCGATGGGAATGGTGCCTTGGCGCTATGCTGCTTCGGGGCCTTTGCGCATTCCATCCAGAAGCATCCAGCATCTAAACATCCAACATTCACCATCTCGCAAATACTCAACAATCACCATCTCGCAATACACGACACTGTTCGCTTCATATATACACCCACGCGTCACGCCTTACACCTCCAACCCCACACACCATGGCAGACGTACGGTCGATGCTCCGGCAGCAGCGCGCAGCCCGTCAACAAGCCTCGCGGCCCCAGAAGACGTCGGCAGCTCCCTCGACAGCCCCGACGTCGAAGAAGCGCAAGGCAGCCGACATCTCCGTCGAGGAGGAGCGCAAGCGAACACGCACAGAAGAGGATGCAGGCGTCCCAGCCGGTTTCTTCGACGCCGGGGCCACCAACGAGGAGGTCGAGGAAGCCCCACAACCTGCAGTGCCAGCCCAGGACAGCGAACCCCAACCAGAGCCTGCCAAGGTCGCGCCCCCGCCCGTCGACGCAGCAGAGGAGGCAGAACTCGATGCGTTCCTGAATGAGATGAAGCAGGAGCGCCCACCCGCACAGCCCACACGATACTCTGGCGCCGTCATAGAAGCAGCCCCCATGACGGCTGCCGAGATTGCTGCACAGGCGCGGGAAGATCAGAACGCACAGCGAGCGAGGCGCGACGAGGAGGTCGAGGGCGAGAAGGAGGATGCTGCGCGGGCACTTGAGGATGAATTCGACGAGATGGAGGGACTGGAGGAGAGGGTGAAGAGGTTGCGGGAGCAGAGAGAGGCGGTGCGGTCGATATCGGGGCAGCATATGGCGGTGGAAAGTAATGTGTCAGCAGCTCCGCAGATGGAGGTGGATGAGGAAGATGGGGAGAGCGAGTCGGAGGATGAGGATTGGGATGACTGGAGGTTCCGGCCTGCTTGATTTGTGGATGTCGAGGAGACGTCGTGTACTATATGCAGCCTTTTTGATAGATACCCGCAAGCGTCTGTAGTGATTAATGGAGTCGTAGTAATAGCCACTCGTCTTCACCATAATGTCATAGCAAATTCATATTCACTCTGACGAGTATGTTTGTGGACATGGACCAACTCGCTGACTGGGACGATGATGATAGCGCCAAGCAATGACGGACACTCGGTCGAGGAAACGTCTAAGAACGATTCAGGCACGAGCTAGACTCTCGCAACACAACTCCCACTCCCGTTCCTCGACTCTCTCACACGCCTGCGGCTGCTACCCCTCACACACACACCAACTCACACCGCACCACCGGCGACGTCGTCCCAACACGCACACAACCCCCACCATGTCGCGGCGGCCCAATCCCGCGGCTGATCGCGCAGAGCAGAACCGCACCACGCTCAAGAACCTCGTCAAGCTCGAAGGCAACAAGACATGTTCCGACTGCAAGCGGAACAAGCGTGCGCCCTACCGTCCCCCACACTCCCCCCACTTGTTAATGAGGAAATAGACCCCCGCTGGGCCAGCTGGAACCTGGGCGTCTTCATATGCATCCGCTGCTCGGGCATCCACCGCGGCATGGGCACCCACATCAGCCGCGTCAAGTCGGTCGACCTCGACACGTGGACCGACGAGCAGCTGCAGAGCGTGCTTCGCTGGGGAAACGCCCGCGCCAACAAGTACTGGGAGGCCAAGCTGGCGCCGGGCCATGTCCCGTCCGAGGCCAAGATCGAGAACTTTATCCGCACAAAGTACGAGAGCAAGCGCTGGGTCATGGACGGGCCGCTGCCTGACCCCTCGACACTGGATGTGGATGACGACGATATGGTGCGTGGGTTGGCGAGAAAGTAGTGGAGCAGTGCTGACATGACATAGCCGTTGAAGAAGGTGCAGGAGAAGGTGCAGCTGGAGCGCTCGACGTCGCAACGCCTGGCGGGCGGTTCCACCCAACTCCCTCCCCCGCAAGCCAGGCAGCAGCCGGTTATCGACCTCTTCGGCGACGAGACGCCTGCCCCGCCCCGACCAAACACACAGCCGCCCGTGGGAGTACGATCCACACCGTCCAGGGCAGAAGCAGCACCCCCCAAGCCGACAAACTCGGCGTTGCTGGGCATGGACTTTCTCGGTGGTGCCTCCTCGCAGCCTGCACGCCCCGCCAGCACAGGGCCCGCCTCGGCCGCGTCGTCGAGACCAGACCTCAAGCAGTCTATCCTCTCGCTGTACGCCTCTGCACCCAAACCAGCACAGCCCCAGCAGCAACAACACGCCCGACAGGAGTCTTTTGGCAGTCTCGCGCAGACGTCGCCCCAACAATCCTCCTTTGGCGGCATGAACGACGCTTTTAGCAGTCTATCCTTCGCCGCCCAACCCGCAGCGAAGCCCTCACCCTTCTCCGGCCTCGACAGCTTCTCGAGCACAAAATCCCCCTCCACGACATCGTCCTCGAACATGTTCGGCGGCGGAGGAAACTTTTTCGACGCAAAGCCCAAGTCGCCCCCCGCCACGCAGACCCGGACCATGAGCCCAGGGAACTTCTCGGCCTTCTCCACCCCCGCGCCATCCAAGCCAGCGGCGGCCCCTGTCTCCAACATGATGAACGACCTCCTCGACTTGTCCATGGCCGCACCCCCCGCGCAAAGTGCTGCGGCTTTCAACCTTTCGCCAGCTGCCCCGACGCCCGCCCCGGCCCCCGCTCCAGCGCCCTCCGGTTTCTCCAACTTCTCCAGCATGGACGCTTGGGGTAGTAGCAGTAATGATGTCTGGGGCTCGTCGGCGCCCGCCCAGCCCGCTCACTCAACGAACACAACTAACACCGTGCATGCAGCGCCCAAGAGCCCGGGCTGGGGCGCTCCGGCGGTTGCGCAGGATGATGACTTTGGGGGGTGGAGTAGCGCCGCGCCGACTCATGGCAATACTTCGACGGCGACGGGGGGGAATGCTGGGGCGGCGGGTAAGAGTGGGGGGTTTGGAGGCGGGGATGATTTGTTCTCGAATGTTTGGGAGTAGGGGGTTGGGGGTATAGGGGGGTGGGTAGATATAATGATATGAGTTGATGGATGGTATTTTGTTTGTGACATGCATGATCGTGATGAAATTTGATAAATATGGTACACCGCAACGCCCCCTAGTATATTATGGAACCTCAACCTGAAACATCCCCTCTCAAAATAATAGCCCAACCCTAAAAGAAAAAACTCCCCACCCAATATATCACAACAACCCCCCCTATCAGCATCCCAGCTAACTTCAACACCGCAACCCGGTTCCCAGACGCTGCCATCCGGGTTAATCGCGTTGCGGATCCGCGGAGTGAGGTGCTGAGGGAGGAGAACGTCTCGCTCTGTAACGTTTACATTAGCATCTGCTTTCAATCTTTCGTTCGCTTTCTCCCCTTTTTCTATGGGGGATTTCTATGGGGGATATGGGGATAAGGGCAGGAGCGTTAAACGGACCGTGGAATCAATAACCCCCTGGTCCCTTGCACTATCATAGATATCGATTGTTACGCCGCGTAAAGCGGAGACTTTCGAGGCGAGGTCGGAGAGGTGCGCGTTGTTCTGTCTTTTTATGGGGTGGTTAGTTGGGTGGGAAGACAGGGGGGGTAGATGGGATAAATAGGAAAGGGGGGGGGAATATTTGTACTGTTCGCGCTCGTAGGCTTGGGACATTTTGTCTCTTGGATTTGGTTGGGGTGGGTTTATGATGGGTTCGAGGGCTGGACGGGGGCGCGGAGAAGCTTCGTTTGGTTTGGGTTGGAGCGGGGTTGTTTCGGATGGAGTATTCTGCGTTTGTTCTACGTCGTAGTTGGTAGGTAGACGGGTGCTGTAGGTGGGTCTGTTTACGCGTTTCGAACTGGATGCGCGCGATAGAGGTGTGGAATCAACGGATAGTCTCCGGACAGTACGATTGAAAAGTACAGTTAGAGATTAGATAGAATACTAGATGTAGATTAGCTATTTTTTTTATAAACAACAGTTTTAATTAGAATGTTTAGTACTACTTAACCTATATAAATTATTTACTACTTAACTGTTTAAGTTATCCTAATTATTATAAATTTATATTATTATTATTAATCTCTTACTAAAATATTAAAATTATTGCCTATTATTATCCCTAGTAGTTCTATTAATCTACCTAATCTTAAGCTTAATAAGCTACCTATATATACCCTAATTATTATACCTATAGCTAAACGCCTCTATTAAGCCTATATAAAGTTATATAAATAGCTACCCTAGTACTTAGGCTATAGTATTATAGATACCCCTTATAGCTATAGTATTATAGGTAATACGCTTACCTACTAATTTATCCTATCTTATCTACTACTATTAATACCTATTACTATTACTATTAATAATAATAGCAGTAATATATATTGCCTAATAAGTCTACTTTAGCTTAAATTACTATTACTATTATTATTACCTTTGCTATAGCTATATTAGGTACTAGATTATTACTTATATCCTAATCTTATAGTATATATTAGCTATATAATTAATAAGCTACCTGCAGCTTATTTATATATACCTATAGATAGGAAATAGTTTAATACATTTAATAAGGCCTTTAAGTAGGTATAGAATTATGCGTTTTATTATAGTTTTATTATTATTATTAAGTTATAATTAACGTGTTAAAATAAGAAGAGGGTAATTTTATAGTATAAAATATACTATTAAAGTACTTATAACACTTAAAAGCTTAATCTAATTACTATAATAAAGAGTAATTATACTTATAATATAATAAAAGTATACTAGATAGGCTATAAGTATTCTATACGCGTTGCCTATAAAAAAATAGAGTATTCTAGTACTACGTAAGCTTAGTTTATTAAAGTTAGTTTTTTAGACTATAACTATTAAATAGCTCTAAATCTACTAAGTTTTTTAGCTTACTAGCGCTATATACCTAGGTACTATAAGGTAGTATAAATTGCGTAGGGCTTATAGGTAATATATAAATTATTTACTACTATAAGGAGGTAATTAAATGTATATAAGCTTAAGGTTTTATAGAAGTTCTACTATAACCTTAGCTACAGCTAGCTTAAAATACCTAATAGGATTATTAGCTAAGACTATACTTTAAAAGGCCTTAAATATACCTTCTATAGTACTAGATTTTAGTATAGAAGTTACTATACTTATACTATTAATAAGTCTAGTTAAGCTATTACGTAAAACCTTTAGTAAATTATATTCTAGCTAAAGGAATAATAGGCGTTTATAGAGTAATTTATAGTAGACTTTTTATATTAAATTAATACTATATTTAATATAAATTATAACTAATTACTTCTAAGTATAGTAATAGCTATTTTAAGCACTAGCTAAAGCTTCTCTACTTACTTTATATTTATTAAGAGTAAAAGTAAAAAGGATATAAAGTTCTTTATAAAAGTTAGTATTAATAATATATAGGCAGCTTAGCTAGAACTTATAATTAGGGACTTTAGTAGAGGGCTTAAAGCTGTACTTTATAACCTTATAATCCTACTATAGTACTATTAGTAGTATACTACTAAGGTAATAAAGAAATATATTAATAAAGGTATATAAACTTAAGCTTAGAGTAGTAGTTATACTGCTAATAAGAGGAGCTAGTTAAAAGTATTATAGTAGCCTTACCTTAAAGCTACTAGTACTAATATTCTTAATAAGTATTACGCAGTAATTCTTAACTACCTATATAATATTAATTAAGCTTAGTTCTAGAGTATATATATAACCTATAAGAAGTAGTTAATAGCTATATATATTAGTTAGCTCCCTAACCTTAGTGCTATAGCTACTTAATAAGGGGAAAGTATAAACGCTAGGTTAAAGGCCTTTATATACTACTAAATATTAATTAAGACCTCTATTAGTATAATCTAATTATAGATTAGTATAAAGATAAGAAAGCTTATAGCTAAAGAGGCTACCTCTAAGGCCTTACTACTATATCTAATTATACTTAATTTTATATAGAAATACTTTACTATAATTACTAGTAAAGTAATATACTATACGCTATTATAGATACTCTAGAGTATATAGTTAGCTATTATAATAATACTAAAAAAGACTTAGATTTAGGCTTAAAAATAGTAGTAATATAGTAATTATAGGTATAAAGATCTAGTATAATTTAGGCTACCTTATTACTATATACTAGTATATCTATACTACTAGAAGAAGCTAATTCTGCTTATACTTATATACCTATAATAGCTACTTATAAGAGCTATTAATACCTTAGGTAGCTTATAGAAGCTAAGTTATATAGGTATACTTATATACTCTAATATATAAGATCCTACCTCTAAAATAACTATATAATTATAACTATTATTATTATAGCTAATTTAGTTTATAAAGTCTTTTTTACCTAATAATACAGCTATACTTACCTTACGTATAAAGAGCTTCTTTAAGAGCCTCTATAATAAGGCTTCTTACTACGCTACTATATAATTACTACTATTTACTATATTATTTAAGGTACCTAAAGCCCTTTAGTAGTAGCCTTCTTTAGTTAAAATATATAGTAAAGTAAACTAAAGGAGGCTTATAAGTATAAAAGTAGTAGAATAAGTAGCTAATACTTTACTATATAAGGTTATATAACTATTAAGTAATAAAACTAATAATAGTATATTATTTAGTACAGTATATAATACGCTATAAGGTTTATAAGAGCTTATATATAATAGTAAGGCTATTAAGATAAAGCTACCTAAGTAAGTACTTATACCTAAGCCTATACCTAAGTCTACGCTAAAGCTTATACTAGAGCCTACACCTAAGCTTACTTAGAGCTCTACTTAAGAAATATATAAGTTTATAAAGTAATACTAAAGGCTTTAGTAGAGGCCTTATTAAATATATATAATACTTACTTACAGTAACTTTAATAAGCTTAAGGGGGCTATAAGTAAAGTAGTACTACTAAAGAAGTATAGGTAGCCTACTAAAATACTTAAAATAATACCTCTAGAGTTATTTAAAATACCTACTAAATAGTATATAAAGGGTAAGTAAGTTATATATAAGATTAATAAGGCTATATATAAGTTATATAATAAATAGATAGTAGTTAGGCTAGTAATTATAGTACTAAACTTACTACCTCCTATAGCTATATTATAACTCTTAATAATATAATTTTGCTATTCTAATACTAGAAGGTATTTTAGTATACCTATTTTAGTAATTATATAATATAAAATTCTAATTTTTCTAGTATTATAGTATTAAAGTTTATAAGTAGTAGTTCCTTTAAATTATTCTAAATATCTTATTCTTCTACCTATTTAACTCCTATTTTTACCTTACTATTACTGTAATGCCTATAATACTAGGCTACTCTATATAGCTTATTTAGTATTATTTTATATATACTATATTTAGTAATCTATTTATTAATCTACTAGGTAGTTTATATATATATATATAATAAAGATTACTACTAATTATTATTAAAACTTTAATCTTAATTATATAAAAGTAGTATCTCTAGTAAAGCTAATTAGCTAAAAAGGGTCTCCTTATAGGCTAGAGAGAGAAAAAGTAATAGCTTAAGCTAGGTATTTTACCTATAAGAGAGTTATACTTAGGATAAGAGGTAAGGCTATATATTTTTAGAGTTTTTTTTTATAGGTTAAAAGTTTAAATCTAGGTTAAAGTAATTTATTAATTCTTATTAATTCTTATAAGTTAGTATTAAAAATATAGTATAAAATTAATTTTTAGAGGAGTAAAGGAAGATTTAGTAGTAATAGCCTATATAAATAATTCCTATTACGTAGATTCTTAAGATTACATAGATGTTGCGCTAGTACTTAAAATAGAAGCCTATCTAAACTGTACTTTTTAATTGTACTGTCCGGAGACTATCTAGTGGAATCAAGGGAGTGACGTGACGTTTAGCGCCAAGACTTGCTCTGGACCCTGCATAGTGGGCTAGCGTGGGTCGTAGTGTAGGGCTGAGAGGATCGAGGTGTGGGGAATGGATGACAGGGAATATCATGGACGTTGATTTTCGGTATGGAAGAGGAGGAGATGGGTATATGGCGGTTGGTTCTATGTTGAAATATTACAGAAGTCGGATGGGTTGGAGATTATCTGTTTACATTCATACAGAGTTATTTCGTTACCGTTAAACTGGTTCCGGCATGCTAATAATCTTCGGTTTCTGATTGCTGTGCAGCTGCGCCCGCGTACTCTTTCTCTCTCTCTAAGATTCCCCATAGAAACCTCCGCATAGTCCCCCGCCCGCTGGACTGCACCCTCGCTTCCTCGCCACGCCTTGACTTTCCTCGAGCGTCCCGTCCATAACCGCCCCCAACGCACATTTTCCATCCCAGAAATCTGCGTCGCAACGCGTCAAAGCTACTAAACTTGATGTTGAATTCCGGAGTACGTCGTGGCGAAGTTCGTGCTGTTGGTGTGGTTGTTCACGCTCGGCGTGCCCATTGAGTCTGCACGATTGCGGCGTCGGGCCTGTGCTTTTGTCTTGTGGGGAATGGGATTTGAGTGCTGCGCGGAGTGGGGTGCTTTGTTTGATTGTGTTGTGGGGGTTGAGGCTTCGCGCGGTGGGGACTTGGTGGGCGGTTGCTGAGATGATGAGTGGTGGAGGGCTGAGCTGGTGCTTGCTACGTCGATTTCGAGGGGGGTCATTGTCGATGAAGTGATGGCGTGGTTCTTGGAATGGGTTGGATGTGGATTGATGTGGAATATGTAAGGGCGGTCAGAGCCTGCAAATATATACTTCAGCACTTCTGCGTTGCTTACCAGGCCCTGAGATGGTGGTCTTATGGCTGCCTTGTTTCTGCCTTGCTACGAGGACAGTTTGTTGAGATAGATATGCATCGTACGAAAGGCACAGGTGTCACCAAGTCATGCCAAAAATGTGTTAGATTGGATATGTAGTATTCCGTGTTCGTGTGGTCGCTCCGGGTTTAGCTGCCTTGAAGTAGTATATGGAGATTGGCAGTGTTAGTGATGCGAGTGTTGACAACGCGGGCTCTCCTCAAAACTGCTTGAGCCTTGATGAATGTTGGTGATATTGATCCATTTTACGCAAATTATTGATGTGATGGCATTGTGAGTTGACGGAATCATATAATGAGCTGTCGTGATGGAGGATGTGCTATCATTGTTTTTACATCCACCCAATATCACACACATAGCTTATATCAATCTCGTATTAGTGTTTTGAAATCTGCATTTTTTGTTCGTCTATCAGTCTCCACACGCGATATTGGGAGTGCCTGGACCATGGATAAGGAAGAAGGAGTTGTTGTGTCCTTCATCACTTCATTTTGTTGCTCACAGAGCTTGATATTCAGATACTCAACATACCCCTTTGCGATGAAGTCTCTTTGATGACGATTCATGGCTTTCAAGGATAACGTGTACCCTTAGAGGCTAGGACTCTACGTTACTTACTGCTGGCTCACATCCCTCCAGACTCTTTGAATACACGTGTTGATTGGTAGTCATGCGTCTGAAGCGTCTTAATTCCTAGGATAATCACTCAGGGATGACCGAATCCATAGAGTGATCATCCTCCACAATTATACCCAAGTATTCAACGCCCACCATTCAGCATGTCCCACTTCTCCGAAGCACTCTTGGAGTGTAATGTGGCTATTACACAACCCTTACGAGCCTTCTTGCGACGAGCCCGGTACGCCTTGACTGCCTTCTGAACTTCACTGGGTGCTGCCACCTTCGCCTTCTTGCTTGGACGTTCGACAACTTCCTCCTCATCCACCTCCTGAACCCCATCGAAAACATTGTTTCCATCCACATCCAGTCCAACTTCCTCTCCCGCGTTCTCCACCCCACTCTTCGCCATAACCTCGGCCTCCACTTCCACCCCATACGCCTTCCGAAACTGCTCATCCAACATGCGCTTCACTGCTGCGGGATCGATGTGCATCATCTTGCATGTCGGGAAGATGGCAATTTCAAGCTGCTTGGCGAGCTTTCCGAGCAACCAACTATCCACCATATCGCGTTCAATCTGTGGAGTCTCATTCCGGATTTGTCCGATCAGATTGTGTTGTTCAGAGGTGTTGAGACCCGCACGTTTGTAGTCTTCGTATGTGAAGTCGGTGACGGCGGGTTTGGGTGGGATGGCAGTGGCGGCAGGTGGAGGCGTGAGAGGTGTGGGACGTATAGGCCCGCTGACATGAACTTTCAGTTTCTCGTGGCTTGACATGATAGGGTGCGACTCGTTGGGTGATTTGTTTGTGTCACAGCGGTTGGGCAGAGCAGTTGTGCGGTGTTAGTCAAGTCAAAAGCAAGAGTTGCGAGTGCGTTGTGGAGGGTGCGTTTGTAACTTATTCGTAGCGCGTCATGCATGCTTTCACTGTTGCGGATCGTCGGTCACTCTCGATTGTTGCCTAGGCATTCACTGCTGAACACCATGTAATGCCTCAGCCATCCCAATTACCTTGGGCATATGGTTCGGCCTTATGTCTCGATTACTTGTTCAATCAACCATATCAATCGTTAACTATCGCTCCTCTGAGGCTCTATGCAATATGCATGTCGGAGAATGATTGTGGAAAATTCATGAACCAATTTGTAGATACAGCCTTTTGCAGGGAAACCTTCACCAACTGTACTTACGGCCACGTGTTTTATCTATCCATTTCTACACGATATTACAATACACCTCTCATGACAGCAATTTGATAAACGTACTCCTTGCGTATGAAACAATGCCGCACTCGGCGACAAGATACGTCGTCCAAGTACAGTGACCAAAGCCTAAACAACGAGAAAACCACAAAGCTGCGTCTAGGCTACCACTCCTGACATGTTTCATCCATAGACAACCCATCCATCCGAGTCGTTTTCGCAACACTAGCTACCAACAGTCGAATTCTACACACGGACCACCATGACGGCGAGAAACATCTTGATACTGGATGTTTCAACCTCCGACGCGTCAAATTGATCGAGTCGTGTTTCTATGTATGCTCGAAATCTATAAATATTCTTGAAGTTTTTGATGGCTCACTCAGAGCGACAAAACATCCATCCAATCGAGTAAGTACAGAATTAGACTCAATAGCACAAGCAGACATCCACGAGAAAAAATTCCCAGATCACATACCCTCTACCTCTTAACGAACAATGAACGAGACCATACGCCAAAGCCTCATGACTATGTTCCACTGGGGCGCCACGTGTCCAAAAAGTCGACGCGTCGAACTCTTCATCAGTGAAGAATTGAACAAGATCCAAGTAGCCGTTATGCAAAACTTCAGAAACCAACACCAAGAGGGAATAACTAAGCCATTGCCAGTATACTTCGACGACATCGTTTGCTGGTATCTTCGAGGAATGTTTCTCCTAGGCTCCAGCATCCCAGAGTGCGCGTTTCTCGATCAACGCGTCGCGGCTAGCCTGGAGGGTGTTCTCACTGCCGTTTTGTGGGTGGCACGGAGTCGATCGGCTGAGAAACTTACTACGGCAGATATCTACGGTGATTTGTTTGTAGAGGATGATGCTGAAAGCGGAAAGAAACTGTCAGGGTTTAGCGTTCCCGATGTGTCCGATATACTGTGCTTTGCGAAAGCTGTTATGGAGGTGTTGGTTGAGCTTTCCTGTAGCATGTTGTTGTTCATCGGTAGGCTTTGTATTGTCAGCATTCCGGTGCTGATTCTCTCTCGCTGGCTCGTTTGAGCTCGGAAGAGCCGGTTGATATCATATCAAATCTGTATGTTGGTATTTGAGCATGGCATATAGATGCGGTAAGTAGTCTCAGTCATGTAGATTGGAACATCAAGGCACGCGTTTTGATTAGCCAATACAACTCATAGCAAAAGACTTGCAGGATGATATGTAGGTCGTTCATTCCTCATAATGTACATTTTCATTTCACGTTCGTCATCTCCATTTACAGCATAAACAGACCCGCAAGCACGGCAAAGATGCTAGCACCCGCGATGCCAGATCCCAAACGCGCAGCAGCACCAGTCGACTCTGGAAGAGAGCTACGCGTAGGCGAAGGCGAACTAGTGCCGTTTCCAGTTGTTGCGTTCACCGCCGAGATACGGCCATCCAACTTGATGTTGACAGGCGTTTGAGCCTGGATATATCGAACCAGCACTTCGTCCTGGGTGTCCAGGGAGGCAAACTCATCGATAGGCTCGAAAAAGTTGTCACCACCTCCAGCGAGGAAATCCAACGTGACGACATTGTAGGTCGTGTCGTTGTTCAAAGGCTGCCCGCCAATAGTGACAGAAATAAGCTTCGTGTTGTTTGCGTTTCTGGGGTTGTACTCGATCTTGATTCCCGTGCTGACCTGGGCGAACGAGGTAACAGCCTTACCGTTGTTGACGTTGATGCCGGTGTAGATGCCCTCCAGGGTTTCCCAGATGGTTTTTCCACTGAGCGCAACCTGGACGATGGCGTTGCCGAAGGGGAAGGAAGTGAGAACTTCACCACGGGTGATGTCGCCGCTGTCGATGGTTGCGCGGACACCACCACCGTTGATCAGAGCAAAGTCCACGTTGCTGGTGGCATTCTTGCGGTCAGCAAGCATGGCGTCGGCCATGAAGTCGCCGAGCAAGCACTCTTGCGTTCTGCAGGTGGTCTGGTCGAGCTCTACCTCTGAAGTACCAAGGACCTGGGCGCCGAACTCTTCAAACGGACCGCGCCATTGCTTGATCTGAGCTTGGAGATCAGTATCCTGCCCGGTCGCGTTGGTGAGGTGAATGGGTGCGCCGGTGTACGCGAGGATTTTGCCCTCGGAATCGTAGGTCACGTCGATGTGGCCAACGTACTCGCCCCATCGGTAGGCAGTCACGATGAAGACCTCATCACCATCCTTGTTGTTGACGATGGTGGGGTACTTGCCCTCGGCATTTGCCATGTCGCCGAGAAGGGTATGGCTGTGACCACCCATGATGAGTTGAAGACCACTGACAGCTGCAGCAAGCTTCTGGTCCTCCTCGTAACCAATGTGAGTGATGGCAGCAATCCTGGTGATGTTGGTAGTTGCCTTAATTTCGTCGATGGCGTTTTGTACGGCCTGGTACCAGATGATCAGTCGTTGTTAAGAAAGCATAAATGAGAAAGCTTACCTCAACAACATTTGAGAAGACAGTGGAATCGTCAGGGCTACTGATGCTGGGTACTGTATCCGTGGTAACACCAATCAAAGCCAAGCCCTTGTCCTCGAAAATGGTATACTTCTGAACCGTCTTGTTGATCTTCTCGTTCTGCGTGTGCAAGTTTGCGCAAACAATGGGAAAGGTCAAGTTTTGCAGAAAATCTCCCAGCTTCTCCTCGCCGCCATCGAATTCATGGTTGCCAAGAGTCATGGCATCAAAGCCGACTTGGTTGATGGTCTCAGCGATCTTCTCACCGCCGTAAAAGGTGTAGAACAGTGTGCCTTGGAATTCATCGCCAACGTTCAGCCAAAGACTGTCGTTGACCAGTGCGCGCTGTTCGTCAACGACGTTCTTGATACGAGCGTAGCCTCCAAAGCATCCTCGGGTAGGGTCGGTACAGTCGGCTCCAGAAGATCTGAACTCGTCAAGATGGGCATGGACATCATTGACGTGGAAGAACGCTGCAGTCACGTGAGCCAGCTGTCACCTCTATCACTACTTGAATGTTACTTACAGATGTTGTAGTTGCCATCAGCGTCAATTCCACGCTTCGTCATACGTCGGCTGTGGAGGACATCCTCCGCTTGAGCAACGGCCGACAGCGCCGAGAGCGCAATGAAGGGCGCACTAGCACGCGTCGAGAATTTCATCTTGACTTCTTCCGTGGAGTGACAGGCGAGGAGTCAGAAGGGCACGCGGACGACGACCAACGTCCGTCTCCGGACCCAACAGTTCTTATGCTGTCGTTGTAAGCGGTTTCCGCCGCGGATCCCGTGTTGACTTGGCTTAACGCATTGGCGCCAAGGGCGCCTTTCTTGGAATCTTTTTATAACTGCCTCTTCGAGTCTGGCGACATCCTGTTCCTGATAACAAACCGCCAATCAGAAGCACACGTGTGACAAACGCAGCAAGTTTAAGGGTTCGAGGGCGAACCAGGATGTTGAAGTTCCGCTGCTACGAAAACGTGGAGACATTCACGATGCACATGGGCTTAGTACGAGCGGGTACCTCGTTCGATGAGCGGCCTCGAGAGGACAACTCACAACAACCCATCCGGCTCGTCGGTAGCGAACGCAGCAAATCATACGAGTGAGCCATGAAGGCGTAGGTGGCGCCGAACCTCGGAGGAATCAACCAAGTTTCCCCAGCATCGCTCGGCCAACTTCCACCCTGATGGGAGATAGCACTGAGGTACCGCGTCGGGGTAATTTACACCGGCACTAGGTAATTTACACCAGAGAATTGGGTAAATTTACCCTTTTACACGACAACAAAAAAAAACTGTAATAATAGGTTTTTAAGGTATAAATAAAGATTTCCTACCTTCCTTTATATATCTATATAGAGAGATCAGATTATTTCTTAAGATAGAAATTTTTTATTTTTTTTATTTTAGCGTTTACTGCTAAGCCTCTTTCTTGCTACCCTCCTCCTGCAACAAAACTTTAACGTATCTTTTTTATTATTAGCTAGAACCTGCTAAATAGGCAAAGTTTAGGTAGGAGGAGTATCTCTTGTACTAGGCGTATATATATGTGTATAGGTATATAGGTGCGTACGTAGGTAGTAGAGGGAGTAGACTTAGAGGTTTATCTACTTTAGAAATAAGAAGCTTACGTAAGCTTGTTCTATAATACACTGTATCTTCTATATACGCTAAAGGGCGGTGTAAAACACACAGAAGAAAGACCGTGTTTTACACTGCAACAGGGTGTAAAGTGGCGGGGTAAATTACCTGATTTTGTACCTCAGTGTAGGACAGCTCTGTAATCTAGCCCGCGTTTTGATGCTAGAGTTATAACAAGAGCAAGCCCCGAGCGGAGGTCAGGTCATGAGCCGACACTAATGATGGGTAGCCCCTCCTTGTTCGACGATGCAGGTTTTGGAGATCCTGTGGAGTTGCGAGCGTACCCCAGATTTTGGCCGATCTTTTCCTCAATCGACTTCGTCCCAAAGTTTGGAAGAACAAATCCGTTCCTGATGGACACCACGGTGAGATGAAAGTAGCTGAACACGAACCTTTCGCAAGAATTGGGTAAGCAGACTCTGTATTCATCTGTTCTCACGCGTTGTTTTAATTTTTCGAATCGAGACTCCACCATCATCCGCAAATCGCACCTTGAATAAATGTAGAACTCGTAAGTTTAAAGTTAGCATTGAAACTATCACGGAAGTTCGGAGAGCAATAACATTTCTCACAACCATGCGTCCCAAAACGATGAGATACGATGTAGCAAGCTAGACAGGCTTATGACATACCATCTTTTGAGATCGAGACAACTATTGCAAAGTCTAGAAAGTGAGGAGAATGTACATCCCTTTACCCAGCTCAACCCAGCGCGACAAAAAGCCAAAAACACCATGCTCGCTAAGAATACCTCTATCACAGCAATTTGCCACCACGAATCAGACTGTAAATAACATCATATCTTATCAAACCAACTCCATGAAAGACTCCACACTCAGGACAACGTCCCCTGTCTGTCTCTCTCAACGCCGGCCGGCTGCATGCCAACCTGTGCCACCAGCTTCTCTTCCGCGTCCCTCTTCGCTTTTCCCTTGAGCTCTTCCTCGCCATTACCCCTCGTGCGAAGCGGACTAGTAGCATCTGCCGCGCTATCATCAACGTCGAGTTCCTTCTCTTTCCTCCTGCCACTCCCACCTGCTACACTCTCCCCATCGGTATCTCTCTTCTTCTCACCATCCCCATTCTGCACTTCGATGGTGACATCAGTGTCTTTGGAGAAGACACGCAAGCCGAGGACACACACAGCGTTCCAGGGGTCGCGCTCGAACTCGGATTCGTCGCTAATATGCGGGTAGTGGTGGCTATGGTTGTGCGCGTGATGCAGAAGGTCATGTTCCGCTTCGGAGTCAGAAAGATCGGAGTCCAGAGAGTCTGGGCCGTCGATCTCAGAGTCCCAGGACGAGTCTTCGGATAGCGCGTCGGGGGACTCCATGCCGTGTTGCGCGCGGCGAGAGAATATACTCATACTCCGATTGCGGTGGATTTGGATGCCTGGTCGCACGCCGGGGATAGGCGAGAGGGTTGTGCGACGGGAAGGTGGGTGTGAACGGCGATCTGTACGTGGACTGTAGGGCAGTGAGGCAATGCTGGGGCCAAACTCTTCTAACTGCGGGGTGGGGAGCGGAGTAGGAATCGGAGTAGGAATCGGGGAGTCGGTGATTTGCGTTTCGTTGTATCCATCTCTTCCATTGTATCCGTCCCTACCATTGTATCCGTCTCTCCCATTATACCCATCTCGGCCGTTGTACCCGTCACGACCTTGATAAGTGCCGGGGAGCTCAGCGTTGTAGCCACCCCGGCCCTGGAGCTCACCAGGCATGTTCTGATTGTAACCTCCTCGGCCTTCGAATGCGCCAGGCAAGTTTTGGTTGTACCCGCCACGGCCCTGGTAACCATGTGAGGTCGGAGGGGTCTGGTTGCCTTGATTATACCCACCACGACCCTGCAGTATCAACGATTCAGCGACACCAGGACCATAAGAATCTCGATTATAGCCACCGCGGCCTTGGAGCGCTCCAGGAAGGGCAGCGCTTGCGCCATCGCGAACACGATTGTACCCTCCTCGCCCACCGTATCCACCGCCATTTGGACTAGATGAACGTTCGGCAATTGCTCCGTCGGTCGACGCACGTTTGTGTGTCGGACGAGCTGATTGAACAGGCTTGGACTCATCGTCACCAGATGGACGGTTCTCGTCGTCAACACCAATACCAAGGCCGGGAAGGTTTCGAAGCCTTTTCTCGACTTCCCGCAATTCTCTCGGCGGGTTCATCTTGAGAGTTTCCTTGGCAGCCTTCTTCTGATCACGAAGCTTGGCTTTTCTGCGAAGCTTCTTGCGCTGCTCATGAGAGCGTTTCATATCGGCTTTCTTTCGCTCGACCTTCTCTTCTTGCCTGCGACGTATTTTTTCTTGTTCTTGCTCCCTGAACTGGCCCTTGGCATGAGCGAGATCGTACGACAGACCAATGGACAGAAGTTTCTCGCGTCGCTTCGTGCACGTCGCTCGGATGACATCGTCCGGGGTAGGATTTGGTTGCCTTGTGGCTTTAATCTTCAGGAGAACCGTATAGTTTCCTGCATCCAGAGAAAGTTCGGTCGACACCGAGCGTTTCATGTAGTATGTTCCATTACTGCGTACAATATATTCTTCCTCGTCGTCCTTGTGGAGGCGAAACTGAAGGTTGAACTCATACTGCCCCTCCAGGCCTTGATAGTAACGCTCGTCGAGCTGGCTGAGAACAATGACGACGGGACTGGGTTTCTCAAGGTGTATTTTGAACTTGGTATCCAGATAGTCGACGCTCCAAGGGACATTGACGCTGGTCCATTGCTGAGACACCGTCCATTCTGGTCCAAAGAGCCTGGTTCGGTCGAAGTGCTGGTAGTTTCGTAGCAGATCCCTGTAAGATATCCAGAATACACCGTCATCGCCGAACTTATGGTTCAGTTTGTGCATCCAATCTGGTGTCCACTCCTCAGACCCATCGCTCCACCGGCCGTTCCATTCGGTTCGACCCCAGGGATTGCGTAGCTTGCACAAACGTTCGCCATCGATCTCGCGGGCTTCCATGATGGAGTATGCGTGCTTCTCCTGGATACCTTTACGCTCGCCGTAAGCGCCGCCCATCTGGCCACACCCAAACAGAAACTCCTCGTTGACATGCATGAGCTCTTCTCGCCAGAACTTATCTTTGTCCAAGATGTCGGTTGCAAATATCTCGGAGGTGACACCGCCAGTGAGGTCTTCTATGCCCTCACCAACGAAGCCTCCGTCAATGGCTGAATAGTCGCCATGAGCCTTGGCAAACGCCTTCTCCAGCAGCGGCAGCCACGTCTCATTGGAGTCACTGCACTGTGCGAAATACAGTGCCCTGGAGCCTGTCTGCATGACGGTGCGATATTCCTCCTCCGGGCTCTTACGGTTTTGCAACTCGAGCCACTGGTAGCGCTCAATCTTGGCTTCGTCAAAGTCCTCCTTGATCAGGTACAGCTTGTCGTCGATGACTGCTGATATCCACTCGCCGTCTGTATCATGTCAACACTTGGCTGGGTGCACACACTCATGCTCGTCTGCCTACCTCTGTGAAACACGAAGCCGTACACACCGACCTGCTCGTCGCGCGCAACGCACACTCTCTGTATCAGCCCGTCCTTGTTGCTTATGGTGGCGAGGGCGGCCATGAACCAGCAGTCGCCGTCGTTGCCCTGCCGCACATCGTTTGCACTCGCGCCGTCTATGAAAAATTGTGGGCGGTCGAAAATGTCCTGTCGCATTTGGTCAGCTATGCGCATGGCTCTGAGACCTGGTGCACTACCTCTACTCGCTTCACAGACAAGGGATGGTAGTCGGTCTTTTCCTTATCCAGTCCAATTAGGCAGTCGGGCGGTGTGTCTGCCAAAGCTTGGGCACGCTTGAAGTCCGCTTCAATGTCGAAATGAGGGTCGCGGTACTTCTGGTTCAAGCGTCGGCATTCTTGTACGATTTTCGCCACTTTCTTCCTGCACGACTCGACAGCCTCATCGTAGGACGCGAGTGCGTTGATGCCCGGTATCGATCCTTTTGGCGTGTGTGCTGCAGCTCGCTTTGCATACAGATTGTCGGGCAGGATGGTAAATATCTTGCCAGGGTGCTTGGTGGTGAACTTTTCCCAGAACTCGTCAATGTTCTTTTGTGGCACCCGTTTCCGGATAGGTGGGCGTGGCCCGGCTGCAAGAGCAAAAGTTTCTTGGTTCATGCTGGGGTCTTTTGATTGGGGCAGAGTGACGTTGATGAAGTCGTGGGTTCCCTGGGAATCCATGGTCAATTCTTATCCACGGCGCTAGAGGGCGCGGAACGTTGCTGGAAGGTCATGGCGTCCATTGGGGGCAAAACTGTTCCTAATAAATGCCTGCGTGTGGTCAAGGCGCTTTCAGCCCCAGCCCAGCTCGACAATCTCATGTCTGTGGAGAGTGGTATTTGGGGTGCTGTAAGAAAAGAAGCGGGGCGGGGCCAGCGTCCAGGCGCGTTCGGCAGAGCCAATCAGCCTTTAGCAGACACACCAAACACCAAACACATCGGAGAGGCGTCACGTTCTACAGAGGGATGCGACCTCAGCATGGCCGAGCTGCAGGAGCGTTCACTGACTCACTCTAAGGGCGAATGATACTGACGGAACAGAAGATGCATCGCATTGAGCTTGTCGTTCGTCCGAGGCGTAACGAAGCTGTGCACCATGCTAGATTTGCTTGGGGGCGGTTGACCGAGATACCGATGCCAGGCTGACCGACTTCTCGTCTTCTCGTACCGTTGTGCGAACGTCGACTGGCAGTCGCTTTGGAGGTGAGTGACTCTGGTCGACGACGCATACATGCATCTGCTGCTGGCTGCTGTGTGGTGCCGCTGCAACGCTATCACATCCCATGGTAGGGGTGCCGAGCGCACTAGTTAGTAAACATTGTGCATGTCGAAATGGTGGGCAGCAAAGCTGTCGTCTAACCAATTTGTAGCCGAGAACTACGTCTCACCGCCGAGAGATGACCAGTTCACGCTCCATTCAAGGACACGCTATCATGTGCGTTCAACGTAAACTTTGCAAAGTAGCAAACCGCTGGTGAACAAACGCAGATGATCGTCATGTTCTGGCCCTCTCCATGCGAGCTCAGACGCGGACGTGCAGCTTTGGTGGCGGTTGTGGCTCGCTTGACGCGTCGGTGGCGGACAGGGTTCAATTCTAGGTATTCTCGTGGCTTACCTCAGTGTTAGCCGTCGACCCAGAGGTACCAGAATGTCTCATTCTGCCCAAAGCGCTGGGTACCGGGTCGGTAGGCCGTGGCTGTGGAGTCTATCCCCTTCCGGTCCTGTCCCATTGCCCTGGGTACTCGTACAGGCACTGCCCTGGACCGCAAATAGAGATGCGAAACGCCTCGCCATGTTGGTAGCTTGCCAGGTCGCGACCCAAAGTAGTTGCCGTTGAATAAAGTTGTTGAGCCACGGTCTTCAGCCCTGTGGAATGGTGACTGCAGAAGCATGTGCAATCTTCTAAGCCATCCTCACTTGACATCTCACCGTCCTTCTGCAGCTTTTGACCAGTCGGCATGCTTGGAACGCCAAAGTACTGTGGTAAGAGCCGGTTGCATAATCATTGCCACGAACGACTGAAAAGCGAATAGCAGACTGTGACAGAGCAAGGAGAGCGCACGAATGACGATCATCGAATTGTAAAGAACGATGTTGTCGGCCCAGCCTTGCCCTAAAATCTCACCGACTGTTTTTCGCCCCAAGCTAATCAGGCAGCGAGATGAGCTGACTGTTGGAAGTGATACAGGAGCGCGAAATCATTGGAGAGCAAGCGTCTGAGCAAGGGCCGACCCGAAATAGGGTTGCAGCACATGTGCGCACCCACGCTGACGTTGACTCCCACACGGTAACCAAGCGGCGAAGGCGACCCCCGAACTAAACTTCGGATATGCAAACACTTCCGGCAGGGTCCGTAGGATAGTCCGAGGCCCGTGGGGGAGCATACGGTGAGTGTTTGGTGGATGTAGGCCAGGTCAGCGGGAAAGCACTTTCCTTGTTGAATGCCCATGATGTCACCACAACAACACGTCGCGTTCACGTCGCGATCACATCTTTACCTCCAACACAACGTCAGCCTGTGTGTAACGATCTTACTCATTGCCAATAAGCGATTCCAGGCAGCTATCACATCCGCATATACACCCGGTTCATCATAATGCGATGAGATTGTACACAAATGCGGTATCATGGGTTCAGACGCCCAACGTATCGACAGTCAAAGGGGTGTCATATACTCGCTCATCCAAACCCAGATCTATGTAACGCCGGCCTAGGTTACATATTCATCATCTACGAACAAGAGCACAGAATCTCAGGACCTCTCCACCCACCATTTCCCACTCTTTCATTGTGTCCTTGTTCTCCCATATGATCAATCGTGCCACGGCCTCCCCAATGCTAACAATCCACTCGTTGACCAGACAAACAACCACTGGATTCTTCTGCACAAATACTGTCGCACAGTACAACATGCTAAGTACTACTCGCTGAAGTATTGGTGCCAGAATCAGAATCGCGTGCTCGTATTGCGTGATCGTGAATATGTGGAGGTTGTGAAAAGCTGATAAGAAGTTCGGAAAGTAGTGCGCGATATAGTGTCGTAGCAGATCAAAAGTGATACGGAGGGCAATATGCGTGTGAACCAGGATATTGAGGATCGTCCTGAATGAAGGCTCGTGAAGCAAAATGGCGAGAGTGCCGACAGTGAGGAGGAGCTTTCGGAGCTTGGGGAAGATATGCATTGTTGTGAGTGCTGGACACGGCGTACGTGAGGTTGTGCACCACTGTATCTTTTTTGGATATCGGATTAGAATGGCCAGGGGCTGGAATATCGCTTCGGAGATGCTGAGATTGTGAGTTGCAGTGTGGAAGTTGGTGACGGTGTCTTGGGTCCGCCTGTATGAAGCAGTTGCACGGTGACTGGGTTCCCACTGGCTTTCTTCGAGAAAGACATCATATACGACAGGAAATGCACGAGTTTCTAGTATGCAAACTACTTATATCGTCATTTTCATTGAATTGTCCTCTACGAGATCGATGTCTGGCTGCGCACGAGTATGCAGTATCGTGATATGATGGAGAGTACACAACTCCAATCAAACAAGATACATGTTAATAACCGGGCGTGCACAGTGAAAGACCCTTTGGCCGTGACACGTCATTTTAGTCCCAACATTCAAGCGCTGTGAAAGCTAATGTAAAGAACTTCCACGGAACCAGGCACCAGAGGACCAAGCCGCGTCCAATAAAGCGCTCACTCACATATTTGCATCTTCGCATCACACGCAATCACTGTCAACTTCTAGCAATCAACTAGACCTCGACGAATTACTAAGAAGATGTCTACTCCACCTAGACGCGCTTCAACGGCTCCTATTCGGAGAAGGTTGGATGATCTACCACCACGATACACACCTCAAGCATCAGATTTCTATACACCAATACGTGCGCAGTACACAGACTACGCATCACCACAAGATGCTAGAGAGCAATCCACGTCAATGGTTATACGGTCGTCACCACCGCCCACTTCTTCTGGCGGCAGATATGTACCGTCGCATCGCCGGATCTCATCGCACTCTGGATATCTGAGTTCTGATAAACACTTGGGTCGGTCAGAATATCCGTTTTCCAGTCCTCTACTGCCATCGAGAGCGCTGTCGCGTATAGAAGAGCGTCGTCGTGCCGGTCTGTCATCTTCAGTGACGACCAGCCCATCTACGATCGCGCAACCAAACCCCAACTATGTACCTAGCAAGCGCGCACCTGAGCGAAGTCCCGAAGAGCAGACACCGATCACCAAGGCGCAGAGCTTGCTTACGCCCAATCGTTCAGAGACATCCGGTTCGCACATACCTCGACCTGGACGCAATCGTGCTGAGTCGTGGCGAAGTTCAGGAAGAAAGTCTATCGTCGTTCCAACGGATGAATGGGAGGACGCCGGCACTTCAGAAGTAAACAAGGCGAGCGATACACGAGCGGGGTTTGTGTCAAAGTTCAAGCATGCGCTGAGTTTGAATTCAGAAGAAGCTCCTTCTCAACGTGGATCGGCCGCTTCTTTCGATGCCCCAGAGCCTCTATCTACTGGTCAAATCATATCGCGACGTGATAGTAAGAGAAATGTATCACCTGCAGAGACGGCTCTGCGGAGAAGTCTTGAGAATGATCTTGGCAAGAAGACGCTTAGCCATAGGAAGAGTTTCGCTGGAAGTCTACGGAGACTTTGTCAACCAGAAGTCCTCAGCTATCGAGCAAAACCATCAGTTGTATCCAACGAAAGCGAGTCAGACTTTGGATACATCGAACCGCGTGTCTTACAAGAATTGCCTAGCAATATTCTTGTACGTGTCCGCGCTCGGAAAACTGATAACTCGCCACAATACCAGAACCTTCCCACATGGGAGCCGATCAAGCAGACCGATGATTTCAAGGACAGATACACCAATGAACGTGCCAGCTACGATCGGGTGCCGGCATATCGCATGGAAGTCAGTTCGCCTCTCCAAGGTTCGATGAGTTCGACTCAAGGTTTTTCCAGCCCTACAAATGCCATGATTCCCAATCATCAGTTCAGAAAATGCGCCTCGTTATCCTCATCACCATCATCGTTCGTTGCTCAGAAGCTGGTACGGCTACAGGATGTGACTTCACGGGAGCCAGTGGAGCTAGAGCAAACGAAAACGCTCTCAGCAGTAATCGATCAAGCCTCTGCTGTAGCAATGCCCCCTACACATGTCGCAAATTGCGCGAGTCAGGCTTCGGTGCGTATCGGAAATGGCATCTCGCTCATGCCGCCAACCACCATAGTTGATCAGGAGCCTATGGTGACTTCTCAATCTTTCTCGATCACTTCGCCATCATCTACTTTCACTCATTCTTCAACAGTTCCAAACTACAACCTCGCGCTACAGCCACCGACGGAAGTGTTCTCCCAGCAGCCTATCGGTCAATCTCCACGGCAAGGTCTCATCTTTGCGGAGGCAAGTGCCATCATCTACCTCCTCATCGCTTACGTCGCGGTATGGCTACTCCTCAGCAACTCGGAAGAGACGATGAATACGGTAGATACAGCCAACCAAATGGGTATGACCTTGCTGGCGGGCGCCATTTTGTGCCTCCTTTTGCATTGTGCTATGGGCGGTCGTGTTACACGAGTTCCAAGGAGTGTTTTGCGAGCAATATGGGGCCCTTCGCTATGTTTTGTGGTATTCTGGGGTTATAGATGGTTCGGTGAACGGCAGTCATTCTCGTATCCTGTTTGAGAGCTAGTTCCGGATTGTATCATCCTACTACAATCGCGAGAGTTGGTATTTTCTTGCCTTGCAAGTTTATCCATGCCGGAAAAGGTAGGGAGAGTTTGAGGACACCATGAAGTTTCATTTAGAAAAGTAACGAGAGGGATAAGAAACATGATTGCCTTATCGTAGCGAGACCTATCTGCGTGCTGCCATTTGGTAAATCGAAGAGCAAGTTGGCAAGATGGCAAGACGGAAATCAACATCGTGACCCACTTATGATACGTGTCATCTAGCCAATCAACATTGAGTTAGCCCCGCGTCGCACCTTCTCTAATGGTTCTCCAAAGCTAACCCCACATCTCCACAGCACCAGCGCCAACCTCACGCCATCGTACTTCCTTCTACAAAGTGAATTGCAATACACGCACTCCCTTACTCGGCAACCCAAAGAGTACGCAGCAAAGCGACGGGAAACTATTTCTGAGGGCGCCATATCTCCGATGTCGGCCGCAGATTGCCCAATCAGAACCCAAAGCATATCATTTGTGAACCATACTACATCTATCCACGTGCGTTCGGGCAGTATATAAACGGAAAGCACGACTTGTGTCGTGTTGCATCTTGATATCGCCTCTACGCTGTGCATTACCCATCCCCGTTCGAACGAAAGCAATACACGCACGCACGATGGGTGTGTATTATGAGACCATACCGGATAGCCTGGTGCCGTGGATCCAGAATCAGAAGATGCTTTGGGTGTAGGTCTACGTCTTTGTTCTTCTTGTCTTTCGAGATGGTTTGGTTCTCGTTTGGAACAATTTACGCGTCGTCATTTTGGATAGATGTTCCTATATTATATACCTTTCCGCATCCTATCAGGCTTCCTATAGTCTGTATCTCCTTATATTCCAAACCAGTCCCATCCGTATCTCCTCTGCCATCGCAAGTCGTAATCTAACACACCCCAGCGGCACCGCCCCCCTCTCTCCTACAGGTCACATCAATGTATCCCCGAAAGGTTCTTCCACAGGCGGAACCCCCTTCGGCGTTCTCTCACCCACAAAATTCTGGTACATTGATCTCACCGGCTCGGGCGTTGAAACACATGCCCATCTCCACGAACCAAACAACGGGCGCATATGCGTCATGGTGCGTCCCACGCCAGTTGCATCCTACCACTACCCTAACCAACGCGCTTTAGTTTGCGGCTTTCACGGGCGCCGCGCAGATCGTTCGCATATGGGGTACCGGTACACCCCTCGAAAACGGCACCCCCGAATTCACTTCTTTCGTTGGCGATCATAAAATCACGCTCATCCCCGGCGCTCGCAGTATCATCCTAATCGACGTGCACCAATGCGCCACATCATGCGGCTGGTCTGTCCCCGAATACGAATTTATCAAGCATCGCACTACCCTGAACGATTTTTACGCGAAGAAAGATGCGAAGTTTCAGTCAGGCAAGACAGAAGAAAGCATGGATCGATACTGGGCGTGGAAGAGTCAATTGAGCATTGATGGCTTGCCGGGTATGAAGAGGGGCGTGAAATACGCCAGGGAGAACGGAGTCAAGCCGTTGAAGAAGATGGTGGGAAGATATGCGCCTGGAGCGCCGAGGACGACCGCGGGGGTGGAGCCGTTGCATTTGCTTCTTGTACTGCTGCTGGGAATTATTATAGGGGGTGCGATGGCGGTCAGTTTCATTACGCCAGAGCAATTGGAAAGCTTGAGAAAGGGGAGGGTGATAATCTGAATACACGTCTTGTGTTGCAAGCACAGTTGGGGCTATACGTTGTATCGAGACGGAACCTCGTTCAGATAAATAGATGATGACAGGATTGTAATCTTCGAAGATTGATATGTTTGGTTGTGCGTGTCACCTATCTGGTCCTCGATTTGAGAAGCCGTGAACAGACCAAGATGCTATGATAGACAAACCATTATAGATGATGTGGGAAGCGATGAAGACCCAGCTGTAGAGCCGCGCGAATGATAAGACCTCCAAGACGTGAGGCAGCGTTCAGGCGAAGCATGAATACGAGAAAAAGCTGCACACTGATTGGAGTCTGCAGAAAATGGATTAGCTTAGGCTGAGATGGGAGCGTCGGAGACTGTCCACTGCATGATAATCGTATCGAATGGCGTGACTGGTCGCGCCGCAATGAAGGACAAAACAATCCGTTACAGTAGCATACTAGCAACACGCGTCACATTAGGCCCCTTGTAGTGACGTAATTTCGAAGGATCTGCAACGACTCAGAGTGTCTCTTCAAATCAGAAATTGAGTCCGACCTGAGTTTTACGAACAGCCAAATGTAAATTCTCTGATCTCTTTTACCATCACCCTTATCGTATCATCAAACCCATGCTTCAAGACTGATATTATAAGCCACCGCTTTCACATCTGCGGCCATCTCTATTTCCTACTTATCTGGATAAATTTAGAAGTTGGTAAGTCCAATAGCATCGTCCATTTTCTGCGCCTCAAGACATGCGAAACTTCTACTTATACATGGCTCGAGTGCGATGATATTTTGAGTCATGGAGGGAATCTCAGAGAGTGTCGAACGTTCCGATAGAAGTTTCGATTCAGAACGGTATCGAAAGTACTTCAAATCCTCTGTCACTAGGCGGCGATCCAGAGAAATGTAAACCAACCAATCGTATAACTACGTTTTCTTTTCAATCTTCGCTCTGCGGTACCGGTAACATCAACGTTTCAGGGAAGAGCTAAAACTTGTTAAAAATATAGTCAAGTCCCATAACACAGAGAGAAAAGTAAAGAAGAAAGCTGATGTGATTTAGCGTTACGGAGTGCAAATACAATACGTGTTTTTGTGTGGCTATATTTAGAATGGGCTATATTTAGTAGCATATCTTTTGTAGGCTCCATGTTGTCATCAGCTCGTATTGTGTGACTCAATCTCTCATTCAAATATCTACTATACCTAATCGCTCGTCCCTTGGACGCAACGCACTACGTGTCTTTTCCTGACGACATGTCTGCTAAGACAGACACCCCTCCCACCCCGCGCCTTGCGTATATTCGCACAATTTTGGAACCCGACGAAACTCGCGAATCGATAGATTCCTCACTAAAAATGTTCGTAAGACAGGAAAGTTCCGAGCTTTCCAATAATCGACCTAAGCATCACTTTCTTTTTGGCGCATCCAACACGTCTGACTCACATATTCTTGATATCTTCCTTTCAAATATCCCAACAAACCATATCTACTATGCTTTCCGCTACCTCCAAAAACTCGACCTCGAACTCCGAATCTCTTATGCTCGGGCTGCTACGGGTACCGGCAAGAACATACTCCAACACTGTATCAATGGAGATATTCGAGTTCTCATCAGTGGCAAAGACGACGAGGAATGTGATGAAATTATGCTCCAGGAATGCGACTACATAATTGATTCAAGGACGACGTACCTGGCGGCTTGGTTTTGGAACTCTGCTAGACCCGGTGTACCACAAGACAGTATGCTCACAAATCCGGATTACAACGTCAACCAGCATGATGTCAGCAGTACACGTCTAAGGAACCGATATAATGCCTATGCATGGAGGCCGAGCTCAGGGGGCTTTCATGGGAATTTTAGGGATTGGCGATGTAGAAAATGTGATGGGAAGTGTAAGAGAGGAAGATGTAAGGAAAATCCAGGTGAAGAGAAGGATGTCTATATACATTCAAGGTTGCCCGAAAGAGGCACCAAAGAATGGCTTGGTTTGACTGCTAATGATGTATTGCAATTATATAATTGGCAAAAAGCAGTCGGGAAACGTTTAGTAGAAGAAAGGCTTTTGCAGAGTATCGATACGTTCAGCGCATGATGCCATATTTGCAGCCTCTACTTAGCGGAGTTGATGGTCTTGCCGCGCTTCTACTCTGAGCGAATAGTCTTGCCACGCTTCTCCGCAGAGCGAACAGTCTTGCCGCGCTTCTCAGAGCGAACAGTCTTGCCACGCTTCTCCGCAGAGCGAACAGTCTTGCCGCGCTTCTCAGAGCGAATAGTCTTGCCGCGGGCTTCTACCCTAGAAAACACCCAAGTCAGCTCAGACATGGAATCAGAAGAACGGGCTGAAGTGAGGCGGAAGGCTAATCTAGACAGCAAACTTACTCAACAGATCGGATCGTCTTGCCACGGGCCTCGACGGGCTCTGCACTCCTCACCGTCTTTCCACGAGCCTCGATAGGCTCAGCGCTCCTGATAGTCTTGCCACGAGCATCCAAAGCAGCCCGGACAGTCTTTCCCCTCTTCTCCTCCGAGCGAACGGTCTTACCACGCGCCCTCAACGACCTGCCACGAGCTCGCACAGTCTTGCCACGAGCCCTGATAGTCTTACCACGAGCCCTAATGGTCTTGCCGCGAGCCTCGACGGACTCTGCGCTTCGAACAGTTTTACCACGGGCATCAAGCGCAGCCCTGACAGTCTTTCCACGCTTCTCTGAGCGGATGGTCTTGCCACGGGGCCTCACGGTTTTACCACGAGCCGCAAGGGACTCTGTACTTCGGATAGTCTTGCCCCGGACTTCCAAAGCGGCTTCGGTTGACCGGATAGTCTTGCCCCTGATTTCCAAGGCAGCTTCGGTAGACCGAATAGTCTTGCCTCGCTTAGCAAGGTCGTTGATAGCCAGACCATTTGGCGCGGCCAATGCCTCCCTGGGCATTACAAGAGCCACGGCGCTGCTGGTGGCGAGCAGTGCCGAGAGGAAAAGGTTTAGCTTCATAGTGGCGGTTTGAGAGAGAAATTTAATAAGAGCTTCAATCGCCGAAAAGGTGAAAGGGGTAGTTGAAGATAAAGTGATGAGTGGTTTGAGATGGAGAGATATCTGGCAATCTTGGGAAAGCTCCAGGCTTATATGCCATCTGTAATCGTCCAGGCTATACCCCTTCTCATAACCCTGATCTCTCCAATGCCTATCTCTGCGTGGAGGGAAGTTGATGCCGCGTATCTGCTCATGGACTGAACTTTCCTGCCATCAACGGCACGCGAGCACTTTCCCCCAGTGGGTAGCCACTATCCACAGTGTTTGGTAGTCTTCTAGTGCTGCACACTAACTGAATGCCTTGCAAGAGGCAGCTAAGCACTAGCTGATCCAACAGCTAAGCACTAACTAATCCCACCTTCTACATCTGGTTCCAAAGTCCACAGTATCGTACTGCATGATGTAAGTGTACTTGTTGTGTATCCCATGATCTCGCAGATCTTATCCTAGCTTTGGGCTAGTATAGAGCGAGGACGAAGAGGAGCTCAAATCTCAGCTTATTAGTAGTACATGGCGGCACCAGCCAAGAATGGCCAAACAATCCCGTTGAGAATGCAAGTTTAATCAATTCTCGTTAGCTTGCATGAAACATATTGAAGTCTGAATTCATACACGCGTTCTTTTGTGACTTGCTCCGATCCTTGTGTTCTCATGATGTAGCGTTATAACGCCATTCTATTGGCCAAAATCCGCGAGTTTATTCCACCGGATCATAAAATAGCGATGACTGCGAAATTCTACTAAGTTCTACATTCACTTCTACCCATTCTCATCTAAGACCAAGTCACGAGAGCTAACATTTATGGAGGGTGGTCGAAGCACTATTTCCCTAATTAGATATAGACTAGTAAGCGATTTGTTTCACGAAGCCTATGCGCTGTCTCTACTAACGCCTCTCAACAATCTGGAGGATCTGCATCGAATTATTAGAAACTATTACATATACAAAACTCTGCCTAATGCTTCCCTTAGTAAACCAGTGCTTTTTTGCGTGGCAATCTAGATTACCTTATCGGTTTCAAAAAAGGCTTAACGCGTTCATGTATGTCAGATAATATTGGGGTTCTGGTGGGTCTTATCTAAGATCCGCTAGCAATCTGGATGCGGGGATAACATCTCACACGGGAACCCGGGTGATCCCTTGTACTAGTCTTAAGCCATACACAGGCTCACCTCCGAACTTGGCAGGGGCCGAAATCCTACGAGCCTGCAAGTCTATCACAATCACCATTGCTGCAGAAAAATGACATACTCGAAGGCCAGGGTTGACTTACGTCTCAGTCTTGCCACTGCTCAGCACGGGATAGTTCCGCGAATTATCCTACCCAGAAGTCGTACTTTCTGCTGGCTTCATACCAGCGCCGCTCAAGTCCTCGGTTCACTCAAAGCAAACCATTTTCATTACAATCACCATGTATTCAGGGTCTGAAGTACTGAAAAACTTCAAAATACGTTACGCTCCTTTGAGTAGTCGCGAAGATGGGCAGAATGCTGAAAATGAATTGGACATCGAGGACTGGCAACCCGCCAAATTCCGTCAGCCAGATCATTCGTGGCGATGGATCCTTCTGAGCAGCTTCCTCGCCATCCTCAATATCTATCAGCTGCTACGTCCGTTCAAGTTTCCCCCCTTTGGTATGGGCCACGCAGGAGATACATTCAGCATGGGCTTCTCCACGGATTTTGGTAGGACAAGCTTCCTGGAGTGGATTGTTCTGTGAACGCACACTGATATACCTTGACAGAGGATGCACGTCAAGTGATTGAGCTTGAACAGCGTAACTTCACCGGCTGGATCGACTACAACACAACTGAAGACGACGTGTACCGTGTACTAGATCCGAGTGAACCCCAGTACTTTGGGCCGCCCTCAAAGGAAATGGATGCTGACTGGGACTATCTCCTTTACGGCCAGTACGTCGCCATGACTGATGAAGAGGCGACTCGCTATCCCGGAATCGTGACGTCCGGAAGAACTGGAAATTACCACATGCAGTGAGTTCTCGTCTTTTTCTTCATGTATAATAGTGATTACCCTAAGCTTATTGATCTCTCGCTAGACCCGACGTCTACCACTCTTTGCATTGTCTCAACTCGATTCGCATGGAACTTGAGCCAGAGTACTACGCAGAACATCCGCGTCCGGACGCCGATGTGCCTGTACCAAAGAGCTGGGACATGGTTCATCGTGACCATTGCCTCGATCAGATAAGACAGTCACTAATGTGTTTCGGCGATTTGAGCCCGGCGCCCTTCGCGGCATGGGATGGATTCCATCTGTCCATTGCCGAAGGAAGGACGCATACTTGCCGCAAGTGGGAGGGCATCAGCGACTGGGTCAGGATCAGAGATCAGCGATCTCCTGCGGTTTCAGGTGATTGAGAAATAATATTGGGATGTGTTCTGCTTTTTACTCGCTCTATGATAGGCCAATGTTTATAGATATCCTTCCAATGTTTAGGTAAATTCAAGTGGCAGGTGTAGCATTCCGGCTTCGTCGACAGCGCATAGCGGGTCGTGTCCAAGCTTACCATCCCACAATTGACGAATCTGATATCGGTTGCTCGGCTCCATGTCCAGCAAAATCAACATTGCCTGCTCAATGTCTGCATCCAAATCTAAGCCGTCAAGCAGAGCGTGTGGATTGTCCAAAAAAGCGTTGAAATACTCGTCCTTGGGGGAGGAATCGTCCCACGGATCATCTTCCAAATACAGACGTAACAGCAGCATGCCCAGCGACCACAGGTCGGCTGCAGCTGCGTCGTAACCTCCAACCTCACCTGCATATAGCTCCGGCGCGATGTATGGCCGCGTGCCAGTGAACGAAGTGGCATTTCCATCCAATGGGACCGCTTCGCCGAAGTCGATCAATTTGACGTGACCACCAGTTGATAAGAGAATGTTTCCCGGTTTCAAATCCCGATGGGCGAAGCCTGAATCATGGAGATCTAGCACCGCCTGCAGTACCTGGGTGAACAGGCAGTGCGTGTCGTCGTGCGTCCAGTATGCACGATCTAGCAAATCTAGCAATGCCAAGGGGACGTGTTCCATGATGAGATGGATTTGGAGACTCTCAGCATCCGTGAGGAGTGCGTAAGAGCGGGCGAATGCTGGGTGGTTGGCCATAGCTGCGCCAACGGAGAATTCATGCTGTATCGCGGCAGCGAAGTCAGGTATAGATTCGCCGTCTGCGGCATGGAAAGCCTTGACAGCGAAGGCCTTGGACGTGACGGGGTGGTGAATCTTGTAAACGGTGCCCATTGATCCACTTTCGATGGTAGTGAGACTGGGGTCTGCGCCTAGAGCTAGCAGCGAGATATGGTTGCAGATGTACTCTGACCGGGCCTGGCAGCAAGAGATCTGGGGGCTAAGATCCATATCGTGTCGAATCAATGGTCTAAGACGGTAAGAAGGACATTGGTAGTGGGGGCTGAAGCTGCACGCAAGAGTGGATGTGGAAAAGGCAAGGAAGCAGATGCAGACAAGGATGATATCTAGCCCCATCCGGAAGTGGCAGGAAGGCTGGCGATGTCGGAGATGTCAAGTAAAGGTGTTGAACAGATTGTTAATGGCTCCTGATCTCTTAAAACCCCTAGAGGAAGGTTAGCATTCTTATTGAATTCCGTTTCACATGCTATGACCCGCCTTGTGGAATAATGAGATCGCCGGTATGCAGTGACACCTTTCTGCCGTCTTTTCTCGAAGACCGTCAGCTTGGGGAGGGGCAATTTATACCTCAACAGAAACAGCGGGAGAACCAGGATATGACAACAAGATGTTATTGATACCTGTAAGGTAAGAAAGGCAATAGACTTTAAGAAGTCGTGGCACAGCTATAACAAGGCTATGTAGGTAGCAAGATATCAAGACTAGCGTGTAATAGGAGTCTTAGTAAACAGAGTATAAAAAACCGAACTGGAAGAAATATAAGAAATTCGAAACAGTGTTATTAGTTTATTTCCGGATCTTATCGAGTGGGGCCCGATTGCATCATACCAGGGTATCAATAAGTTGGCCCTAAGACCACGATTAAGCGAGTCACTCAATTGGAGCAATCGAGGAATGCCTAGGTCTGTATCCAGATCTTTTCCTTTGTACAAAAATTCCACAAGCTTGCGCTGTCGACACCATGGATGAAGCTGTGGGTTGATTTGGCTTACGGGAAATTTTCTAGGAGAAGTTAGGCGTTAGAATTGCTGACACCAGTGTTCTTCACAGACCCTTCTAGAACTGATTCTTCCAGCGTTTGCCATGTTACTCGACGGCGATTCACGGCTGAGGGATGAGTCGCATCATCGCCAGGATGATGAATTAAGATAGTATTAGCGTACTCGAGTCCGAGCCTGTTTACTGGCCTTCGCCGAGTCGATTGCTTCTTTGAAGCTGCTCGGGTTCTTTTTGAATCCGGTGGCAATCTTGGTCGTGACAAGGACTTGGTTGCGAGGTTTGCCAGTGATTCGAATGGCTTTCCCAAGCTCTTTCCCATTCACGTGCGCGGTATCGATCATGTGACATCCTGCCGCAAGCCCTCGGTCGATGTAATCAACGCATTCGAAACCTTTGCTTTTGTCGGTTTCAGGTGCTATGCGCGAAGTTCAAATGGCAACATTGAAAAGCATCAATCAACAACGACGGTTGCCGAGGGGGTTTGGGATTGTAACGGTAGGAGAGTAGTTTGATGAGTAGATCTAAGGGGGCTTGGTGTGTTGATGGAGCGAGTTGACCAGTCGAGGCGCAGATACCCCGCAATGTCGCATAGAACAGCCGGCTATTTCGAAGATATGTTTTGTATCAGCGGCTTCACGTGGAAACATGTCTCAAACGCTTACTTCGCGTCGCGCATAGAATGCATGTCGTTGGAGTAATCGACGCATTGAACACGAAGAAGCATTGACTGCTGCTCGCTTCCCTATCTGGATCGGCACGAAGGAGCGTTCCGATTGGCCCAGGTATTCGCCGAGTAACATCATATCCGAGGCCCGGTGCTACACAACACGGTTCTGTACTGACGACAACCGACTTAAAAACTTTCTCATGCTTATCTATGCTCAACCCACCTTTTCCAGACTGCGCGGTCATCTCACTGACAGGTGCGGCACTCCATAGCACGTGAGGTTCACCGTAGTGAAGTCTTAACGGTATAGCCAGGCATTCCTGAGTTGCGCATTAGTACCTCGGACGGTGGTTGCGAGTAATATAGTTTGCAAGTCGACATCTTGAAGCAGCTCTGTATGGGCATACTCGAGCGCATCGATGGGATGTTGGGCATTAGCGGGATGTCGTCGAGATCGCGCTATGATGACGTGAACAAAGGTTCACTATCATTCTGATGTCTCGACGTAGTATTTGGACCAAAACACTACCAGAGACCACGAACGCCGTGCCTGAAGAAGACATTGATGAATTTCGCAAGACGCTCCTGCAAGTTTGTGCTTATTTATCTCAAGTCTGCTAAAGATATATACCTATCAAGCGAACCGTGCAATAAAAAAAGAAATTCATTCCATGAATTCCTTTGTCTGATATACATCGCTTCTTACACATTAGGTATCTTGAATCCTCCTGGGAGTAAATTCTGGTAGATACCCGAAGGATCATACTTCCGTGCGACCGTTCTCATAAACTTCACTTTATCAGCGCCATAAGCGGAAAGGGGATCTTGGTCCTTATCAGCATAGTTGAGGTAGAGATAGTCCACTGCAGTGCCCTTGCTAGAAGCAAACTTCTGGATGCCGTCGGTCAATGCCAGGCCTTGGTTGATAAAAAGTTCATCGTCCTTAGCCTCGGACCAAGAGAGATATGACTGATACATAATGAAGTTTTCAGTATAGCGCTCCATACCGAGCACGTTGCCCCCCTTGTACATGCTGTTCGCGGTGTAGCGTGTGGACCATACTTGATGAAGACAGGAAACGCGCCACTGGCCGGATGCCTTGGCTTGAAGCTCTGTGATCATAATTTTATACAGGCGGGCAGTCTCTTGAAGGGTAGCTAGGTCGATTTTGAACGAAAGAGTGCGGAATTGGACCCTACAAAGTTCTTTAAGTCAGCAACAGGCTCTTGATGACAATGAACATAAAGAAACCCACCTCTTAGTTGTGTCACTGCCGAACTCTGCAGCGACTGCGCTCATTGGTTGAACCTTTGTGGTGTCGCTGATGTTGTTGGCGACGGCAAAGAATTCCTTGTAGGCATCTGGGCGAGGCACAGGTTTCGTGTAATCGAAAGCTGCCCGTACGACATCTGTGGGGCTGGCAGTCGAATACCCTTGGAAGACAATCAAGGCGGCACTGGGGTCTCTTTTCGGGTTCAGGCCAAAGTTGACAAGAGCCTTGAAATGCTGATCGGCGGTCGATGCGGGATAGGTGACGATGCCTCCCCATAGATTTTCGTTCTGGAAAGTCTCCATATCGTATCGTGTCACGATACCAAAGTTGCTGCTACCGCCCTTGAGAGCGGTGAAAAGGTCAGCACTTTTGTTCTTGTTGCTATTCACGATACGGCCATCAGCAAGGACAACCTGGAAGTTGACCACGTTGTCGCAAGACAGTCCAACACGGGCGGCGTAGTGTGATATTCCACCACCCAGAAGAAAGCCTCCAACACCAACAGTAGAGCCACGACCGCCAGCTACCATGCGTCCTAATGGTTCAAGGGTTTGGTAGACGGAGCCCCATCGTGCAGCTGGTGAGATGCTTGCTATTTTGGTGCCAGTGTCGTATGTGGTACTATTCATGTAAAGTAGGTCGATGGTCACGCCGTCGTCGACATTGTTGGAGCCCGGGATTGGAGTATGACCACCAGAGCGTACGGCAAACTGGCAAGGCTTCAGAAGGCTTGCGGCCGTGAGGACCTTCACAGTTATGGACACTTCCTCAGCGGCCTTTGGTTGCACGATACAGTTGGGCGTTAACCTGCTTTTGCCATCAAAGTAGGAACCAAGACTAGCCTCGTATGCACTTTGTCCAGGGTAAGTGACACGCATAGATACAGGACTGAGTGTCAAGGCAGTGCACTGAAGGAGGTTAGAAGAGCTATGCAGTGCTGAGAGCAACTTACACAGTAATTTGGAAAAAGAAACTGAACTGTAGATTCAATCTTGGTTTCATTCTGAGCATGTGACAAGTTGAGGAGTGCTGCAACAAGCAGGGTAAGGCTGAGACAAAACATAACGAGCAGGTTCCTAACAAGATTGGCAGTAAGCGATTGTCAACACAGAGGGTCGTTCGATTTCTTGGCTTCCTAAAAGCATCCTACGCCTTTTAATAACAAAGGTATTGGACGACTGTCGAACCACCTGGAATTGGTCCTTGCACCGAAAGCACGATCCTAAGGAAAGTGGCTCCAGACTTGTCCCACACGTCACAGTGATTGTCAATCGAAGAATGCGACCGCTTTGACCGTCTCATCAAGCTAGACGTTCTGATCCAGTCTCGTGGCCATTCATAGTACCTGCAGAAGCGGCTGCAGTTATCCTTGCCCCACAACCCGGTAAGCTTCGCTTCCTTCGGTTTGCCTCATTTTCACAACCCTAGCCCGAAGGATGAAGCCCCACTATTTATACGTTTCCACCGTTCACAAACCACGGTATACTTAGTGTAAGAAGACAATAACGTTGAAGATTGTGTTATTGCTTGGCTCATGTTTGGCTCATGCTTGCTCATCTTGATAAGGCCTACGGCTTTATGAGTCGGCATTTTGTTTTCTTCTGGGTGGTCCGTTGTTATACAGAAACCTTTCCCCAGGCTGCAAGCAAAATACAGTGGAGACTTATAGTAGCTAGAAAGACTCTTGATTTAGACAGGACATGAATAAGGCTCCATGCATACACTCAAGCGAGGCGACCTTGAGTTTGTGTAAGCCAATGTATCAAGATCTCGCCCATAGTCAACAAGAGAAAATATCCGGGACACCGGGATTTACTGTGCCTCATTGTCAAACTTCCCTTCGGAGATACGACACACGTATTGGCTGAACAGATGACCCTACATCGCTTCGGCGGATTGTCACATGTGCAGCAATTTCTTATTCAATCGTCTGTTTCGAAATTTATGAAGCCAATTCAACATGATGCAAACTCCCCATTTTCTAGTGTTACAATCTACAATTTTCCTGTCCTTGAAAGCTTTTTGATAGCATACTCGCTCGCGCCATGATGACCGACCTCAACGAGCCCATCGTGCCTGCGCCGGCCCATTATGCCGTAGACCTTGAGCACCCGCAACGACGCGGTGAGGCCATCATCACTTGGATTGGAATCGCGGGAATTGTCATTGCTACGGCGCTATTAGTCATTCGAGCGTACACGAAGGTGGTGCTAGTCAAAAAAGTCGCTTCCGATGATTGTGAGTCTCCACTCCAAGAAACTGTGGTGAAAATGTCTAACACATCTGGTAGGGTGTATTTTGCTCGCGTGGGTAGGTGCTCAGAGAAGCTTTGGATCACCCGTATCTTCTTGACTGACATATTACGATTGCCCTGGTACAGATCTTCTCCATACCTGTACAATCGCTTATTGTTTGTCAGTCCTCATTAACACAATTGGTACGCTGCGGGAGCGACCGTAAGCTAACGACTGCGCTGCAGATAGAGCTCTTGCTGGCTTGATTGGCATACATGCTTGGGAGCTTACCGGTCATCAACTCAACACAGTTACTAGAGTCAGTTTACTGCAATGAATATGTTCCACTATGCTTGCTGACCGCCATCACTGTAGATAACTTTGGCAACTACAGTGTTGTACTCGCCAGCTCTGGCCTTCGCCAAATTATCATTCCTCTGTTTCTATCTGAACTTGAACCCCGAGAAAGGCTTCCGCACCAGCGTCTATCTGACCATGTTCGTCGTAGTTGGATCCTGCGTCGGCATTGTCGTGTCCCTGCTTGCAGCCTGCAGACCATTTGCAAAGAATACCGATGTCACGGTAAGGGAAGGACAATGTCTGAACAAGGCGGCATTGTATATCGCTACTGGGGTGCTCAACATCATTACAGACATCATGGTATTGATTTTGCCCATTCCCATGGTCTTGGGATTGCAGATGCTCAGGTCGCGGAAGATCATGTTGATCATGCTCTTCAGCGCCGGCTCTATGTAAGGTTTCACCGCAAGCTATTACTCCCATCGACTGATAAGTGAACTAGTACATGCATTACGAGTGCTGTACGCATCGCATTACTTCCTCCAATGCTCACCTCGGAAGATTCACCTTGGGACACTGTTTACCCTAGTCTGTGGATGTATGCTCCCGCTTTCCTTTTGGCACTCAATCAACCTCCTTCTTTTTGAACCTTACCCATGGCTTTTTGTACATCTTTCTGATCTTTTTTGCTAGCCTGATCGAAGCCAGTTTCATGATCATCACTGGTACGCTCCCAACTATGCGGCTGTTCTTGCGACACGTCGCACCCACATTGATTGGTGACTCAGAGCCTACCCGCACATTGGCGACACATCGTGAAACCGGCTGGGAGCTACAACATCAGGGAACCCACGATTCCTATGACATTGGCGATGAGTCCTCTGAGAGGGGGATTTGCCCCACCAAAAGTGATGTATATTAATGTCAACAACAGCCTCTTTGCCATTCATCTGCAGAAAGATATTTTATAGATTTAGTATAGCCCGAGACTAGAATCTTTAATCAAAATATTCAGCTCTGCTATCTCTTGTCGTCAGGCTTTAACAGAGTTGCCTCAATAACCTATAGATTAGTGTGGTTTGTATCGATTAACATACTGTTGAGTGATCCAATTCATCTTGCTGTCAGCTTGCTACTGAAATATCTATATCAACTCCCCTCACTCAAAATCTCTGTTTTGTAGTTCACACAGCGAGGTCAGCTTTCTTGATATGTTGATTCTCTTGCTATTTGTATTCCTGTGTTTTGAGACGTATTCCTCGATGTCTTTACTTTATCTAATCAACGTCGGTTCTTCTTCATTACCAACGCTGGAGCCAAAGACTTACCTCCAGGGGTATTGAAGCTAAATCGAGGCGAGCACTCTCTGTCATCACGATTGGATGCCTCAAAACTTAGCAACAAACAGCACAGAATTACCATGCCACGGAAAATTGGCATGCCAAAACCCTATATGCAACTGAACACTCCGCACCCTTCAAAATGGCCTGACGGGATCATGTAACATCATTTCGTGCAGAATTTGCTGGCGATTGAGAGAACAATGCAGCACGTGAAATTCCGAGACGTCGAAATGCAACTTTAGGGACAGGAGCAAATCAGCATCGACAAAAAGACGTTGATAGCGGAAACTTGCATAATGGCGGCTCTGCATGTGCATGGTATCATATCAGATTCGTTAGCCATGTTACACCTGTGATACTTTCTCAATCCTCCTCTCGCCGTCGAGTCATTTTCAGCTTCCAATCACTGCTCCTCACAGGCCTTTCGTACCTCTTTCCAGGTCTCAGCCTGCAGCTTCTTCCTCCGGTCGCTGGTGACCATCTCACTGGGGCTGCTGGGCGTTGGAATATTTGGTTGTTGAAGAACTGATTTTACAGACCTACTCATCAAACGTGTCGTTGAACCAGAATCATGTATGACCAATCTTACCGAGAAGTGTGGCGCTGACCAGCTCGCGGCCTCCCTGCTCAACCGTGCGTCCGACGAACACTTGCATTAGCTTTGTCGGCATTGCGAGATACCATGGGACCTCTTGCCCAAGCTCAGTAATGCAATAGCCGGGGCAGGCAGCATTCATAAAGACATCAATGTTCTCTTGCGCTCACTAAACCCTGTTGGGTGCATTGTGTGACCAGTTCGATCAACCCATAGGTCTTCCCAGCATTGAAAGCAGCCAGTTCGTTTAGCTTACCGACCAAGGTTTGGCCAACCTTGATTTCGGCATCTGCAGGCGTGATGTACTTGTCGGCGAAGCTGCACTTCGCCGCGTTGTGCTTCAACGTGGGAAGTACTAACATGGCGAAGAACAAAGTTGAGAGAACATTGACCTGCGATGCAGCTTCGTAGCCAGTCTTCTCGGTCGTGGACTTGGTCATATTTGCTGGAAACTTCGGCGGCAAACGCCTTGACAGACGTGCAATCGCTCATATCAAGCTTGGCAGCCCGTTTCTGCGACAATATCGCGTTTCGTTTCCTCACCCTTCGAGAGAGTACGCACGGCCAAGATTACCTTGCAAGCTCCATTGGCAGCGAACTTGGTGGCGGAAGGTAGTCCGATTCCAGTGTTTGGGCCGTGATGATGACTCACTTTCCGGCGGGAGAGAGCTTCGGATCCTTGGGTGGGTTCTGCTTGGCCCATTTCATCAACGCCATCTGTTCAACCTTGAACAGAGGTCAGTGGGTCAGCACCAGTGAGTAATCGGACTTAAACTTCGGTTCACATGCTGAGTTTTGCTTGTAGACGGAAGAACTTGATGGAGATATATGGTGGAGAAGATAATAGCATAGAGTCTAGAAATCCCCAGCCTGTTTGGGGGCATCTTTCTTTTCGCACGCAGAACTGCGAGAAAGACAGTCGCGAGTCACTCACCTTATGCTGCATAAGGGCAGAATTGTTCATTATTAGTTCTGGACCGGCAGTGCACTATCATGTCCGCTTTTCGTTTGCCACATGCTCGGGGCGTCAAGCTTCAGAAGAGACAATATCAAAGCATTGTTCCCACATATTTCTATAGTAAGACTATATGGTCTTTGAGTGTGCGTGGGCCGTATCCTCGAGCTTTAGTTCCGACAGCACCACTCAGCTCTCTTGTGCTTCGAAACAGCACTCTGTATGCACAGACATCAAAACGCCTTTGTAGTCTGGCGATCTATCGTTCTTCAAACCCCCCCTCAAAAGTTAACAACACTAGCTTCCAGCACCCCCTCCGGCCCAATCAAGCCCTTCACAACATCCTCGCCCACCATCCGATCAACACCGAGAATCATAAGTGCCTCGTTACTCTTCTGCGCACCGTCTCCATTCAGCCCCACTTCAACCTCCTCATTCAGTGGCGCAACATTCATAAACTCAATATTTACCCCCGCCTTTCCCAGCAAATTCCCCACAAACCCAATCTTCCCACACGAATCGAAGTTACGACAGATCAGCAGCGTACCACGGGGCACGAACTCGCCCTTGAATTTATCGAGGCGCGAGATGAAGGGTTTGTTGCCTGACACAAAGCCTTGTATGACCTGGTCTTCGTAATCCTGGGGTTTCAGGCCGCGGGCCGCGGTGGGTGAGTTTGAGCGTGAGATATCGCTGCGGGCGTGGGAGACGGAGCGGGTTGCGCGAGCGCGAAGCGTGATGAAGGAGGAATAGGGCTTGTCTTCCACGTTTTCGCGGGAACGTTGCTCGTTGATTAGGATACCACGGTCTTTCGCCACAATTTCTGCGTTGACGATGTTGATGTTCAGGCCGTCGCTTGAAGTTATCGGTGTCAGCAGGCCCTTGACGAGCGCGGCGAAGAGCGGTTTTGTGGTGTTGAGGCTGGCCAATTTGCCTTCGTAGGTGATGTCGAAGGTCGTGCGGAAAGATTTTATGTTGACCGAGGAGTAGTGTTGGGTATACAATGATCCCATCTTCTCGACGAGACTGACGAACGGTTGGAGCGTGCGGTATTCGTCAGGTAAAATGATGGGCGCGTTGACAGCAGAGCGGGGAAGTTCGCCGGACAGGATTGACACCACTTGTTCGCAGACGTCAATGGACACATTTTCTTGGGCTTCCTTTGTAGAGGCGCCGAGATGGGGTGTTGCGACGACTTTAGCATGCGCGATCAGGCGGCTTGCAGAAGAGTTTGGCTGCGGCGGTTCTGAAGTGAAGACGTCGATACCGGCTCCAGCGATTGTGCCAGCGTCCAATGCCTCCACAAGCGCGTCTTCATCGATCATGCCACCTCTTGCGACGTTCAGAATTCTGGCCGTAGGTTTCATCGAAGCTAGCTCTGCCTTCCCAATCATTCCCTTGGTCGAGGCAATGAGAGGTGTATGCAGAGTCAGAAAATCTGCTTCTTCGAGGAGTTCAGCCAGAGTAGGCCTCAAAGTCACGGATGCAGCTGCAGCCAAGTTTGGATTTGCATAGGGGTCGTAGGCTACAAGTCGCATGCCGAGACCGTTTGCAATTCGAGCTACCGTGAGACCGACTGATGAATGTTAGCTGGGTTTCCAGGACTGTAAACGCAGAGTACTGACCCTTGCCCAATCCTACGATAGCCAGTGTCTTGCCTTTTGCTTCGACCCCAGTAAGTCGACTTCGCTCCCATTTACCAGCCTTTATACTTTGCGAGGCATCCCCAACATTTCGAGCCACAGCCATCAGTACTGCCGACAATCAGAGAATGTAAGTCGAAGAACTTGAGTAACTCACATGCGATTGTATGCTCTGCCGCTGCATTGATGTTACCCGATGGTGAGTTTACAACGATGATGCCATGGGCAGTTGCACTTTGAACGTCGACATTGTCAACACCGACACCAGCTCGCGCGACAACCTTCAGTTTCTTCGCTGCACGGAGCAGATCGGCCGTCACCTGCGTCTCCGAGCGAACAATGAGCGCCTCATAGTCGCCAACGATGCTCTTGAGTTCATCCGCACTCAGCCCTTTCTTTTCGTGCACTTCAAATTGGACTTTGAGTAAGGCCAGACCATCTGGAGAGACCTTTTCTGGGATCAAAATCTTCGGTTTCGTGTTTGAGATGGCCATGATGATCGTAAGAACAATTGTAGATTCAGAAGTATGGAGGGAAACCCCCTCACTTTATTTAGCGGACAACCACTGTTTGAGCCGCTATCGGACCATTCCAGCAGTTTGCTGCAGTAAGTTGCATCTGTGGTGCCCTCGTGCGATGTAAAGCTTACTACTTCGAGTTAGATGTCTACCCCGCCCCCGCACCCCACGTTTTGCGCCACGAATGTTAGATGGCCCTGTCAAGCAATGCGGGGAGATCTTCCGCAGATGATATAATAGTTATGATGCTTGTGAAGGTCGAGACAAGAGACGGAAAACGACAAACAAAGTATGTTCAAGTGTGTTAGATGTATTCCTACCTCACACTGTCATATTCATGTACACGTTTTCAATTGTGAAATGCTGTGGACAGTTGCACCGTACTACTCTCCATGTGGTCTACACTCATTGGAGGATGGACGGCGGAGGTGTAGGATGCGCACCGCCTGCATAGACAGCAGACGTGGCCCGCTTATATATTGCTTCCCTTCTTGAGTTTCTCGTTTTGCACAACCTCAATCCAGTAGTTGTCAGGATCTGTAGCACATGTGAGCCGTTATACAAATAGTGCTTGTCATGATAGTACGTACCCAGGACAAATGCGATATTCTTCATGCGCCCCTCAGTGAGCCTCTTCTTCCAGTTGACCTTCTTCTCCTCGAAGCGGGCACAGGCAGCATCGAGATCATCAACGGAGATGCAAATGTGGCCGAAGCCTTGAGGTTCATCGTTTCCGTTGTGGTACTTGAAGCTTTCGTCCTTCTCAGTGCCGTAGTTCCACGTAAGCTCCAGCAGACCTTCGTGGTCGGCTACCGGGTTGACACCGTTTGCTGTCTTTTCAGAAGCAGCCGCGCCATAGCCGAGGAAGTACAGGTTGAAGCCCGCGCTCTCATTTTCAGATGTACGCTTGAGCTTCATGCCCAAGACGTCTTGGTAGAACTTGAGTGAGGCGTCCTTGTCTTTAACGCGAATCATAGTGTGGTTCTACTGCTGTCAATACTACGGACTCGAAGAGGCTTGATAGGGTACTCACCATTCGGTATGTATCAGTGTCTGTGTCCTTGACGCTTTCGGTCTCCTCCAACGACTTCTGGCCAATGACCTCGACCCAGTAGTCATCAGGATCCAAAACAAATGCGATGTGGCGCATGCGACCGTCGGTGAGCTTCTTCTGGAATTTGTAGCCGGCATCCTCCAGACGTTGGCAAGCAGCCTGCAGGTTGTCTACTGAAATGCAGAGGTGGCCAAAGCCCTTGTGTGGGTCCGTATTGCCATTTGAAACTTTGTAGTTGTCGTCGCTCTCGGTGCCGTAGTTGTGGGTAAGCTCGACAATGCCCTCGCGATCTGTCCAATGGTTTCCATGCGACACCGCTTTCGGGCCGTCGTATGCGAGGAAGTAGAGGTCGAACTTGGCGTCTGGGTTGGCGATCTTGTTAACCTGCTTCATGCCCAGGAACTCGTAAAACTCGACTGATCGCTTGGGATCTTTCACACGGATCCTGCGAATGTCAGGGTTGGACAAACAGAAGGCATATAGGGATGCTCACATGGAATGATGGAGCTTATAGCTCGACGTGTTGGTAGCCATGGTTGCGAGGGTTCTGATCAGACTGATTGGTTTATTGTTGTATTTCAGAAATGGTGTTGTGAGAGGTCTTGTTAGTCTGGATGCTGTCACGAAAGCTGGGCGCAGAGAGAGCATGGATTGGAGAGATGAGGCTGCAAAACTCCTCCAAGGTGGAGAAGCTCTCACATTTCGATGACGTTTGGAGCTGGATCGACCAACTGCCCCGCCAGCAGCCGGACTTAGGACGGAAGTAGCAACGCGGAAAATGTCCGCCTCGCGCCTTAGCTCGAACCGGTGTTCACCATTTCAACGTTACTTTTGGTATTTACGATGCTGTACATTCTAGGAACAGACGCTTCTCTCTGCACGGCAGTGTTACCGTCTGGGAACTTGATTTGGAGATTGCGCAAATTCCGGAACAATATATGATCCGATGAGGTCATAGCTCCCGCGGCAGAGCTGCACTTGACCCTGAACAACAACATGGCCAGGAAGCTTGACGTACCTTCCCGCCTCCCACTTCACTCCATCGACAGCTTCCCTCCTTCTCGTGCTATGTAGCGTACACCTTTAAGCTTTCCTTTTCGAGTGTCTTGATAGGCAAGTGTTGTCGCGCATCATCGTGAAAGTCGGGTAGTGTGCGGAGTCTCTGGGTCCCATTTCCAGCAACCAGGTACGCGGACACATCCACTCATCCTTTCATATTACTTTCCAGTCGCGAGTTCTCTTCACTCTCGCTATCGCAGCACTGCTTCTACGTGCATCTTTACCTCGCTGTCGTCAACACTGTTGCCTTATCAAATCTGACAATGCAAGATTCCTCCCGTGCCATGATCGTCCCCAAGAGGGTGAGCGAACTGCTCACCAAGAACGTCAATGAGCAGCTCTACCCACGACTCTTGTGAGTACAAACCGGTATTCGACCCTGCCAGCGCTGATCACGGCAGTCTGATGACGCCGCACGGCATGCTAATGGGCTACTCAACACCTGTCGATATCAAGGAACTACGCGACCAGGCAGCGGTAGTCTCCATGCTGTGGAACGATACGCGCAATGGCCGTCAGACGGATGAACGCAAGGACTCTATTCAGCCTCAAGCCGGCGCAATACCCTCACCCAAGCCTGCGTTGGAGACGCTCACTATCGAGACGGAATACTGCAACATCATCGCTCGCGCATTACAACCGGAGTTGCTTCTAGTCTTGGTCGGGAACATTGCGCCTCATAAGAAACAAAGTTTCAAGATTACAGCAGAAGAAGTCGGCAATCAACGATATCCTGCAGCGGAGTCCTCGGAAGGTCATGCGGCCGTTACATCAGGGAATGGCATTGGGAAAGGCAAAGCACCCTCCCTGTTGAGCAATATGAGTCAACGAGATAAGGACATCAGACTTGGAGCCCTTCACATCCAACGCAAGAAACTGGACGCACTGGCAGATTACATTGTGGACGACTTCAAGGCCACGGGGTTCGTTCAACCACCAGACTCGTCTCTCAATTAGGATAGGAGATGGACACACTACTCCCACGATTGCGCGTTTCCCGAGCAGCCTCGAAAATATGCGGAATCGGAGGCTGGCCAATGTGGCAAGGCCGTGCTGCCACCTTCAACGGAGATCTCTCGATTCGATAAATCTCAAAATCCACCAGTGAGCGCACGTCCGTCGCGCAACACTCAAGATGCTCTTATCTCCCCAAAGACCACGCCTCATCTTGAAGATCGCCCGGAGTCTTCGAAGGCTGCACTTGACGTGGAAAACATGCGACCTGCCGCCCCACTCCCACTTCCACTACAAGACACTCAACGCGACTCGGGGATCGAGATCACACCCAACGAATCCCATGAACCCCCAACGACAATGAACCCTGCGAACAACTCCCAAAATACCGCGTCGTCGTTTATATCTTACTTAGATTCACAATCCTACGCTGCGAGATATGCCGAATGGTGTCAGAATCTACCAAGTGATGCCGAAGATGATATGGTGTTTAACGATCCTGGTAGTCCGTCCTCTTGGCTGTGGGATCCGATGGATCCCTAGGCCTTGGATATACGACAAACCACTCAAGCTATCACCATCGCTGTTGGAGACATCCGCATCACCTACTGGGCCACGATCGGGGGCTCAACAGGGCTCAACCTATTGACGGCACTCAGTGTTTCAGAGGGGCTAGCAGGGCAGCCGTTGCTTTCGTTGTTTGGAGCAGGCGGATGCGGTGTAAGTAAATACCATGCGCTCATATAGTAATGCTTAATACGATCACACGTTCACCATCCCATACCCCTAATCGCACTGACCTCCAATATTGATGTCCGCAGTGAGCGACCAACTTTTCGCAGCACACGCTCGAGTAAACAGTTTGGTCATCATGGACAGGCCAGAGTAGTGAGATTCATCTAACACTTTCGATCGCACAGCAAACCTCGTCGCGTCAAAGACAACAAACTACCTCCGAAAGTCTACAACTTAGGCAATCAAACAGGAAACCTCCAAACGCTATCCTCCCAACTAAATGAAACACAACCGTCGTTAATCATACCTCATAACGCAATCCCCACTCAAATTCGCAGCATTCAGTCTTTCTCCGAGCCCACAACCCCCTGCACATCCACAATTCCAGCCCATCAAGCCGGTCATCGAATATCCAACCACGCCCCACACAAGCCCCCCATTCCCCTGCTATCCCCCCACCGCTTCAACATCTCCCTCGCAGCCACCATCTCCTCGTCCCCCGGCCCCAGTATGGCCACAACCACGACCGGGAACACACTGCGCATAAAGTCAAACCCAATGGGTCGTGTCGACTCGAGCGACGCGGCGATATGCAGCACCGATTTTGCGCTCTTTGTCGCTTGCTCGATGGCCGCGTCGTCCACGTCGGGGGACTGGGGTGTGAGTGGGTCAACGGGCATGTCCAGTTTGCGCAGCAGCAGTGTGAGAGTGATGAGCGTAGCCTGGTAGGTAGCCGCAGTGAGGGCAAGGAAGCTATGAGGCACGACGAGAGTTTTGGAGTCAGGATGAGTAGCCGTGACGCCGTTGACGCATAGGCTGGCCATATCAGCCGTGATCTCGTGCGGGCTAGGCGAGATGGACGTGAGGTGAGGGAATCTGGCGGCCCAGGCGCGCAGCTCGGCGAGGATGGTGAGCGTGCGCGTCCGGCAGGGCTGGCGGTCTGTGTGTGCGGGGATGGGAGTCGCGAAGAAAGTGCGCAGGCTGCCGCCGCGCGTGTAGCAGAGGCGGATGCAGTGTGGGATATGCAGGATGACTTCGACAAGGTCTTGGTGTGCGTTTCGTGGCATGTTGAGGAATGGGAGCGTCATCCATTCTGGGGAGCAGAAGGTGGAGGGCACGTTGAAGATTAGTGATTTATGTGCCTGGTTGGGGTTAGCACGTTCATGTTGTTTCTATGACAGCTGGGAGGAATGTCTTACATCCGAGACACGCATCGCCTTGAACAGAGGCCATATCACACCCGAGCTGCAGTTTGTTGGCCCGCGCATCTTGATCAGCTCCGCCGCGGCAGCAAGATGGTGCATGACGCTGCTACTAGTCGTACCGACGTAAACTTCGTACAGAGCAAGAACGATAGGGGCAAGGATCTGCTCTTCGTCCGGGATGCTTTCGCCCGTCAGTCTCGCGAGCGACAATCTCTGCGTGCTGAGGCTCACGTTGTACCATCGATACGAGTCTACGAGGATGCTTGGATCGTGGTGGTGTATTGCGTAAAAGGCCATGGAGGCGGCGCGGATCGCAAACTTCATCGTTGCCTTTGTGGCTATGGTGTTTGCGACCGGGAGGTAGGTTAGCCATGGGATCTCGGGACTGTAGGAGCTCACGCCCCTGTTCAGCTCGACGAAGTGCGATAGAAAGGCCATGTCAAGGGCGTCAGTTTGAACCTTGACTGGCTGGTACAAAGAAGGCGGTTTGTACTGGTAGCGTATCGCGACAACGGCTTTTTGTGCATCGATTGACCATGCTGTTGTTCTTGGGGATGTTGGGAAGGGTACATGCACGTTGAACAGTTCGCCATCTCTTTCTGGGGGTTCGGATTTGACACGGATTGGATCTTTTGAGGAGGAGAATAATTGATCATCAAGTTGAACATTTGCATTGGGCGGTAGAGTGACAGGCTTTTTCTTTCGCGCTCTCGGTTTGGCTACTCGATCTGTCATATCGATGATGACGGAGCCGACAATGGGGCCAGAGCATGCCAGTCCAAGCCGTCGGCATTCGTTGCAAAAGCCGGCAGTCTCGTCGCACTACTCCATTCTCAGCGTGTGGGTTGTGATGCGAACCTAGGATCACGCACCTTGACGCGACGTTCACGGCACTGGGGACACGCCCTGCTGCGTTGGGATTTGAAAGGCATCTGGACAGTTTAGTGGTGGATCGGTTTGCATCTGTGGTACAAGGCAGGGCAGGAGAGGATGAGAAGGGAAATATCAGCGACACAGGCGGGACGGTGCAAGTCAAATGCTTGGAATGTGCAGGCATTGCGGGCAGGGGGTTGCTCGCTTACAGATACGTGTTCAGGGGAGGAGCGACCTCTTCCAGACACTTGTCCAGAATAGGTTGGAACTATGTCGAAACGAGATCTCACATGCAGCTGGATGTGCGGCAAACGGTGAGGCGCATCTCAAGCGCCGCTGCTTTGGACATGGTGGAGATGTTGATTAGAATTGAAGATGCATTGTCTCGTCATGATTGCGTTGGGTTGGATCCTTTGAACGGCAGATTTGTGCGTTGTGCAGTGTATGCTGGGATTGCGTGCTGTGTTGGTGTAATATTTCTTTCGAGCTGTTGCAGGATGGCAGGAATGTGAAACGCTCGAATTGTGCCGCAGAGAAAGAGAATCAACGAGGAAACTATGGGAGGTGCGACCAAAAGACAAGTAAGAGCAGTCGTGTAGACTTGAAAGCAGGAATTGATGGCGTTGTGTTGTGTTCTGATGGAGTCGTTGGCGGTCTTGTCCCGCCTTAGACACCGACCTTGGGTATGACCTCATCTATATCTGCCCCTTGTCGCCCATCTCCTTGCCCTCCTTCTGCAGCTCCTTGATATGGCTCCCGTGGTCGTCAACCTCGTGCTTGTCCGCGGCGATGTTGCTTTCGCCGCTGCTGGCGAGCTCCTCCTTCCAGCGGCCCTTGCCCTCTTTCTGCTCCTGTAGCTGGTCTTGCTTGGCCTTTTCGAGTTCTTCGGGCGAGCGGTTGCCGTCCTCTTTGATGCGCAGGGCCGGTGTTGTCCAAAATGTGCGGCGCGCGATTGTAGGCTGGGCGAGGCGCACGAGCGGGGTGTGGAGGACGCGCGTCATTGTGGCGTGTGGTCGTAGATTGGTGGATTCGTACGAAGGGAGTGCGATTGTCGAAGGCGAGGGTGGACGGGGGAGATGAGGGGAGATACTCGGTGAGGAAGCCGCGATAGTTGGACACGGCTCTGACGTCATTCACGATTGCTCACATCGTACGATTTCCGATTTCTCCACGGCTCATGTTCGATATCAATCCAAGCCATGCAGCCCTACCTACCTTCACACGCCTCTCCGTCTCGTTTGGCCAACGCTTCCATCAACACCATATCATACTGCCAGTCGTACACCTCACCCGCTTTCTGAGCCTGAGCCATGCGAATTCTGCATAGCGCAGCCCGTTGCGTATTGGTGAGACCAGGGATGTCGCGTGGATGGGTCCCAACAGCAATTGCTGCTGCTTGAGTTGCCTGCGCTCCCAGGGTAGTGAGTTCGTGCTGCTGCTGATCGACTGTCACGATAGGTTGCTCTTTGCGGTGGTCATCGAGTTGCTGTCGCTCAATGAGGTATTGTGGTCGAACAAGACGGTTCTGCTGCGGCCGTGCGACAGGCCTTTGTTGAGTTGTGTTTGCCAGCAAAGTATTGATGGTGTGTGTGCTCGCCATCTTCTGGATTCGAGCCGTCATGTTCGTGGGAAGGCGTACGGGGCGCGAGACAGCAGCATGGTGGCGTTGTGAGAAGACTGCCTTTCCATTGCTGCTCGCTTGTGGCAGTCGCTCGAAAGAGATATCTCCAGGCGCGCTACGGGGCGACATCACCGCCTCGACAATGGATATGTTATCGAAGCGATCCACCGGATTGTGATCATCACTCACGCGAGAGCGCTTGTCCTGGAGCTGGTCCTCGATGTCCTCATTCCTCTTCCTCTTCCCATTCCCGTTGGACAGTTCTTGTACCTCCATATCCTTCTCAGCTTCCTTCCTTTCCACAACCAACCTCGCCTCCAAAACCCTCCTAGCACTAACCACATCCCCCACCTCAATCTGATCCTTCCCCCTCCGTCCCCATCCCTCCTTCACTTCCCGCCTCGCCTTCTTCGCACTCATACAGGCTGCCATGACCTCATCTCTCCGCTCAGGTACTAGTGCCGCCAGCTCACTCAGCTCACGCAGCAGTTCGATGGGTAGATTTCGCGCATCGATTTCCAGCTTGGTGCCGCGCTTGGGTTTAAGGCCCGTGGGGAACACTGCCAATAGCGTGGTAAGACGCCAGTAGGTACAGATGTCCGCGATATATTGGTTCACAAGGACCTGCTCGTTGGAGGTGAGATCGGCGTAGGGTCCAGATTTGGGCGCCATTGGGAGCTGTGATGTAGTGTTGCGTGATGCTTGGGGTGATGTCGAGACGAGAGGGTGGTCGGTTGGCGATACGGAAGACGAAAAGCCTAGTTCTGAAGGTGTTATTTGATGCATGGGTCGAGTTTGTGTTGTTGGGTTTTGCGAGAGTCTACACTCTCTCTTGCGAGTGTGATGCAATGTTATATGTTACGGTTACAATAAGAAATGATTTATGTACAATAGGATGATGAAAGTGTATGAAGGGTGCTCATGGTGACCAATGGACAAGCTTGTTTGTTGTTGCGATGTGACTTTCCTGGGGTGAAAGAGGCCTCACAAAGGAATCAAAGAATGCGAGGATTGCTCAAACCGTGAAGAAGGTGTTTGTTAGACTATCAGTAGAACGTCTAAACCAAATGTACTGAGGAATGCTGAAGGGTGTTTCTGAGCAAACATGAATTGCAAGAGAATCTGCAACACAGTATCATCCATACTGTTCTTCTCACAAATAAACAACCCCTTCCTGCTCTACTCCCTACCCCGGACTGCTGTCCACCCGGTGGATCCTACCCCTCCAGTCCATACGCGATGTTCAACCACTCTCCCCACCACCGTTCTTCTGCGCACCCCCGGCCCCACTCGTCTTATCCCTTGGACTTCCACCACTCCCTCCCACACCAGGATCATTCGGCTCGCTCACAGAAGGATTCCCCGGACTAACATTCAGCGTATTGTCCTTGCCGCCAGCCTCATCCTCCGCCGTCGCCTCGGCTGACTCCGGGCTCGTTTTGTCTGGGTTGAAAGCTGCGTCGGACTCGGCAACTTCTTCGTCGGACCCAGATTTGGAGTACTCGGTGGACACGCGCTTGATGGAGTCTTTGTCTTGCGAGTCCTTTGCTGCGAAGACGGCGCGGGAGGTGCTGAGGGGGCGTGCGGTGAGGGGTAAGCGGCGGAGGGAGCGCAGGGGGAGGAGGCGCGCTGTTGGGCGGGTGAAGAGCATTGTCGTAGTCGTTGTGCGTTTGTTTGGTGGTTCGATGTCTTGGTGAAAATTGGTTGTGATGAGTTGATGTGTTGGTGAGAAGAGATGGGTGGGCGGCTGCAATTGAGTAGGTGCTGCAGCTGGCGATGAGCGCGGAGCGTGATAAGAGTGACGTTGAGGTTGGAAAGTTTGGAGCTAGGGATGACGTCACATGACTAGCCGAGGTTCGTGGTACCTATCTCGTTAGTGATGAGCGGTCCTACCAACACCACCACTACTCTCACGCTTCTTTTGAGCAAACAAATTGCCGAGTTGTTTTCTTATAACGCCTTTCATACGTGTTGGGATTGCGACTGGCAATGCTGTAAGCACAGATAAGAAAAGTCTTGCATTGAGCCTGATCAGCTACTCATATCAATCAAATTGACTCTTTGTTTCCTTTGATCTTGGCCATTGACGTTACGATGGGTTTGGTTCGGGGATTACTCATGTGTTTGTTTGTCGCCACAAAGCCCTCTGGATGGAGCAGCATAGTGTTCTCTCTTTTACAACCCCAAACTCACACTCAGTGGGGTTGATCCGTGTGATCACAATCTTGACACCATCAATCTATCTAGAACGCCGTACTGGCTTGTCCAAAGCTGTGGAACCGTCACTTAACGATGTCATACTGCATCTACTTGCAAAAAGTCAAGCGGAACTGGAACGTTGATAGCTTAGGTCAGGGCCTCACCGGCTTCCTTCGGCTCACGACGATGACATACTTCAAGACAAGGCTTTCATACTCCCATTGGCAGAATTATCTAATTTGAGCAAAAACATTTGACTTCTGCGCAGTGTCTGTTTGAGGGATACCGCTATCAGCTGTATGGAAATCTGGACCCGAAAGACATACCAGATACTAGCCGCGAGGACATCAACAATACTGTTGCGGAGATACAGCCACAGTCACAGTCGCGACCGACCCAGATCGCGGAAGAAACTGGAAGTGACTTGAAGTACGGCAATGATGGCCTCAGTCCGTATCTTGTTCCAGACTCAGACCCCTCCAACGACTCTGCACGCCCAAACTCGACGAAATCAGCAATCGAGGAATACCCCACCATACGGCGACTCGCTTGGATGTCAATTTGGTCCTACCCATGTCCTTTCACCTTCGATTCCTCACTAAGATCTGGTCGTTCCTCCGCCCGCGCGCTTCCAACCATCCCTATTGCGCTTACGCAAGCAACGTTGGTGGAAGGCATCTTTCTTCGCGAATAACGATGGATTTTGTACAAAAAACAGGAAATGTACTACGATGCGTTGATATTGAAGAGAAAGGCGAGGTACGAACACGACTGTTTGACGATGAAGTTCAGTGCGAGGAGAAGCTTCGAAATCAACAACTGAAAGATCCTACTCGTTATTCATATTACTTAGTTTCTCTGTATTCTCGTCTTTTCATTTGCTTTTGAGCCCTTTCGACTCACTGCGAACCATATTTGGTATTGTACTGGCCAAAGGTTCCCCGTTTGGAGTCCACCCAAGCTCTTCTCGTGCCTTTGAAGCTTTCGTGCGCGCATTGGTGCCCCAAAGAATCGATGCGTGTCCGCTCAGCGAATCAGCCTCTCCAGCGTCAATGGTCTCCAGGTCCGACTTCGCAATTAAATCTTGTTTGTGCGCTTCTTTTGCAATCAATGTACCCAGTTCTTTGAAGCTCTGCGACCGACATGTCAATATTAATCTCAAGTGCGGGTGCAATAGACTTACCATCTCTCCATTCTCCATATTGTAAACTCCATCCTTGTTCCACAACCCTTCCCTACCCTCTGTAGCTGCTGAGACGAGCAAACAGACAAGATTGGCTAGATCTGACACATGGACATTGCTCCAGATGTTTTCGCCGTCGTTCAACTTGAAGCCCCGACCTCGCTGCAGTGTACTTTTCGTGATCTCGGGCGCTTGGATGCTGCGCTGATTGACTGGACCTTTTCCATGACCATAGATGAGAGGGGCTATTATCAACCCCGTCCTTACTGTTTCAGATGTTTGCGAGAGCACTGTGTTCTCGACTACGCGCTTGGGGTTACTCCGGATGATGTCAAGCACCTGTTCACAATCCTTAACATCGTCGTAGGTGGTGTCCGTCGCGAAGCCGAAGCGTCCAGACGCAATTTCGTCCGTAGCAAAGAGAGTGGCGCCAGAGATTTGTATCCAATACCCAGGCTTTTGTGTTGCTTTTTGCCGTGCCTGCAGACCCTGGGCTATGGCTTGCGCACTGGGGATGTGGTTTGTAGACGCGAAGTCTGGGTACTCATCAGTTTCGGTTCCATCTACCGAATTGCTGTGTTGGAAGAGTATGACGCACGTAGCACAATGTCTGCGCCTTCTGCTTCGCGTCTCACCAGGTCGACGTCGTCGAGATCACCTAGGATAGTCTGGATGGCTGGATACGCTGCCTGCACTTGCCCTGCCTTTGCAGAATCTCTCACTAGGCAGGCAATGTACAGGCTACTGATGTTGGAGTTTGTCAAGATGTGTAGGAGTTCTCCACCCACGTATCTTTGTGTAGTGTTAGTATGGGCATGCGATTCATGGCGAGTTGGCTTACCCGGTAGCTCCTGTCAGGAGTATTCTCGGCATGGCGATGTAATTTGATTTGAATGTGAGTTGTGCCTAAGTGTAAAACGTGTTAAGAGAAATCTCCTTCATCAGATCAGCGTAAGCAACAAGAATGATCGAAGTGTATTTGTTGGTGATGCTCGGAATCACCTACCCGAACCGGCTAGACTAGCCCCGCTGTCTGTTTATGCGAGTGAAGTCATCGAGTCTTGAGTTACGTCTTGGACAGCTAGATTCAGTGCGTGGAATTAATCGAAAATTGTCATGCCACCCAAGAGCGGCCGAGGCGCAGCGCGGAAACACCAACAGCGGCGACGCACACACAATCTCGGAGGATGCTCAACATGCCGTCGTCGACATGTCAAATGCGATCGCACCCAACCCCAATGCACAACTTGCCACAATGCCCGCTTGACATGTGAGGGGTTTCTTTCTCCGATTAGGTGGGCGTCGTTGTCATATCCGCCCACGAGGAACTCCAGAGCACAAGATGATGCGAATCTGTCGCGACCATCATCGGGTTTGTAGCCCTTGATAAGAACATTCAGTACCTGTGCTAATCGTTCAGTAGGCTCATCAAACTATTTGGCCATACATAATTACACCTCCCTCTACGCTGCTCATCCTGGCGAGCCTCAACGTGATGGAGAATTATCCGCTTTGTCTCTTGATAATACGCTCGCTGAGGGAAGTGACGTAAATCAGGCACTGATAAACCCATCTGCTCCCGATATTGATGTTCACATAAGCTTCGATTCCAACGACTCTGAGCTCCCCTACCACCCTTCGGCAAGCTCGCTGACCGATTTCGAGTCCTTGTTCGATACATCTAGCGGCTTGGTTTGGAATGACTTATTCGACCCAACATTTGATCCTTCAATAACCATAAGCCAAGATCCGACTTACCAAGAGTCGCTTAGTTCACCTGCTATCGCCATGAATCAACCTCAAGGCAGAAGATCAACGCCGCCACAGGAGCAGTCTCGCGCCGAGCACAGTATTGAGTCTACAACAACTGCAATCGATTCCCAGCCTCCGCCCTGTGCTATGAAAGAGATTGACGAATCTGAACTACTTGAAGATGCAGGAACCCTTCTGAAACACTTCAGAGACGTCGTAGTCCCCCAGTTCTCCCCTCTCCCTACCAATTCAAAGTGTCCATGGGAAGTGCTGAACTGGAACGCTGCTGTTCGTTCTCTTGCCGATATGACATATCTTGAAAGCAGCGATGTCAGGCACGCAAACAAGGCCAATCTTTTCGCTATTTTAGGTTGCGCAGCACATGATATCGCGAAAACACACGTGGCTGCCGGCTTGATCTCTTCTGAGAAAGGGACGCGGATATTGGAATACGCGTCTAAGAGAGCGAAAAGTCATATGCAAGAATCTTTGAGCCTAGAAACTTCTGGTTCATCAAAAGCCAAATACAAAGATCAGCTTATGGCAATCTTTAGTTTGATTGCTCTTGCTGTATGGATGTCGTTGTTGTTGCTGCTGGACACTCAAGACTGACCATCTCCAGACTCTATGCGGCAATGCAACCGATGCAAGGTGCTACTTGATCGATGCTGAACGCCTTCTGAGACTGCGGGGGCTTGCGAAACGAGAGGTGTCTCGCAAAGTTCGGCTCTTACATCATGTCTATACATGGCTGAGAATCATCGGCGAAAGCACGTTCATCTTGCATGACCATCACAGCTCTGGTCTCCAAGGCATGATTGAGAAAACCTTCAAAAGCAACTACGGTGCGCCTAGTACTCTGCCGCTTCTTGAGGAACAAATCACAACTGGCATTGAGTGTGTTCAGCTAGACGACTTTCTTCGAGTCAAATCATATGGCACAGATTGCGAAGATGACGTTGATACCTTGAAAGATCAAGAATCTGGTCTTCGTGACATTCATCTCGAAGACTCACGCCCATGGTCAAACACACTATATATGGATATCTACGGTATTCCAGAAATTTGGCTCAGCTTGGTCTCCCAGACGACAAGGGTTGCCAACATTGTGGACTTCATAGGCCGCGCATCAGTGAACGTACCGCGAACCTTTACAGAGTCACTTCATAGAAAGATTACACGACTCGAACACATGATTTGCTCTTTCGCGTCGCAGCAGAGCATTTTGATGGCCCCATTGCCACCTCACCAGGGCCCTCATCAGTCCAGCACTGCCACTTCCAAATCTTCTCCAGCAAGTCGAGCGATGTTGCGTGCTCTTATCTCAGCTCTCGTCATACTGTTTTATCGTAGGATTCATAATGTTCATCCATGGATATTGCAAACACATGTCAATGACGTAATAACCGCATTGAATGACTTCGATCTCATGGGAGATGCCGACAGCATCAATACGCCAGGCACACCTTGGCCTGCTTTTGTTGCCGGATGTGAGGCAATCTCATCGACGTCTCGTGAATGGCTGATGGGTTGGATGCAGAAAGGCGCAAACCAATCTACCTTCAATGGCTACACGTCCTCTCAGCATGTCATGCGACAAGTATGGGAGCGACGGGATTCGGCAGGCAAATGTGGCGTTTTGAACAGCCAAACAGGCTCTGACTCTAGGAGTGGAGAGGTATACTCATGGGTGGACGTTTTGAAAGAACGTAAACTCTGGCTTATGCTATACTAGGCTTAGAGGCACCAACACAAGCCCACTCCTCCCATCTGCAAGTTACCCTTTCCAGTATCAGATATTGGCGTTCAGGGCATCAAAGCTTCGAGAGAATTCCATTATTTTCTAGGATACACAAATGGCTCGAGGTGATTTCGTTCACTGACCGGCAGCCAGCCAAAGCCATCGTCGATCGGAACTCCTCGAGCAGGATCCGGATGCCGAGTTCTACGCCGCTTTGGCCTTTGTACTGTGACGGATTTAGCGAAGTCACGACTCATCATCGTTGCATACTTACAGCCAATCCCCAGATAGCTATCCTCCCAAGAAAGCAAAATTCTGCTCCAAGAGCGATAGCTTTGAAGATATCGGAGCCTCGTCGTATTCCTCCATCAACAGCAATTCGGACTCGGCCCTTCGCAATTGGCGCACATTGGCGAAGGGCATCCAAAGTTGCAGGAACTCCATCCAATTGTCGTCCTCCATGATTTGAAATGATTACACCGTCTACACCTGCTGCTACCGCTTGCTCGACGTCTTCTGGAGAGAGTATTCCTTTCAGCCATATTTGCATGCTGGTGTGCTTTCTCAACCACGGAACAATTTCTTCCCATTCCAAGGTGTCGTCAAAAGCCTGTGGACCGTTCACCTTAGCATCTGCATTGAGAAATTCGTCTGCACCATTTGAAAGAAGGTTAGGGAAAGATAAGTTTTCTGGTAGGACGAAATTGGTTCGCATTTCCCCAAGCCGGCGGCCCAGAACTGGAACGTCCACAGAGAGGAATAGGGCTTGGTAACCAGCTTCTAGAACATGGTCAACAAAGTTTGCTCTCTTGCCGCATTGGTGAAAGATGCACGTGTTGCCGCTACTCACGTTCTGCCCTACTCAGCAGCTGGAGGGTGATGTTCCTGTCTTTCACTATGCACATCTGCATCATGTACGGGTTGCCATTGCCTTGTGCCTTGACATCTTCCAACGATGTCGTTGAGTATGAAGACAACGCCAACGGTATGCTCATTTTTGCGGCTGCTCTTGATGTAGCAAGCTCTCCGTCCGGGTGCGCCAACCGATGCATTGCCGATGGACTGAGACCGCACGGAAAAGTGATCTTGGTGCCAAAGATCTCGGCACTTGTATCAAGACTAGATACATTTCGGAGAACGCGTGGACAGATTTTGTATCTATCGTAAGCGGACACGTTGTCTCGCAGCCTGCAAGCATGAGATTTTGAATGATGCAAAATGGTATGGCGAACCTGCAAACACGTACGTTACCATGTCCATCGCTCCACCGTTGAAGTAGTCGCGGTACTCCGCTTGAAGGTGTTTTGTGCCTATTTCTTCGAGGTCACGAATGGAAAACACATGTGAATCTAGGTTTATTGGTCGATTTGCCATTCTCTATAAATTTTGAGCTGGTAGTTATTCGAATGCGAGATGAAACAGTGGTTGAGACACGAGCGTGTAATGAGGTGTAACTCTATGTATGTTATGACTTGATGATTTCTGGCAAGACTATCTCTGGAGGAGATGTGGTTGACGTGCAATTGGATATATGGGTCCCGCATGACGAGGTCCAAGGCTGTTCACTATCAGGTTCCGGCTAGCACCTTTCGGAAAGGATGCCATGTATCGGATGAGTGGGGTCTTTCCGTTATCTGAAGATTGTTTCGCGAACTTTCCGAAAAGTGCAGCAAAAGGTATCCAATTGACATGACTCCAAGAGCTTACTGACTACTTTCCGCATGTGGCAAGTCATTCCGCAGTACTTTCGATATCTTTGGAACAGCTCGTTGAACCAACCAAGCGTTACTGTTCTTATATTACCTGTTATTTCGGATAGCTCGAGTTCTTCCCAATCTTAACGCTACCTCAAACGTCGCTGCAGCTGTTCAAAGCATTCCTACCTCTGCCATCAACCAACACGACCACTCTTAGGAACAATGGCTCTTCAGAACTTACACGGTATTCTTGTGGCATTGGTCACCCCGTTTACCGATGGTGGAGAAGCCGTTCATGAGGGAAGACTCAAAGCACACGTCAATCGTATGATTGATGCTGGTGTCCACGGACTTGTCCCACTTGGCACAACAGGGGAGTTCACTGCCATGACGATCGAAGAGCGAAAAAACGTCACAGAACTCTGCATCGAGTATGCAGCCGGCCGCGTGCCTGTTGTCGCTGGCGTGGGCGCGCTATCAACACGGGAATGCATCGACCTGGCTAAGCATGCCGCAAATGCTGGAGCCGCGGCATTAATGGTCGTCCCGCCGTTTTACGATCCTGTTAATCACGAACAGCTACGGGAGCTGCTGAAGGAGATTCACGAGGCATCAAACCTGTCCATCCTGTATTACAACATCCCCTCAGCTAGCGGTATCACATTGTCACCAAAAGAGCTAGCTGCCTTGTCCGAAGTCGGGGTTCACTACATGAAAGATACTTCGGGCAACGCTCCAGCATTGACTGAACTGCTATTTGAACTTGATGACAAGATCACCGCGTTCAATGGTTGGGATACACTCACATTCTATGGGCTGGCTGCAGGCGCGAAGGGTTCCGTGTGGGGGGCGACCAACATCATTCCGGAGCTTTCGGTGGAGCTATGGAATACGCTTGCTGTAAAAAAGGACTTGTTCACAGCGCAAAAGCTTTGGAGAGATATTTTTCCTATTTGCAAGTTTCTCGAGTCACATAATTATCCTTCAGCTGTGAAGACAGGTATGGAGTTACGAGGATGGGAGACAGGAGGTCTTCGGAAGCCGTTCTCTCTGCTGAGTAAAGATTTGGCGGACGAGTTGTCGGCCTTGCTTCTTGCTGCAGACTCACTATCGGGGAAAGCGAAGTAGAGTCCCAACAAAATGTAAAAGTTTGTGTATGAGGTATCAACGCAGCGGTCAACGAGCAACCAATTTGCATCCCGTTTACACATCATAATGCGATATCCGGTCATCTACCTGGCCATGATCAGTCATGTTGGATCAAGTTTGTAGCACAACGGGTCACTTTTCGTGTCAAAGTTTCAAGAGAAACCTGATCTCGCATTGACTAGAACTACGCAAAATCCAGGATTGTCGCTTTCTTGCCAGATTTTCACAACTTGTTACCCAAATTCACATGTACAGCCTTGATCTGAGAGTAAGCCTCCAATCCTGCTTCGCCTAGCTCGCGCCCTATCCCGGATTGTTTCACGCCTCCGAACGGTACTCTGTAGTCACAATCCTGACTGCTGTTGACCCAGACCATTCCTGCTTCAATCTCCGCAGAAACACGATGAGCTCTTTCAAGGTCTTTGGTGAAGATTGCAGCTCCGAGACCGTAGATTGAATCGTTAGCCATATCGATGGCTTCTTCTTCGCTTGAAAAGGTAGCGATGACCACAAACGGTCCGAAGACTTCTTCTTTGTAAATTCGCATGCTTGGTGAAACCTCAGTGAATACCGTTGGCTTGACGTAGAAGCCACTTCCTGGACAGGCCTCTCCCCCTTCAACCAATTTGGCTCCTTCAGATTTGCCGATCTCAATATATGACAGAATTCTCTCATACTGTTGTTTGGTCACTTGAGGACCTTGAAAGGTTTCTTCGCTCCATTGGTCACCTATGACAGACATTGTCTTGGTTTGTTCACGGAATTGGGAAAGAAATCGTTCATACACGGACTCTTGGACCAAGATGCGGGACGTGGCCGTGCATATCTGTCCCTGGTTGGACATCACACCATAGTGTGACCAGCGGACGGCTTGCTCCATGTCTGCGTCGTCAAACACGATCAACGGCGATTTGCCCCCAGTTTCAAGAGTCACGTTCTTCAGCCCCACAGCAGCGATCTTCATGATCTGACTAGCAGTAGGTGTAGATCCCGTGAAGGCGATCTTGTCGACTAATGGATGTTGTACCAAAGCAGCCCCGGCCTCCTTTCCGAGCCCGTTGATGATATTGACAACTCCAGGTGGGAATCCGGCTTGTTTAATGAGTCTTGCCAAGACGAGAATGGACAAGGGCGTTTGCTCAGCCGCTTTCAAGACAATCGTGTTTCCGCATGCCAGCGCTGGGCCGAGCTTCCAACAAGCCATAGAGAGAGGGTAGTTCCAGGGGATGATCTGGGCGATGACTCCAAGGGGCTGCCGGATTGTATATGCAAACTTCTGTGGAGTCGTGCCTATCGTCTGACCGGAGATCTTGTCGGCCCATCCGCCATAGTAACGCATCGTTGAGAATGCTTCTGGAATATCGTCGGTCATGGCTACATTGTACGGTTTGCCTGGTATGATCAGAATGTACCTTTTGTTGTGATCGCTAGTTATACATACCATTGTCCCAAGCATCTATAGTTGCCAGAATCTCTTTGTTCTCCTCTATCAAGTCGGCGAGTTTGAACATCAATCTTCCACGATCTGTATTAGATAACAGCTTCCATTCTGGACTCTTCAGGGCTTTCTTTGCTGCCCTTACCGCGCGATCCACATCTTGAGAAGTCGCAGCCTGAACCAGAGCAATTTCTTCTTCTGTTGCAGGGTCTATGGAGGAGATGGTATTGGCCGGATCGGATGAATCAACAAACTCATTGTCGATGAACAGCCCTGTTGGTTGTTCCCACTCTCTACCATTGGGTGCTTTCAGTTTGAGAGTCTTAGAAGCCATTGGGACAGACAAGGTTGAGATTCAGAAGAGGTTGAGTTGGAGATGGTGATATTCGGGCGTAGAAAACGTTCTGTTATCTCTTCCTCCGGCGCATGAAACCCTCAAACTCCGCCACTAGAAAAGGCGTCATACGAGGATTGGAGTTGAAGTGTGGGTCTGAGCGCCAGAGCCTCAACACATTGACGTTATTTGATGGGATAATATCTTGCCTGAACCTGTCGGGTTCCTTGCGCTGGACGAAGAACCAGCGACACGGGCCGCACCGCAGCTAGAATTTGCGGACTCGGAGCAAAGCGACTGTTGACCCCGCTCTGCTGATATTCGCCAAGAGTCATGTTGGAGAGCGTAATCGGAGCTGATTTCGGAATGACATACCGCTCTGGGGAACTTACGTCAGCCACGCTGCTGATTGGCTACGTCATAGCCCCGCTTGGATAATGCAAAGCGGGACACTTTGGATGGGTAATTTCATGAGGTTACTAATTCAAAAGGCCACAGAGATTGACCAATCTATCTAAGTACAGAACTCACCTTGATGAATATATGAGAAACATTTGTAGTTAAACATTCCACGAGAATCGCCATAAATCCCTTAAAACTTGAGCCTTCGAGAAAGTGACACTTGTATGTAGATCGCCTTCCTCGTCTGCGTTCATTCCTATGGAAGCTAACACAGAGCCTGCTGGCAAGATGATTGCTGTTTTCAGTTCTGGGAGGATATTTGGAACCTTTCGTCGATTTTCCTGCCGTTTACAACGAAGGCGGCACTCGCGAATTTCGCTATCTCGCTGGGATAGTCGGTCCATGTGAAGGTTTAGGGTCCTGCACCTGGATAAAGGTTCCCCACTGGCCGTTGCTGATATCTTTCGAGTCACTGTCAGTTAAGCCTTCAGGACCCTCACATTGCAATTTTAACCTGGTGACTGTCGGCGGCGACACGATCTCTCAGCCATTCAAGTTCAAGGATCATATGAACTCTTCAGAAGAGTGCGTGGGAGGTCTCTGACGTGGTAGAGATCGTGGCTGTGTATGTATATGATATGATGATAGACCTCTTGATCTCGTCTCCGAGTTGTTGATCGGAGGGTGGGCCATTTCTGGTTTGACAGATCTCGAGGAAGATCTCACTGGACAGAGTTTCTCGATACTCGGATTCACAACGTTTATCTTGTCTACACTTCTTACAATCAGCAGAATGCTCGTTTCTGGAATCCTCGCCTTCGATGATGATGTTCACTGCAACAGTGTTTGGATCCCTGGGTTCCAAGAGAGCAAACGGCACGTATCACATCCAGGGCTAGGCAAAATCACCGATCACAAGACCGAACTACCAGATCGAAACCATAACAAGATTGCGATGCCTGATCCTACTTTATATTCTAAGGTATGTAATGTTTGACTACGCGTTACCTGCTCAAGATGCTGACTTGGAGGCGCGGGGTTTCAAAAGGTCTCTTAAGTGCTTTGTTAGAGGCAATTGGCGCGTTTGTTTCGTCCAATGCAATCGTCACGGACATCAATCATACGGCCCTTATATGTAAGACTAGAGGCACCCTAACTGCCTGTATCAAAGTTTATGGTTCACCTGTTGCAACCAATCCCAGAAAGAGTGATTGAAGATTCTTTACGCTGTGCAATGAGACTTGACATACCGTACCTTGGGGTCGATCGTTGTTGTATCAACCCAGTTGAGTTCGTTTTGAATACTTCGAGGCAGCTTCTCATTCAAAACATGAACAAGATCTACTTGTCTGCCGCACTCACGATCATCAACGCGGGGGAAGACAATGGTTTACCTGGCTTATCAACGACCTCGCGGGCTTCATCGCTTGCAGCGGTGATATATGGACGGAGAGTAGCACAGGTATTAAAGTCGTAAGATCAGATATCCAATAGTACATGGCCTACTCGAGAATGAACATATCAAGAAGGCATGCTGGCTTGAAGGCGCCTGGTGTTTTCTGATACGCAAGTTCACTTCCAATACAATCAAATTCATTGACTTGAGGCGATATTGAGGATGTTCGAATCATATCAAGATCGGGAGCCACAGGTAAACGAAGTCGGGGCTTGTTCAAAAACACAAGCCTTTCCATCTTCCACCGAGGGATCGTCCACCTGTATAGCTACGGAGCTTTGCAACGCATATTCAGTGCAAAATCTGAGTATGACAATGATGCTCTAAAAACCTGCATGGGAGTCTTTTCCTGATTATGGAGGGGTCCTACACCTGTTTATTAATTTTGGGGTTTGCCATTCTGTGCAAAAGCTGATGCCATATTTTTAGAATCTCTTTTCTGGAATTTCGATTCCCTTCAAGGTGCTCTATCATTGATCCAAAGAAGTGGCCTACCTCCAAGAAGCTTGGTGACTTGGAAGAAATGCTTGAGGTTCCACACTTGCATTAGATTTGGGAACACTGGAATTCCACAAACCGCTGTTAAGGTTGAGGTGCAGCACACGACTTGAGAGAAAGACTTTACCGTTAGGGACTATGTTGTAACTATTAATGACGGTGGAATTTCGGAGACTGGTGTCCGCACTTAATCTTCGCTGGATGGCTTTTCACTCTACGCATATGGCCTGTAATCCTCGACCCGCTAATCCTTCCCTGTTTTCTGGAAAATAGGTTAGAAGTCTATAGGGAGAGTCAGGTTAGTACCCAGGCAGTTGAATACAAGCTTGGAAGAGAGCGTTAAGTTGCTTTCCTCAAGACCGTGGCATGTTATACTAGTCGCACATCGGAGTGGTTGATTTCACGGCATAATCCTCCTTCCCCATGGCTCAGCTACGAACTATAAATACGAGCAATTGAGAACATGTAAGCTGTTTTGCTACCCTGAAGTGATTTGATAAGACTAGTGTAGGTCGTATACTAATGTGTGCGACGAAAGACTCGATGTTGCACACTAATTAACATGCAAAGAACGAACTATCCATCTTGTCTGACAGTTTACTTGTTAATACAATGCTTATCTTATCAAGATATGTTAGCGAAAATCAATGTTCGACTGAGATGACATTATATTGTGTCGAGAGAAAAGCACCAACATAATGGTTTATCTGTCTACGAGTGATACAGTTTCTCTATTGAGGAAAGCCTAGAGTTCTACTACGCAGTAACTGATTTGCAGAGACGAGCGGTAACTTATCTTCTGCCTATTCGGCATAACACTAACGATAGCTAAACAGAAAGAAATGTATTAAAAGCATCTTAAGCGATGACTCGATCTTTTACTCGGTGCCAGCTATACATCTATTAAAGTTTCACGATAGAACCTTCTAGACAACTCATAGTGAGACTTGCAATATGCCTTTTCAGATTATTACTCTTTACAATAAAAGTCAAGCTCAACATGATTCTGCGAGGAAGAATCCCTATTTATTAATCTGGTATGGAGTTTTGATATCCTTTAAATGCTCCCAACTTTCGTCAAATGTTCATACATCCTTATACTGAGTGGTCTTTCGGCTGCTCGATGTATTGTTCTGTCTCGTTCGTGCCAGCAGTAGAGTTGTTTTTTCCATTGCCAGAGGACCCTAGGAGTGGCTTCAGTCCGGGTAGGGAGACGACAATGATAGAAAGAGCCATCTCGACCATGCTGAGGGGATCTACGAGAGGGTTGTGTCAGCTATACTGCTGTAGCAATTTACCGAAACACGACAACTTACAAACAAGGTTCTCTTGGCCAGTACCCACGTTGAGGCAAATGAAGCGCACAACTCCTGACATGATGGTAAGGGCTCCCAACACGAAGGTGAGATTGACACCAGCCGAAGCCTTGAGGACGCCTTGGATCAGGAGGACGAGAGGTACTGCGTAAACGATGAAATAACAAGCCAGATTTAGCGTGAAGTTCAGAATGAAGGGCTCCGGGGCATAGAACACGGAACAGGCGCCCTCCTCCTGAGACCATTGCACCGAAACGTCCTTGCCACAGAAAAACGTGTCATCGAATAGAATAGTCAGATAGCATGCGACAACAAAGACGGCCATGACCCAAAGTATCTTCCGCATCGCCGGTCGAGTTTTGAGGTCGAAGAAGGTCCAGTAAAAGGCCAGCATACTGAGCTTGGGAAACCCCATTCCAAAATCGTAGAAGTAATTAGAGGAATATGAGATCTGTGCATGGCTAGTGTGAGTAGTTGCTTCCAAATCGCCCACGAACAAGATGAGGAACAAAGTTGCTCTGTATGAGTTGGAGTAAGTTTACGAATAAGATTCGTACCTTGGATAGCTTCTCTGACGTTTCGTACTCGTCCATTACGCCCATTTGAAATGTGAGAGTGTCACAAATGATCAAACCCAAGGCATCGAGGGCGGAGGCAATCAGCAGGTAGTCGGACCAGTCTAGTCTCTCACGGAGACGGAACAGGCGCGCGTATATGCGTGCGCCGACAAACAAGTAGGCAAGTACCAAGAGAATCCATTCCGAGACCTGTCGCGGGGCATGCTGTTAGATAACTCTTTCGAGCAACGACGCCCAGAAGGTAATTTTCATAGGAACGCACCATGCAATCTTTGCCATCAATATAGTGCACCATCGTGTCGACCTCAGATAAGGGGGTAGAGAGTATGAGTAACGATAAAACGAGCAGTGATGGCGTATTAATTTCTTGCTTGAGTTGGGTGGAACAGGCAGTACGTATATTGTATGCTCAAGGGTGATGGAGGGGGAAGTTCTTAGTTTCGGTGGCTTTGAGGTGGTTCCTTTCAACGGTTGGAACGTGCTTGTCACGGAAACTCGGCCGGGACATGCTACAGATTGAGAAGACAGGGTACATATCGTACCACAGCAGACTTTGTACGAGAAGATAGGAAGACGACTGGCGATCTCGAAAGTCGGGAAGATGGCGCGAACATGCAACACAGGTGTTCAAGGTTCACGATCCTCGCAGGATCAGCCAAAGTAACATATTCTGATATCTACCACTTATATTGAGTCGCCCGGGTATACGCGCGGAAAGGTACTCCCCACTAATATACGGGGCAGTCCAGGTGGCGTGTTTGGTGGGCAGATACCAACAGTAATCCTGGTCCCGGAGCGGCTAGAGTTGCGTGGACTCGGTATGGGCTTGAACTGGAAGGTACCCGCCGATCGCATTTCTCTCACCTCCATCTTTGTCATTACCTTACAATAAGTGTTCCTTTTGTTGGATGCGTTCTTGTCAATTGAGTATGACGTCGATGTGCAAGTCAAGTAGCCGCGCAAGCGACCTTTCGTACTTGTTAGTATGTGCTCGAGCGACAATTGCCCAAATCCTTGACATGGGAGTTGATATCATCAAGTCTTATTTTTCGCGAGTGTAAGTAGCGCAACTTCACAAACGCGATAAGCGGCCTAGACCTACTGCGTACTTACCCTACACTTCTAGCTTACTCGAGGGGATATGGAACAAGACTGTTCATCACTAGTATCAATGTAAAGCGATAAAGCTTGCACTCAGCATTAATTAGATATCTTACGCTGCCTACTCTCTTGCTGAGTCCCGCCCACGGCATGTCCAGATATGAGATCTTCCAAATTCAATCTTGCATTCGTTTGTTGCCCAGCTGCAATTTTGACATGTCTACGCCCCGCTGAGTTCTCGCCCCACATTAGCGCACGACCTATATGTGCTCCATGCTCCTGAGCTTGAGGTAATTAGTTATATGCATGGCCGGAAGCGGCCCGCAGTCCGTCTGGAGAAACGTTGAAGTAAAACTCAAGACACTAATTGTTATTTTCCTATCATGCAATCTGCTCCAGCCGTTCTCATATTTCAGAATCAAGCAGCTTTGCAGTATTTGAATCTGTATCCTAACATTCACGCGCAGATTTCCACAATTCATCAAGGCTTCCAGAACCTGACGCAGCAGTTATATGCTTGCTAGGTATGCCTGGTTTATTCCACTTCGTCGGATTATGGATATATGTTGTGGTATTTGCACAATTGATTATACGGTGCCAGCGATTATAACCATGTTGAGTTCTTTGATTGTTGTACTACCCTAGTCCAGTATGCCAGATAGTACGCCCGAAAGCTGTGTCCAACCAAAGGGGAATAGGGTCAAACCAGATTGTAGCGTGATCGACCATTCATCAGATCCCCGCACTGCAATTATGCAATCTCTTCGGGGCGTTGTGCTTTGTCGTCTAGCGAGTTTGAGAATTGCACACTGATTCGGCGAGTCTCATAGATGACGTCCTTCCTTCCTATAGAATTGAGCTCTACTTCACTTCCTGAATCTTCTTCTAGATGCACACGAGCGTCGTGCTTGGCCCTGCTGGATGAGATCGTGAAGCGATTAGACCCTGATGTCAACTTTCGATGATTGTTTTCGGTACGGGAAGATGAAGACCCAAATGTTTTCATAGATGAAAATATGCCGCCGCGTCGCAGGGAAGACCTCATTGACGGTAGTGATACTACCATTATAGCAGCAGCCATCTCAGCCATGGAAAGTACAACTATACATGCGTTAGCACTTGGAGTTCAAAAATGATTTCTCAAGAACTAGCTACTTACAGACATTGGTCCACGCGTGTATAATCTCTATCGTTGCAAAGCGTACTATGCTTACGGCTATAGTTATAGCACCAAGTGAAAATGTTGCGATAAGACCCCACATTTGACCTCGATTGACTTGTAATTGGCGGAGAAGAGGAAAAGGCAGCATACAGACTGTTGAGAGATAATTAGTATCTGGTCACATTATCACAGTCGGGATGTGTCACTTACTGAGCAAGTCTGTCACCACGTTTGTCACCCAGTCGATTCTAAAAACCTCTTTGGAATCAAACGTATTACAAGCACCTTCTGCTGGAGACCAGTTGAGGGTTACCTGGCGGCCACACCAGAAGGTATCCAAGAAACAAGTCATTGTCATGGCGCAGCCAGTAGAAACGGTGACTGTGTAAAGTGCCTTTCGTGACCATGGCATCGTCGGAGGTATGAGTTTGTAGTAGAGGGCTAAGATTGCTAGCTTTGGTAGATAAATTCCTGTGTCATAAAAATAGCTTCCCGCAAATTGTACCTAGTGGTGTAACAGTCAGCTTTCTGTTCACCTCGATATATTGTCTGGAACATTACTTTCTTCAGAGCAACAACATGAGCTATCGATGGCTCTGGTGCATCTGGATCATCTTCGGCCATACCACCCCATTTGTACGTCATGACATCGGTGATGAATAGTGCGATAGCATTGATGATAGCTGCTATCAGGAAGCTGTCGCTTATAGTAGGATATTGTCGCTGCAAGAACCGCGGAATGAGGCGGCCAGAAGCTAAGAGTATAGCAAGAGCTAATAGAAAAGCTTCGATGGGCTTTGTACTTGAACATTAGCATCAGGGAGGTAGAAGACCAAAAATATAATCTTCTTGATAGGATACATACTATGACAGCCTCTGGGGCAACGCCTCCTGCCATGGTCGTGAGTTATCAATCGATGCCTCTTGAAATGAAAATTGCAACAGCCAAAAATGTCTTGAACGACGCAAAGTTTGAGGCGAAGACGTCAGTATTATCATTGTTAAGGCCGCTCCAAAATTCGCAAGCTAATCCATCGGTGTAATACCCATCGGGAATGCGGCATCCCAAGGTGTCAGCCGTACCATTCTGACAACATCGACCCTGTAGGGTGAATGGTGATGGTTGTCGGGATATCCTCGCCGCATTGGTATCGTGTATTGTCAGCTGAGATCTTAGTTCCGGTTCTGCAGGAACTACCCAATGTCCTGGTAATCTTGTTGGTAACCACCATCGTGTTTGACAGCCAGTGTCCTAGTATCTGCAGGCCGGCCTAGTTCTGCGGGATAACCTAGGTCCACAAGTCGCTACCCTGGTTATTTGCTTTACATGAGATTTGGCCTATCAAGCTGATATCAATTGGTGACGACTTACCGGTAGCTTGGAGATTGGACAAGCACGATATGCAACGGTTGTCGTTTTGGGTACATTAATGCGGTGCAGCGCGGCAGAGTGCAGTCCGCTTTTTTTGATCTCGCTCTTGTTGCCTGAAAAAGACTTTGCCACAAGTTGAAATTCTGGGGAGTAGATGTATGTTCGCGTTACATAGTATATGCAGCTTACTGTGCTATGCGCTCACTGGTAGATTGGGTATGTACGTATCGTTAATGGCTGTATTGGATTCCAAACATGTGGTTCTGGAATTTATTTTTATTCGCTCACTATCAAAAGTATTTGCCCCAGAACTGATGTGCCAACAGCCGCGCAGTTACTATGAAAGATTGGAAGAGGACAAGCACTGTGTGGATTGTTCAAAACTTCGAATAAATGCATAGTTACAAAACATGCTGACATACCCGATCATGTACGCGTTCTGCCAGAGAAACGTTCAGAGAAGATTCTGAGCAAGCCAGTGTTGTTATCCACGGCAGCAGGGTGAACGTCACGCCATCTGTGGGTTCGCCAGCCCCGTCGGAACTGGGCACAGAACGAGATGTTCAGACCGACATGGCTCCTCCACTCCACCGAACCACGAGCTACCGGATAGCGCACGAACGTATGCATGGAGGGATGCAGGATGGCGCCTAATTTGTGTTTTTTCCCGACTTTAAATTTGCAGCTCCTTTCGCTGCCGCGACTGCCGGACACGCTGCATCGCTGCACGAGCGGGTGCAGCCACACAGAGGAGCTGCAACCGCTTATTTCCACCTACAGAGGCGATATGAATGCTTGGATTTGTGTGCGAAACGCCCACCAAAACTAGCGATGCTTTTGCACCCTCATATAGTGGAGTTTCCAACGAGCCCGATAACAAAGCACCCTTCCTTCGCAGACTTTGCTCGCCCTCCTGGCAACCTCACGGAGTTGGTGGCCTGACCAACTCTGCCCGTATAAACAAAGGCGCTAGGAATGAGCCGCAGCGTGGTTTTCTGTCTTAAGCGCCCGAATTCGTGCCCCTCGCCGTGTTCGTACAGGCAACCATGGCTCTACCAATCCCTCCACGTTCGAAACCTCTGCCGATAATTCACATCAATGGATTCCCTGGAACCGGCAAATTGACGATTGCACGAGAGGTCGTCACTATTTTACAGGGGCACTTTGCAGCCTCTGAATCGGGAGAACAGGTCAAGCTCGTACACAATCATCTGATGATAAATCCCGCCGATGCTGTCTTGCATAGAACGCAACCAGGCTATCAAATACTCCGCAAAGCGCTGCGGGATGCAGTATTCTCGACATTGAAGAGCGAACCAGCCACGTTCACCACGGCCTACCTGTTCACCGACTGGCAAAGTGGTGATGACATTGGCACGGAAGTGTGCAAGGATTTCCAATTTACAGCGCATGAGCGAGGTTGTGATTTCATTCCCATTGTCATCACCTGCGAGCAAACGGAAAACATCGCCAGACTTCGCAATAGTGATCGAGAATCCTGGCACAAGATCACCGACGCTGAACTTCTGGTGCAATTTCGAGAGCAATTACACCCACCGCCGGTCTATCAATTCGAGAATGTGGAAACGCGCTTGGAACTTGATGTTACAAAGCTTAGTGCCCAGCAAGCAGCAAAATGTATTATGCGGCATGTACTTACATGTCTGTCGAACGGCGTAAACAGAGCTGTTTACAATTTCAAACAATAACGATGTATATAGCTATTCTATACCAAAGCACTAGCACGTTATTGACTAGCACTGCTGCTGTATAAGAACCCGCCCCCCCCCCACCCTTTTCCCTCACCGTTGGACCTATATTTCTCCTCATCTCATCCAAGTCCGCATGCTCATCTGTTTGAGGGGTACTATACATCTAAACCTCGCAATCGCAGTGAGCAAGAGTCTTTTCCAATCCTCCAGTCGCTCGTTCTTGAGCCTCCCTCTTCACCACCACCGTGCCCAGTCCACCCAGACCGCCCCTGCCATGGCGCAACTACTTACAGACGCGGAAAAAGCCCGCGTTCGGGCTTACATGGATCATCTTCACAAGGCTATGGCCATCATCACAGAATCAGAGTTCGATCCCGACAAGGTCAATGCTGCTCACGAGGCAGCTGCCAGGGCGCATCCCGTTAGCAAGGAATTGTTCCAGGCCTATAGGGACGAGTTCTTGACAGAAACGCCTGACCTCCTGAAGGTGTTGAACGACTTATTTGATATCCTCAAACCAGACGCGCCTTGGGGTCTGGCCGTGTACCGTGCCTCGTACAACGACGATGCGGCTTGGCATCGTATACTCTCTGTACTCCGCCAAGAGATCGAGTCAGCACTAGCAGTTCATCAGGCTCAACCAGGCATTGTCGCAAGACATAAGTTGGTCGTAATGGATGATCAGTCTAAATTTGAAGGAGCAGGTCCCGAAAAGATCCGCGAGCATTTCAACAGCTGGGCTGTAGATGAACTACAGCGTAACTGGCGTGCCGACCTTGAGCCTGCAACTAAGGACACAATAACTGGCGCAGCTGGCAGCACAGATCATCTGCGCTATGCTGGATCTCGCTACAACTTCTGTCTTCTTGTTGACAACATCTGCCTTGAATCAATCAAGATGATGAACAAGCCTGTGTTTAAGCTTGTTAAGAGGGACTGGGCGCCTGATAGCGAAGAAGACGAAGCTGAGGAAGACGAAGAAGACGAGAAGTTTGCCTGGGAGGGTGGAGAAACAGATAATGAGTATGAAGATGTTGGTTGGATGTACGTCGACGCTAGTGACTACATTGATGTTCAGGATCAGTTGCAGGAGGATGATTTCTGGCCGGAATTGTATGTAAGGCCGCCGCTTATGCGTTGGGAGGAAGATTTCAACAGGGCGCCTGGTTTCTGGCGACGGAACGCATCTTCTGTAGAGATAGAATAAGACTACTTATCGTAGCTTAGTTAGCTTATATATCCCTCTTACTAAGTTCGATCAAAGAATAATTCTGATAGCAACACTAGTCGCTTAGCGATATAACGAGCACAGGATCTTTGTTGAATTTAGTATGTCGCCGATATGTGTGTTAGTGTTTGTTAGCGTCATATCTGTTGACAAGCGGATGGGCTGCCCTCATCCGCAAGGTTGCCCTTGGCGCCTGAGACAAAGTACAGCTTATACCTATGTGCATGTTACGTATGGTTCTCCTCCAGTGTTATTCTGAAGATGTTGTTGAGTTTCCGATCCTCCCACGCTTCTATGCTCAATTCCGGCGCCTTCTGAGCAGGCTGGGGTGTTGGGTCATTGCTTCGTGGCTGCATGGCTTTGATGGTGATGCACTTTTTGGGGGGCTCGTCGGTCTTAACACCCAACTAGGAGAATGGATTTGGGGACGACATGAGCTCAGTTTGGGGCTTCGGCGGTGGTGGTACTTGTGATTGGGTAGGCTTGGGCGATGAAGTGCTCGATGATGCGGCTTCGGGAGTGGTTGAAGGTGGCCGTGAGGGAGCATTTGAAGCCGCAGGACCGCCTAGCTTTGCAAGGCGCTTTGCACGGATCTAAGAGATGTCGTCGTCAGCGTGTCTTTTAGACGGGTGACTAGCAGGTGGGCTCACCTTATCGGCATCGGACATGGCATCGGGAGCAGCGGCAGGCGCAGGCACAGGCGCGCTGCATCAGGCATTGCGCTCTCTTGTTGGTCAGACATGAGACTGTTTTCCTGGTCTGTGACTCGCATGTCAGCCACAACACTAAGTAGGTTCATCTATCGGTGGCTGTGCCTAGCGAATACAGTACCTAGGCACTGTAACACTATACAAGATAAAAGAGATGGGTATTCTTTTGACTGCGAGATACATTAGCATTGTCTTCCGTTGGTAGACCAGCAAACCGACCACGCAGACACCAGACATGCCGCCACCGCCAGTCGAACTCAGCACGACGCTGAGTGACTTGTACTCGCTCGACGGCGGCGATGCCAACGACATAGCCTTATGTTACACAATCCCTGCGCCATCTAGGCGTGCACTCTCCCTCTCATGCCCGCTCTCGCAGAAATACGCATACCAGAGCCCAAGGAGTACGAAAGTGGGACCCGACACGACCGCTCGATTCGTCCTGGGATGCATGTCTCAGTTCTACGGCTTCGTCGCTGGGCCGATGGACCTCCATCTGTTCGACATCGACGCGACCAAGATGGAGCGGGCATACCAGACCTTCAGTTGGACGGCAGCCGAGCGATCGCATCGCCAGGACGCCCGCCGCACGTACGAACGCGTGCAGGCTTCGCAGCGACCTAATCTGCACTCCATCGAGACGCCCGGGCAGGCGGTGGAGCTGGGTAAGACCAAGAAACTCGCCACGGCGTCGCCCATAGATTTCCTCAACCACGACCCCCAGATCACCGTGGTGCCGCAGGAAGCGCACTGGAAGATGCTGAGCAAGCGCACCTTGGCAGAATCCGGACTCCCGACGCCGCCGACGCAGATCATCGAGTCGCAGTTGGTCGCGCTGAGCAATGGCGCCGCCGTCGATCCCGTCAACAACCCTTTCTACCAGAGAGGCCTCTCCGACCCTTACGCCAATGTCGACTATGTCCCGGACAAGGACTCTGACAAGGAAACCACGCGGATGATGGCGGCACTTGTGGACCGTCCGTTGCCCTTCGTCGTCAAACTGCCTCATGGCTACGGCGGACATGCTGTCTTCGTTGTGCGCGACGAACAACAGCGCCAGCACTGTCTCGACACCCTTCGCGAACAGCTGCCCGATTCCTTCCCACGTGCTTGCTTGTGCAGGATCTTCTCCCAGGCAAATCCATCGCCGTGTCTTTCTTCGTCACCAAAGCCGGCCGTGCCGTATTCGTGAGCGCCTCCGAAGAAGTCCACAACGAAGCGGGTTCGTGGACCGGTGCACTGATGGACTACGCCGCCCAGGACGCGCTGTCAGTCCAGTCCAACGACATCATCAACACGGTCGCCGCGTATGTCTACGAGAAGGGCTTCTACGGCCCCATGGGCGTGGACGTCATGACTGATGACCAGGGCAAAATCTACGTGATTGACTTGAACGTGCGACACACTGGTAGCTACTCCCTGGGGCTGATGAAGAAGCACTTCCTCGAAAACCAGAAATTGCCCTTCGGCGGATTGCTCGCGCCAATACCGATCATGGGAGATCGAGATGCATTCGAACGCAGATTTGCAGACGAAATCGAGAGCGGCAGACTGGTCATCACTGCTTGGTGTCATAGCAAGGTTGCGGGTGGTCTGGTTACTTACAATGCCGCTGGCATGATTGCTGGCGCCGAGACTCGTGAGCAGTTTCTGGAATTCATGGACCGCTTGAATGCGATCACCATCAAGAGGTAGGGTATTATCGTTTTTCGTGGATAGATCGTAGTAATGTTAATGCACAATGTATGTATGTATGCGTGCACCTTTCCAGGTCATGATGTCCGTGTAGGCGTTTTTGTCACTTGCTTTCTGGCTGACGTCTAGACACTTATACTGCATGGAAGTCAGCCACAGCCCGCTGGGAAGTCGACACCCAAGTCAGCTAACATGATCGAGCGGGGTGGCTTTTCCTGGCTGTCTACCTACATGTATATCACCTTTCAAGACTGTCGAACGAACGAGATGCTCACTAGATCATAGCGCCCATCCGATGCGGCCCATCATGTTTTCTGGCTTGGACGATGTGGTAACTAACCTGAAAGGCCACAATCCTGTTACGCTGCTATCCCTCTCTGCGATAGCATGTATAATCCTATCATACGCCGTCCGGTGGCTCATCACAGCACAACGCGACCGGGCCTTCGCATCCAAGCATGGATGTAATCCCGCGGGGTCTGTGATGCCAAAAGCCACCGACTTCTGGCTCTCGATCAAGGACATTGCCAACAAAACCTATCTCGAAACCGCGGTAAAACGATACGCCAAATGGTCTACAACTTACGAGGCGACGGCGCCGTCTTTCGCGAAACAAGTCTTCACCATCGATCCAGAGAATATGAAGACGATTCTTCCGACGGACTTTGAGCGGTGGGAGCTTGGAGATAGGCGCAGGGTTATGTTACAAGACTTGATCCAGAACTCCATTTTTGTTGTTGATGGGAAAGCTTGGGAACACTCGCGGGTGAGTAAAACAATTCAATTTGCACACACACAGTCCGAAGATAACGATCTAAGCTAACAATATCTACATCCAGGCCCTCCTCCGCCCCAGCTTCAAAAAAGTCAACACAGAAGACACCGGTTTCTTCGAGGCCCACTTCCAAGAGCTCCTCCAAGTCCTGCCCACCATCAACTCGTTCTCCGGTCTCATCGATGTCGACCTACAACCTCTCTTCCTCCGCATGACCCTCGACTCCGCGACGGAACTCCTCCTAGGCAAATCCTTCCACGCTCAACTGTCGCATTCCGAGCCCCAAACGAAAGCCTTCGTCGAAACCTTCGATTTTGCCACAAGGAACGTGTACAAATATGATACCTTACGCAACGGCTTCCTCTCCCCACTGGGAATGCTCAACTGGGCTTTCCGCGGCGGCGGCAAAGACAAATTCACAAAGTCCTGCGAGGCGGTTCACCGGGCCATCGACGATAGGATCACACAACGACTGCAGGAGGGTTTCAGTAGTGCCGCGGATATCAAGAGGTATATTTTCTTGGAGGGTTTGTCGCAGGAGACGAACGACAAGACGCAGATCCGCGACGAGATCCTCAGCGTTCTGTTCGCGGGCCGTGATTCCACTGGTTCTTTGCTCAGCAACGCCATATTCATGCTGGCCCGGAAACCTGAGGTTTGGAACACGCTGCGTGAGGAAGTTATGAGGGTAACGCAGGGATGTTTGCCGGACGCTTCGATGCTTCGTCAGATGAAGTTTTTGCGCAATGTTCTGAACGAAAGTACGTATGATGCTTTCGCTCTTGATCACGCCCTTTAGCGATCTCTGGAATGCCAGAAACATACAACAAGCGCTTATCGTTACTGATTCTTTTCCTCACAGCCCTCCGACTCTTCCCACCAATCCCAGTGAACGCCCGTGTTGCAAACGTCAACACCACCCTCCCACGCGGCGGCGGTCCCACTGGCCAAGATCCCTTATTCGTCGCAGCCGGAACTCGAGTCCAATACCACTGTTACGCAGCTCACCGATCATTCGAAACGTACGGCCCGACTGCCCTCGAGTGGGACCCCTCACGTTGGGACGATGCCTCCTTCAAACCGGGCTGGGGTTATTTGCCGTGAGTAATACCCAACTCCATGCAAGATTTAAAAACTTGAAGGATCGATCAGACGAGCTGACACGATTGGTGCACAGTTTCAACGGCGGTCCCCGAATCTGTCCCGGCCAAGTCTTCTCGACCTTCGAGTTTACGTATATCCTCGTGAGGATGGCGCAGGAGTTCAAGTCGGTAGAGAGACGCGAGCCGAAGATGGAGTACGAGTCTAGTATTGGGCTTTCTACGCTGAATCGGTTGGGGACTAAGGTTGCTCTGGCGAAGGCTTGAGTTGGGGGGTGTTGATCGAGGTTGCGGTATTGAGGTGATAGTTGATGGAATAGTGTACGGATGGGTGATTGTGGTTGTAGTCACTCATATAATGATCCTAAGATTCTTGTTACATTGCCTAGAGCTTCGACGTTGTACTACCTTAGGACACCGAGTGTCTCGGAAACGTGTGTGCCTAGCGATCAGATTTCAATACATGCTCTACACTTGCTGCGTACTACCTTCGAAGCCCGAGTCTATTCGAGTGTATCATACCAGAGAGAAGATAACACGCGGTTGATTCTCATCTGTACCTCTCATCTGCCTCGTTATCAGTATGTCCTTCCATCGTAAGCCGTTGTAAAACCTTGCTTTACGTGGTTATCGTATCTGCCGGTTGTCCGGGTCTCAATCCATTCGTCAACGATAGTTTAGTTTGTCCATTCAATCAAAAAACGAGTCCAGACGACTAGAAGTCTATCAGACAATTAATCACCATGTAACGAGATTTTATGTTTCTGGATGTAAGCAAGTGAGTACCTTACCCCAACCCTGACCCTAAACTCTCAAGACGCATTCGATCAGACTCTTATTTGTCCCCAAGATTCACGACCTCTCCCAAAGTCACGCGTTTAGGAAAACCCTCCCAAACGTATACACATGCACCAAGTGCGACGACGACGACAATGTCTTCAACAGAACGCGCGCGCGGTAGCGGTGAAGAGCCAGGATGGACAAAGTTCGCGAGGAATAGATTGCATCACTGGAGCATACCGAAGACACCTCCAAAGCTCTGCCTATGGACATCACCTACCACGAATGCGGAGACTCTTATACCATCAATTGGCTCACCAATTGAGCTGGTAGTCGACACGGCTAGCCGCCAGCCGTCAATGGTCAATTGTGCGTCGCAGACATCAAGTCCACTGGCAAATGAAAGTGCAAAAGTCTGTACGAGAGTGGTCAAATGCACGTGTATTATTGGTACAAAAGTATTGCAACATAGAAAAAACAAAAAGGCTGCTACCTGGAACGTCGCCCTACCCCGTCACACCAACCGTTGGCGCAAGAGGCTGCGCATCCATCGCCGCCGCAGTCACCGGCACAGACTCCACCTCAAGCTTTCGATCAGCAGTCTGGTAAACAAGTTTCTGACCCTTGGTCTTGCCCTGCCTGATCAGCTTGACGCCGTCAATCAGGCCGTCGAACCCACCCGACTCTATTTGCGGCGTCGGGCAGCGGTTCGAGGCCAACGTTTGTTGTTTGGATCAGCCATCATTGCGCTGTTGAGAGGACGGTCTAGGTTTGATGACAGGTTGACTTACACTTCCCTCCGCAGCGCCCAATCGCTCGGTAGCAGATCTTAACACTGCTCTCCGTGGTGATGCAGTCGAGGGCGTAATCCAGAGCATTACCCGTGTAGCTTCGGATATCGTCACCACAACTCGCCTCGTTGTAGTCGAAGCACTTGTCTGCACCGTAGCTCTCAACCATCGCCATGCTACCCGTAGAGCACCTGGTGATGATATTTACACCGCAGCGACTCAGCAACTGGATGGCAGCCGTTCCGGTGTTCGTCGCTCCTCCGTACACCAGCACCGTCAGCTTGTCTTTGGTGGTGGGGCTCTGGAGCAGCTCCGAGGGCACCTCGAGGGAGCCGAAGAGCGCCATGCAAGCCGTGACGATGCGTAAAGGCATGCTGGCGCCCTCCGCAAGAGTCATGCCCGGTGGCATCTTGAAGCACATGCCTCCGTCCACCGACACATACTCGGCGAAAGCACCGCTTTGTGGGCGGAGACCTTCCATGCCGTCGGCCAGGCCGGCAACGCGGTCGCCGCATTTGATCCGTCCCTGTACTTCCACTTCTGGCGAGACGGCGACTACGATTCCGGCGCAGTCGGTCTGGTGTTGATGTTAACAAAAATGCGTGCTCGGAGGGAAATGGTGGAGACAACATACACAGTAGCTAGCCCCTTCCATGGCAAAAGGGCCTATCATCTTGGTGTCGACAGGATTCAGGCCGACTGTCACTGTCTTGATCAATACGCGGCCGGCTGTCAACTCAGGCATTGGAGCATTGTCGCGGATCTCGTAGGTGAGTTTGTCGTTGGCGAGGATTGCCCTTTGCACCTTCGGTAGTGATGAAGTCATCCTGGTATGTTGAATTGTGTAGTACTGACCGTGACAATTGCTGCTTGGTGTGCGTGTAGGTAGTTTTGTAGAAGACTCGAGTCGTGAAGACCCTCCACGTGACTTGATGTCAGCTGTCAAGCCGTAAGATTTACCGCAAAAAGGCAATGCGATGGCTGGCAGAGTAGGACAAGGAAGTGCAAACACCGGGGAACTGTTGCCACCGCAGTGTCAGCAGTGGTGATTAGTTATGGACTAAGGCCGAATCTCACACTGGCTGACTACTCCCAAGGATAAGCCACACATGACTTCTGGTGGCTTGGATTCAAATTGCTCGATCTGTTCGACTTACTACTACTTGATCGATGGTTCTGTGGTGACATACATGTACTGGCACGCTACTGAAAGTAAAACAAGCCCAGTCTGCGCTGAGAGCAGCTTTGCAGACTTGGCCATATTCGCTATAATCCGCTGCAACCGGCCAATTGAACCACCCCAAAACGGCCCTTCACGGGGTTACCCTTCTCCTCAATTGATGCCTCTCAGGTGGTCCCTGACCCGATGGCGGCTCACTGCGAGACGCAGAGCTACTCAGCTCAAGATGCCCCTCGCCGCCTGTATTTTTGCTCTCTTGGGGAAGAGGCTCGACCCCCCGTATACACCAGATCGACACAGTGATGATGACGACCTCTGGGATCAAGATCATAAATAGGTACACAAAGCCGTTCCCCACAACCTGGTTCCAGAACAGATCGCTGGTGCCGACGAAGATCAACGGTTCAACGTGTCGAATCAACAGCGGCAAAATGCAGATGGCGGGCGCGAGCAGTAGGCGATCCTCAATTTGGGAGTAGAGGTGGCGTGATTTTGCGAGCCAGAACCAGATGAACAGACCGATGGTGTAGCAGAAGACAAAGGCAACGACCACGCTGCTTGCGATTGTCCAGCCGGTCGGGATGAGGACGTTGTCTTTTCTACCGGCCATGGTCACATAGCCGCCTATTGACAGGCCAATGTCGAAGAGCATGAAGATGCTGACGGCGCGGAAGTACCACTTGCTCAGGAGCGGGACTGTCTGATTGCTGAACAGCTAGTCAGATGGATTGTATGGCCATGGAGTTGCGGGGGCGAGGCACTTACATTCGTTTCGGGAACTCCAAATAGAGGAAAGTGAGCAGGATGATACCCAGCGACTCACACACAAAGTTCGTCGTGCGCAGCGAAGAAGAGTCACTGCTGAGTGAAGCCAGTTTCGTGCTGGCTCCTACGACTCTGAGAATCGAGAAGACGCCTATGCAGAAGGAGCCAATGCGGCCAGTGCTCCGGAATGACCAGACGTAGAGGATGGCTGGAGAGAAACAAACGAGCTGTGCGATGGCGAGGCCATGGCGGAACCCAAACGTGTCACCGCTGCCGCTTGACATTATTATCGCGAGCAGACGATGCGAGTCCAAGAGAAAGTGGTCGGATCTGTCGTGATAGTGAGGAGTGTGTTACGGGCCACGTACCAGTGTGGGCGGTAATCGGATTATAAGGATCACTGAGGTACTGCGGCGTAGTAATTTACACTGGCATTAGGTGATACACTACGGTTAACAAGTCCCCGGTTGTAGAGGAATAGTTACCCCCTAGTACAGACGCTGTTTCTGTTCTTAATTAGGGGGATAGAAAGCTTATTCTATAATACTATATGTAACAGGCTAGGCCCGGTAGAACCTTAGCAAGTAAAGCCTTAGAGCTTAGCTACCCTAACTACTAACGCCTACTAGAAACAGCTAGCACACTACTAGAAGGACTATAAGTAGAGAGAAACTAGTACTATAGATCCTTAGTAAATTTATCTAATTTATACTAGTAACTACTCTTAGAGTTAGCCTCTTATATTTAAATTTACTTATAAAAACCCTTCTAAGAATTAGAAGAGTTCTAGAAAACTACTAGTAGTATATCTATTAAAAAAGATACTATAGTTACTAAGCTAAAAGCAGAAGCTTTATAGCTAGTAGAGATAGGCTTTATATAAAAAGTAATTAAGATACGCCTCTAAACTATAGCTAGATAGAACCTAAAGAAATAAAAAATATAGCTAAAACTTTAACTAGTTTCCTAAAGTCTCTAAAAGAATAAATAATAAATAATAAAGTTTATAAATATACTAATCTTAATAGCTAGCCTATTATTAGTAGTAGCTAGTAAATAACTAGTTAATAAACCTAATAAATAACTCTCTTTAGAAGAATTATAAAACGCATTATAAATACTTACCTAGAAAATAAATATTTTTAAGAATAATATACTACTACTACTTACCTCTACTAAATAAAAAGTATAATAATTAGAAAAAGAGGTATATAGACTAAAGGTAGTCCTAAAACTAGTTTTCTCTATAGTACCTATTAGGACCTATATAAAAAACTTTAAGATACTAGATTTTAACTACTTTAATAGTAACTAAAAGAACTATTAGAAGTTTAAAACCTAGATAAACTATAAGCTAAAATATAATATTAAAAAACTAGAATTAAGCTCTAGGTATATCTTTAACTAATTAAAAGAGCCTATAGCTAATATTACTCTATTATAAATAAATTATAATAAAATAAGTACTATAAAAGGCCTATAAATATTCTTAGATAAATAATTTATAAATAACTTATATACTAAGAAAGCTAGGTAGAAACTTTAAACCTTTTAGTAAAGAAAGCTTTTCTTATAATACTTTAATATAAAATTTATAAGGCTAGCCTTTAAAGTAGAAAAAAAGAGTAATACTAATAACCTAAAAATAAAGTATCTTAGCACTTTACAGCCTAACCTATAAGACTAAATAATATCTATAAAAGTACTAAGTAACTAAACTATCTAGTTACTAATAACTTAAGTAGTTACTATTAAGAAAAATCTTTTTAGAGCTAAGATTAGATCTACCTTCTTATATATAAGGTCTTTCTAAAATAACTTTATAAACTAGAAACTCTTAAAAGCTTACTTTAGTTAAGTAATTAAAGTAATAGGTAAAACCTAAAATAGAGCTAAATAGGTTTCTAAAGAAGAGTACTCTCTCTATAAAAAAAAAAACCTATATCTATATTATAAAAAACCTAAGTACTATACTAATAAGTACTTTCTAGTACTAGTTAATTATCTAGCTTAAGCTACTCTTATAGTAACTTATAACCTAAAAGAGTTCTTAAATAAGAAAATAGTAGGTTTAGAAAACTAGAAACCTCTATATATAGATATAAGTAGAAGTATAAGAAACTAAATTAAGAAGAAGAGTAGTTCTTATTATTTTAGTAGAACTAGCTAAATAGAAAACTATTAACTATTTATATAATTATAAATAATATAGCTATAGTATCTACCTTAATTAATACTAGCTACTTAACTTATTTAGTTATCTTCTCTATATTTATAAGAAATAATTATCTAAAGTATACTATAATTATATAGAAACCTATTATTAGAGTAGAAGAGAAGTTTTCTTAAATAGAAGTAGCTATCTAAATATAAATAGATATAAATAGCTATAAAGAAGAAATATAGGCCTATAAGCTAAAAAGAAATAAAGAGTATAACCTTATTTTAAAAAGACTTTAGATAGATAGATACTAGGTAATACTAGTACTAGTAAAGAAATCTATATTTATCTATAGTAGCTAGACTAAAATATAGAGCTAAGAAGGTAGAATACTTATAAAAGTTTCTAAAGCTATTAGTATATAGGTATATTTAGCCTAGGCTAAATAATTTTAGAAAAATAAATAAATCTAACTATACTCTACTTCTATAGCAGATATTAAAAAAGTACTAAAAAAAAAGAAAATAGTTAACCTTTAAAAAAAGCTACTAAGCTATTTATAAAGTAAGTTTAGAACTTTTCTAAAAGAAAAAGCTAATAAGCTTATACTACTAAAAAAAGCTACTATTAACTACTCTATTAAAATTATAAAGAAAAATAGTAAGCTAGTAGAAATTCTATAAAGGCTACTATATAATATATTAAGAAAAGAACTACTAGTATTATAGAAGAAACTTATATTATACCTAAACTATAAGTTTATTTAGGTAAGTAAATCTAGTACTGCTACTTCTATTCTATTTATAAAGAAACCTAAAAGAAGGCTATAATTCTACATAGACTACTAAGCTTTAAATACTATTATATATAAAAATAAATATTTTCTTTTACTTATCTATAAAACACTATTCTAAATTACTAAAGTAAAATAATTTATAAAGGTAAATATTATCTAAGCCTTCTACTAGATATACGTAGTAGAAAGAGATAAATAAAAAATAGTATTCTATACCTAATTTAGGTTATATAAATAACTAGTTACTCTATTTAGCCTTACTAATACTCCTAGTATATTCTATTATACCCCTTTAGGTTATAGACACCTCTGAAATTCGGTAGAATATAGCGAAAATTAAAATATAAATAGAGGTCTAATAGTAATAACATTATAGTTAGAACTTAGATTTATAATACTATACTACTACTATTATATACATCCTACTCTGTACTCTCTTTTGTAAAAGTTTTAATATAATATCTCTTAATTTTAAAGAGTTATTTAATATTTTATATCTAGAGACAGTTAGATAAAGCTAATCTTAATTAGGAAGTTTTAAGCTAACGCTAAATTAAAATAGGAAGTTTTAAGCTAACGCTAAATTAGAATAGGTAGTTTTAAGCTAATACTAAATATAAGTATAAAGCCTTAAAGAAAGAGAGGTAGAAAGTAACACTAGTTATATATTTAGTATTAGCTAGTAGTAAAAATTAGGTAGCTATATAGAGGCTAATAATACACTTCTTTCTATATAATAAAATATAACCCTTTTATTTTTAAGTATTACTACCTATCTACTAACCCTAACCTGCTAGTAGGCTTAGAGGACTAGTAGAAGAACTAGTTTAGAAGTAGAGGTAGTTAATACGTAGTTACTAGTAAGTGTTTCTAGTAACTATGTACTAACTATACCTACTAGCAGGCTTAGAGGACTAGTAGGAGAACTAGTCTAGAAGCAGAGGTAGTTAATATATAGTTACTAGTAAGTATTTCTAGTAACTATATAT